AAGATTAATTCCTATAGATTCAGTTCACACGAGCACGCTTTTATACTTCGAGAATTTATCCCAGAAGTTGATGACTGCATCGATATGGCAGCCACCTATACGCACAAAATCGATATTTCACCGCTGTCAGTTCGACAGTTAATTGACACCTGGCTAAATGTTTTGCTTTTCTTCATTCTTTCATTCACTCACTCACATATAATTTTTTTAACACTTGTACATTGTCACCGTGAATGAGTTCTTCAACTTATAAATTCACATTGTCCACATTTCGGCTAGCGAGAAATCTCAATGTCACGAAATGCCTTCATTCATTCATTCCATTGTTCATTTCTTCATATTCTATAAAGTTCGCAAGCGTACCTTTCAGAGCGCGGGAAATTTCGTTGGGATGTGTTCAACCTCTTGAGATAATGAAAAGCGATGAAATAATCATAGGAACCATCTCTAGACTCACCAAAGCTTTCATAATCAACTTATCCTGCATTCACTATTAATTCCATTGAGCGACGACCGTGAATTTAACAAGGTCGATTCCTGCCCGTGATGGCACGCGTTTCAAAACCCAACAAACCATTAAAAAGCAAGTACTCAGGCCACTATAATGGTACATTTCCAAAAGAAACGGTAAATAAGTTCATTTTTCGATCAGGACCAGCATTTTTAACGACATGTGAGTAATTTTCCCATCTTTTTCAAAGGATTTACGCTCCTTTTCACTGCCAACGTTTTGTGACGAGCTGTCAAACTTGCCGAGGCCATGGACTTCATTCAATGTGCTTACATCCGAATCAAAAACTCCTATGTTACGAAAAATACAAGGTCAATTTTTCTCTTTCCTATCTAGATTAAACTCTTAAGCACCTACTTGCAATTCTAGAAGCTTTTCGACCACCACAAATCCACATAATCCGCAACTACTGCCGTGTTGAATCCTCTGCAAACCCACGTTCCAGCGCTCTTCGCTACAGCTCAAAACGCGTTACCTGACAGACAGCTGTCACACATTCTTCAAGAACGTCATTTTCCTTATATGGACCATGGGGGCGCACAGCCAGTTGTAGAAACGGACGAAATTTTTAAGTTTTGCAGTCAATTCGCTGGTAAATAAGAACTGTTTAAAAATTCTACGGCATCTGAACTCAGCTGCTCGAACTAAAAGTATAGATAGTCCGTTCCACAAAAGGTTTTTTTGACAAGTAGACAAGTAAAACCTGGAGAAATGATGTAATTCTTTTGATGGACAGCCCGAAATTCACATCGTGGGAACAGACTCTTTTGATTGGCTTATGGTATTCAGGCATGGGCTCAAGCAAAAGGCGTCGCTTAGGGAACGGAGGGTCTGATTTAGGTCTGATAAGATCGGGCACATTTTATAGGCCCCGATCGTTCATGCGTTAAATACCCGAGGGGCACTCCCTTATCTGGTCTAGCCAAGTAGTAGTGCGGCGCAAATCAGAGACAGCACGAGAAATTACAGGGAGGGAGGGAGGGAGGGAACTTCATTCACTCTCACCCCCTTTCCCAGCCCGCACTGTTTTTCCTGCTCACTTCTCCCTGCCCTTCATTGGCTCCTGACCGCCGGGTGAATTCAAGGGTCATAGGTGTGTTTTATCACTGAAAATTGACGCCGAAAAACTAATTGACTTTAAATTAAAAGCGCCGAGAAAGATGTCATTGGCCTTCAAGGAGTAGGTCTTAAGCAGGGTAGTGAAATAAATAGACAGGGTCTTGGCAGCACGCCCCCATCCAAATATTTTCTTAAAATACCTCCCTCGACTCTGGTCTCGAGGTTCAGGTCAGGGCTATCAGCCAGCAAAAAAATTCCAATACAGAAGACAAGTTTCAGGCAAACCAGTCGTATTGTCCATTAAATATAATTTTATATAGTCGGGTTTAATAGCATTGAACAACTTTGAAACTGGGCTCTTAGTTTTCAGTTCTGAGTTTTCCACTGGACTTAGTTTTTGGGGTGGTCCTGTAGACACGCAGCTGCGAGAGGCGAGCATAACGCGCGCTAGTCTCCTCCGCACGCGGGTCCAGAGGAATTCAGTTTGTCGTGGGAACATCCAAAACTCTGTTTTAAAAAACACACTCGTCTGTATTAAAAACCTAGCCTACGTGTAGCCGCACTTTCTCCCCGACAAAGGAAAAACAGAGAGAGGGAGCCTCTCTCCTCCTTCTCTCCGTTTTTCCTTTGTCTGGGGGAGGGTGCGGCTACACGAAGCCTATTAAAAACCCATTCACTAATATTACGATCACCCTGTTATTGCGTTACATTTCCATTACGCAACATATATTCCGCAGACAGCTAAATAACTGAAGAAGCCAAGATCGCGGGACGGAGAGAAGTGCGAAGTTCCCGCCTAAGTGGTTGTGGAGAGGATTATACAAGCACGTGCGAGAACGAACGACGTCAACCCCTTCTCTCGGTAGAGCGCCCCCGCTTCTGGCGTGCTTTTTAGCGTGCATGCCAAACGGTGACCCTCCACGCATGCACTGCGAGCAGTGGCGGATCCAGACTTTCGGATAAGGAGGAGGGGGTCACCCAGATCCTAAGATAAGGGGGGCACCCGGTCCTCAGTTTGGTCTAAAAATAAGGGGGGCCCGGGCAGTCTCTTATTCGCGAGGAGTTTCTTATTTTATAGTATACATAGTGTGTGTGAGAGGAGAGCGGTGAAGCCGCGTCGCGCGAGGCTGGGAGGAAAGAAAGAGGACCGTTCGCGGTCTAATCCGAGCAAAAACCTGCGCAGTTTTTCTAGCAGCAACGTTATCACCCTAGAAGACAAAATACTGGTACAAAAGTATTTTATTTCAGTCTACTTAAGTTTTAATAGAACCATAAATAAAATATTCAACAAAAGGCCAATAACAGATACATTCGAACCTGTCTATAACGGCCCCGTATTAAGCGGCCAGTTTTCAAAGTCCCCATTTTTCGCTCATACAAACGCTGTATTTGTTACCTGTATTAGGCGGCCACTGCCCCATATTTGTCTTTCTTTGTTATTTTTACCTGTATTTAGCGGCCAACCTTGGACGGAAACTGAGCCATATGTCATTATATGCGCTATTTCATTGTGTTTAAAATGCGATCCATCATCGTTGAGGAGAGCTGGTATGCCATTGTGCAAATTGTACGCGTACGTATGTCCTTATGCTTATAGACTATTATGCTTATGGGCTGGTGAAAACCAGGCTTAACGCTTTTCAGATGTCATCAGATTTATTGCACAGTACTTTTACATACACAACGTTACGTACATTATATTTATACTGTTAAGTCACAAGTTGGCACTGAACTTTGTTTAAAGTATTGATCGCTCGGAAGAGTGTTGATTGTCCCATTGTTTCCTTGCATGAAGTGTTTCCTGATATGCTACGCCATTAAAATTGACATTAGACCACGCCCAGTTAGGCCCGTTTCAAACGTCATGTTACTGCGATACAAAACTAAATTGCTCGAATTAAATTCGACTTTAGCACGGCAGTAGCGCGACGTTTGAAACCAAGTCGTGCTACTGCCGTCCCGAACTCAATTCATAAATTATAAATACATTAGAATACACTTAAAAGTTTGCTAAACCGTTTTTCTATTTTTGTTTTTTGTTTTCGGCAACAGCCGTTCTATTCGACTGAATTAAATTCGACGTCTGAAACCAAGTCGAGCTAGTGTCGTGCTGCAGTCGAGCTACAGTCGAGCCAGCGTAGCACGACGTTTGAAACGCCTTAGTAATCCTGTATTGAGCGGCCACGTGTATTTGTAAGCGGCCAGTTCCTCAAGTCCCGAGGGTGGCCGTTATGTAACGGTTCGACTTTATCAGCTTTTTAATTTCGTTGTTCAAGTAACAACAGAACTTGAGAACAAAAACTATGCTATAACCCTGACCAAACCAGCAAGAGTAAATTAGCGAACAATTCTTGCAAGGAACACTTGAACAAACAACAGCGAGGGAAAGCCGGATGTTGCTGTAGATCAGAATAAATGATATAAAATAACACTCGAAATTGAAAGCAATGCCTGATCGGACATCTATAGTCTGCTACACAGCCGTTTTTAGTGTCGTCACGCAAGGAGCGTTGCGTGACGACACTAAAAACGGCTGTGTAGCAGACTAGGACATCTACGGATCGGTAATATATTTTCCCAATATTTTGGTTGATCAGGCAAAACTAATAACAAGTATACCCAGACGCTGAAATAAGGTTAGTAATTGCCTAACCGAAATATTGACAAAATATATTGCCTTGTATTATAGAAAATTAACGATACACGTTGACAACGCGAATAAAATTTAAGTTACACAATTAACGCGAGTTTTCCAAAAGTTAGGTTTACATATATCAAACCAACCCGACTCTTTCGAAAACAATGGGCACCATTAGGACCGAGGTGGAATCTATAAAATACAAGATTTTTTTTAAAAATCTCGTTAATAAAGTGGCTTGTTAATTTCCTATAATAAGGTACCCATCCATAGCTGTTCGATCAGCCTTGCCTAAGGGTGTTTGGGATGGAAAGTCACTAAATTTGCGTATTCAGGTATCTCTTAGGGCTGTGCATACAGAATGTTGCAATAAAGCCGCGATGTCTGTTTTTTGTATGGTCTCCTTTGTAGGTCAGTTAAAACCTTAGCCACACCCACATTGGTCTCCCTTAAGGACTTGATGTTAGTTTTCCGAAGAGCATCCCCGTTTCGTTTATTTCGGAGTCACCTCCTGGTCACTCGATGGCTCAAATCACGGCTTTGGCGCTGACTTTAAATTACCCCAGGCAGTCGAAAGATGTGTGGTTTAGATACAGCAGAAACTCGCGAATAAGGACCCACAATTTAAGAACCCGTTAGGCTAAGATTTTCATTCAAAAAAGAACCTATTTACCCAAAAATTTCCAATAGGTTCTTACTTTACAAAAGTGAAGGCACAGATGAAATGTAACACAGCATTTTATGGACACTGCAGCATGAAAGACATACGGGAATATATTCCATATCACATATGCCCCGTAGTAGTTATCTGTGCTTATCTCTGGTGCCCCTATCAAATTAAGAACCTAAGTAGCCTAAAATCCCACTAAATACCATTTTTAAAAGAACCAGTTTGGGCTATGTTTGAAAAATCTGGGTTCTTACAAGCGGGTTTTTACGATAATTACAACAGATGTAAGCAGGCTGAACACGCGCATAGTGCACCGCTCACTTGATTACTTGTTTTCTTGATCAATGAGGGGTGTATGCTCATTTGGTTCTTGTCTATCTTGCAATTGAGGTTGAATCAACTTGCGAAAACGCTGCAAAAAAGGAAACAAAGTTCGATATGGTGAATATGGTATTAGAATCACAACACACAAGAGTTTTATATAGTTTACTGATTGCTGACTCAACAACAGTGAAGGAAGCAGTCGCCGTCATAAGTTATTGTTTTATTAGCCCTAGTGATATTTCTTGGGAGACTGGGACGGGTGTCAACCTCGTCTCCAGGGCACTTCCTTAAAGCCCTGGGGGAGAGGTTGGGCAGATGGTGATGAAAATGACGTTTCAAACCTGACCATCCCTTCCAAATGAGGCCAACCGGAAGTGCAAAACGTTTTATAGTTATGTAGAAAGAAAGATACTCGATCTAAAAACTAAGGTAAACTCTTTCTAATTGAAGCCATAAAACAGACCCCTAAATAACGAAGTCTTTGGTATAAGAAAAGATTTTCTATACCCAAGAAATGGCAAAATATTTGGAAAAGAACCTTGATATAACAAAACCCGGTTACAGGGGACAAATTTCTCCCGAGTCCCCTGGCCCTTCGTTACATCGAAGTTCCAGTATAAAACGGACATGGATATACTGACAAATATTTACCTCTTGGATTGACCCAGTGGTGTTGATCAGTTTGTATATCATCACCGTTGGAATTAAGGAGAGTGACGACAGGGTTATCAGCCAGCCAATCGCCTGTCCCCAGGCAGGATAAACGTAATCTCGATACTTGAGTGGTTGATACGTCACGAGGTAGAAGGCAAGCACAGTCTAAAAACAACAGCAAGATAGTTAGCAGTTAACCTCAACCACTGTTGCCTCGGGAGACGAAGCAAAAAAAAAAATGGAAAAAAGGGAAACGCAACACAGCTCCCAAAGCGATGTGCACCAGTGCCTAACCCTTTATGCCCCAATATCCACATACAAATTCTCCAGGTTGATTTCCATACATTTCCTTAAAGAATAAGTTGAGAGAATTTGATAAAAGATCAAGGCAATTTCTCTTTGGTGATCATAAGAATTCTCATAACTTTTCCTTTGGATAGTGTATAGACACCAGTAAGGAGAAAATTTACTTTGGTCACACTTGGGGCTTAAAGCTAAAGGGTTAAGTGGCTTGCGCTACGTTATGTTATGTTATTTTATGTTACGCTATGTCATATTATGTTACCACCTTTTGCTCAGAACTATCCTTCACATTTACACGCGCGCTGTTTAGCCGCATTCTCGCTTCTGCGCAAGATTATGAAACTAGTTTATACCCAGACCATAGTTATTATTGTGCAGTGGTTATGGACCCTCGTGAGACTTCCCTGTTCATGATGTTTTTGTTAACCTTTTTGAAATTGTCCGTGCACAACGTTCAAATAGCATTCTTATCAGTTTGAACTGGCTGACCAATAGGAACGTCCCATTAACTGACTCAGCGACAACGCGCGAATATAAAAAACAAAGCGGAGCTCCCTAAATGAACTGTGACACTGCTGCTTTTATCTTTTCCGGCATCAATAACCAGTTTTCTCAACTAACTATGCTCAAGCAAGCAAAAGAAAATCGCCGTTGTACTGACCAAACAAAATATTGGTGAGAGATAACTCCAGCACCAGCCACACCAGGGACTGATAGTAAATCCCAACATACTCGCGATGTTGTCATAAAAACGTTTTCGACCTGTTGAGAATTAAGTTCAAACAAAGGGATGTAGAAAAGTTCAAAGTACAAAGGATAAGAAGTCGATTTTTAACAGCTTTCCAAGGCCCAGTTCAGACGCCGAACTTTTCAGTCATGAGCTGAAACTAATCTAATTCGAATTAAGGCCGACCCAAATTATTTAGACCAGCCGAATTGATTCAGACGCGGATTTTAATTCCAGCCGAATTAAGTTCGAAAGAAGAAAAATATTCATTTCGATTAATCTGCTTTGAAAATGCGTTATAAGAATTTATGCCGCATTTGGTTCGGTACATGAAAAGTTCGGCGTCTGAATCAAAGCCGTTTTTAAGTCGATCCAAAGTCGAAATTCCCAGCCTAGCTAGGCGGAAAGAACGGCTAGGCCGTTCCAAATTTGAAACAGGCGTTCCTAACTGATTCAGACACCGAACATTTTATATACTTTATTCAAAGCATTAGGCTGTGCTCATGAAAAGTTCGGCGACTGAATTGGGCCTACTGAAGTAGTTATTGATAAGTCTTATTAAATGCACTGGAACCCAAATAATACAGACACCAAGGGGATGTGCAATAGTGTCCGTCACATACAGGTGGGTGTCTGTACAGCGTGGTTTTCCTGTAAGATCAAAACAGCTCTCGGGGCCGTTGCAAATCCAGTGTGTAAAACATAAGCGGCGATTTCTACGCAATCTACTGTCCTTTGTGAGTTCTCAGCTCTTTCGACCCGATCTTTTATTTCAGTTTCTAATTATCCTTAATGCAATGTTAAGGAGTAGAATAGAGCACCTTTTCCTAATATTTGCTGCAGCTGGGCAAGAGCGAAAACAACAAGGACAACGCAACTATAGTTGTTCCAGTTGGGGTTTGTTTACTTCAATATCCAGCACACTCGTCTGTTCAGAACTTGCCTTACCCAGCCTCCAAAGCGTCGTACTTTTCGTCCCGTCAGCTGTAACTCTTACTCTCCCTTAGGATAAAATTGCTAGTACTTTCGGTCGCCCCCCCCCCAAAAAAAAGAAGGGAAGTAACTGGGTTCTTTTGTAAACGAAAAACATTGTCTCACGTTAATCATTTTTAACTGATAAACCCTACGAAAATTCCTTAAAAGGTAAGAAACGATCAAAGAACACAATACAAAACAAAATGTAATGTTCTCGAATTTAGGTCGCTATTTTTTTTAACATAGTCGGTAACGCAAACCCCTTCCACTCCCTCCCCCCGCCAGCGAGTATACTAGGAAGTTATCAGTGGCTTGTAAGAACAATTAAACATTTTGTTTGTTTTTCTTACCATAAAGCCATCCAATGGCCAAACATTCACCAACGACTACCAACAATACAACAGATCCGCTTCCAGAAAAAGCGTCAAACAACTGAAAAACGTACATTCCACCCTACGACAATAACATCATTACTTTGCAATGATTTCCGTAACCAGGTATATTGAACAATGTGTTTTGGATAATGTTAAAGGACTAAAAAAGATAAACCAAGATGGAAACAAATGATTTTATGGAAATCAGTCTATGGGACTGTTTACACTTCATGGCTGACTGATATGTGCTGGGTATTGACATAAACTGGGGTTCACACTTTGGGTACACGATGTAGCTGTGTACAGAATTGCTGCATTTGGCCTTGTCAGACGCAATTCTGAGACGTTGGGGTAGCAGAAGGTTGTGGTATTCAAAGCAGTGTATTGCCTTAGAATTGACAGAAAACGTGTGAACTCAGCGATCCAGTGCCCACCCAGGCGGTGGACGCTCAGTTAGTACCTGGCACCTTAGGCAGGTATCAAGTATAAGTTAAACCTCAAACATAGTTTTCACAAGTCGATTATTGCTACAATTATCTTTGAAGAGATGTTTCGGCATAGTAATTGTCGTTGGTAAACCTTTTTTATCGATCCTACTGATTTCATGAATGTTTTCCTTCACACTAAAGAGATGTTATCTTAGACTCTTCGAATCCAGAAAGAGATGTCCCTGCTCGCCTCACTTATGGTCTTCCTCGCGGTAGCCTACGAACGCATACGCATTTGTGGTCGTCGCTCCTCTCCAACCGAAAAGTAAATTTTGACTTTTACTTTTCGGTTTTTCGAACAGCCTCTTTTCGGGTGGAGAGAAGCGAAGACAGGAAATACGTCTGTGTTCGTAGGCTCCCCTACAGCCGTGACGAGACAAAAATAGACTGCGATGGAGACTATCTGACGGTAAACTGAAGGATGTTAAAGAACACCACGCATGGTGTGTCCGATCCGTTAGAGGATAATTCACTATGCTGAAGAACTCCAATAAGCTCCATCAAACAGACGATCGAGGAGATTGAAAATGGCATAAAATTGTTTTATTTTGAGTTAAAGTTACATACCTCGGTCACCATGGACAACCCCGCAAGAAACATCAAACAACAAGTAATAAGTGAAAAGAGTTCTTTACGGTGACCACGACGTAGTTTATGTGCGAACCTGTCAACAGTGCTTGTTATCGCACTTTCGACGTCAACAAACTGGAAAAAAGAGCAAATGTGAATCTTAGTCGTGGGCCTGGTTATTCGAAAGATGGTTAAGTTTAACCAAGGATTAAACCAAATTTTACGCTTGGCTTTCTTGTCTAAGAACATGTAACTCAAGCTTGCAAAATACTTAATAGTGTCGAGCCTTTACTCTGAGATACAGTAATGATAATACAAAATGTTACTACGGCTAAGCTATGCGCGGAAAGGTAGATAGAAAAAGGGAAAGAAAATGATAAGCCTGGATTAGCACTAATGGGCCTTTCAGGAACTGGGCCCTGGGAGTAATATGCTACTCTCCTTGCAGAGTCTCGTTCAGCATGCGTGGCTGGCGGAATTGTTGGTTTTCACATGACGCCACTAAAATTCAACTAAAAAACCATCAATCCTACCGAGATTTTACTTTCACGATGCATTAGAACAGCTGAAAACTAATTTTCATACAAATTTTCGCTTCAAAAGAGTACTTGGTTTTGTGATAGAGTACACTTGAATTTCTAAGCTTTTGCGTGACGCGGCAATTACATGACGGCCAAGAAAGCTGTCATGTAGGTTAAAAAAAATGACTTATTTCAGAAAATTTTGCCATCTAAACAGTTCATGTATGTATAACATTAATGCTTATGAGTTTCTCGAAGAATAAATTCACGCTTTTGTAGCAAAACTCGGTAACAGATGTTTCTGTTGGTTTGCGTCCGCCATGTTGGAGCCCATCCCGATGTGCACCAGCATGGCGTCTCCATACAAATCTCTATGGGTTTGGGTAAAACATTTCTTCGGATATCTCGAATACGAGATACTCTTCTGACCTGAGTCTTGGCGAGGGTCTCTGTATATGTAGCTCCTTTCATTTCCCAGATTCTGGACTGTATCTTTTGAACGGGTTTGAGTTTTATTTTGGTCTATTTTGAATGGCGTGACGCTGAAAACCAGCAATAGGCTCTTTGCATGACTTGATCACGTGACCAACTTTCGGTAAACACGAAAACAGTTCACTTTTGAAAAATTTCTTGCACAGGCTGAAAGAGCATATTAAAATTAGGTAACCTGAGAAGTTTCAGCCGTATACAGCTATTTCGAGAAAGGTTGTCGGAAAAATGTGCACGCGACAATCCCGAAAGGTATTATGGGATATGATCAATACACTGTTTCTGACGACTGTAGCTGTCGAACCTACTTTTGTTGCTTTCCTTTAGCACTCGCAAACACATTCCAACGGCCCTTCGTACCAATTCTTTCAAATTTCTTTAAAGAACAGTGAACTTAAAACCACCCACAATGCCTTTCGGGATTGTCGCGTGCACTTTTTCCGACAACCTTTCTCGAAATAGCTGTATCTCAAAAGTAGCGATTGCAACGGCCGCCGAAAGTTGGAAGCATTTGTATGAGATAAACAAATTTTGCCATCCGGTCACGCTTGCATGGTTTTCCATGCAAATCCTCGTAAATTCTAAAATTTTTAAACTCTCGTTAAATCTTTCCATTACGCATTTAAGGGCTCGAATTGTCTTAATGAAATAAAAGGAGATTTGAGCCCTGTGATGCTTAAGGAAATATTTCATGCCAGTTTTGAAAATTTCGAAATTACAAGGATTTGTATGGAAAACCATAAACCGACTTCCCACCATTAATTAAACGCTTGATTTACGAGAGATTACGAGAAAAGCGCATGGAAGTGAGTGAAAATATACTTGCCACCGGGGTGTGGTAAGAAAATGACGTCACTTTTTCCCCGCGAATTCTAATTGCGCGTTGGTGACCAAGCAGGGGAACATGGAAATTATATGGAGGACGAAAGTTGAGTGCCAAAAAAAAAAAAATACTACCCTTCGTCGTACGAGGATATCAATAATCTGGTCAACTTAAACGTCAGGTAAGTAGCTATCTTGATCGTAGTAGCTCTTTAATTCAGTGTGTTCTGATTCGTTAGTACGCAAACTACAGGAACTTTCGGCACGACAATTTCAAGGAGTAGTTAGTGGTAGGCTTGAGCTATTGCATTAAATACCCGCACCCCCTGGTTACGAAAAACCAATGGAATTTTTCAGAGATAAGTTATAAAAATTGAGGATTTCTTTAGGGGTAGAGTAAAAAAATATGGAATACTTTGGGGGTGAAGCTATAAATCTCAACGAAATCTTTAGGGGTGCATAAGGCAACATCAACTTTTCACAAAATCTTCAGGGATAAGCCCATACTCTTTGGGGTGTAAACTCCTGGGGGGGGGGAAGGGTACTCAATAAATATTTATACGGGGAAGGTCCACGCCGAGGTTCAACCCCCCTTACCTTTAATATACCACTTTTTCACGGAAAAGGTACCGATTTTTATATATCTTCTATTGACAAACGGTACCTCTTTCACATACCTTGTTTAGAACTTTGGAACCCTTTTAACTGCTGTAAATGCAATGTCTTTTAAGTAGGAATCAATCACAATAGGAGAACGTTTTCTCGACTTCTTAAAACCATAAAATTCATCTGTTAGCCATTTAGGGCCCTTTTAAAGACCCAAATGACAGATTTCACTACCCTTTTATATACTTCAGCTGGTGAAATCCCTACCCTTTCATATACCTGAAGCCTGAAAAAGGTACCCCTTTCGGGCGGAGCCTCCCCGTAAAGGCCATTATAGGGAGTACCCTGGAGGCTAATCCCATGTCTTGTTCAGGGGTAAATGCAGTTTTATGGAATTATTCGAAGGGTAAGAAGAAACAGTCCGTCTTCAACCGGAAGGGTACGGATATTAAATGCAATAGCCCTTTGGTTACCGTGAACTGATCATGACTATGTCCCTCCGAAGAACATTGAAATCATTACACTGCCTCAGAATTCGTAAAAGGCTTAATTTTCAATGTTTAAATAAATAGAGGAGAAGAGGACTTAAGGATACTGTAAACTTCCGTTAAAGTTTCTAATTGGATTTGTTAATTAGCGTGAAAAGGCTTTTTTGAGCGACGCACGCCGACCGATGGTTAGCCCTTTTCCCTTTTGATATGCCATGAAGCTTCTAAATTTGTATTGCTAAGTGGCTTTAGTCTTACAGAAACGCTTTACTGGAACATTAAAGCAGAATATTTCCGAACGCAGCGTGTGGGTTCAGTTATAGATCACTCACGTAGTCAGCAGCTCTGCATTTTGTTGGAACAAAAGAAAGTTTTTAAATGAGAAAAGAGTTCAATCCCCACAGGAATGCTTTTATGCACCAACATGTCTACTGTCTCATTTTTTTGTAGACCAATATGGAAGATATGCCCAGCTTTGACTATAAAAACCACTACTGTCTGCTAGTTAGTTAGCAGGAGGAAGAGTAGGAGTGGGTGTTGTTAGCAGTAGAAGATAAAGAAGAATGAAGAGGAAAATGACAAGTGGACTCTCGGTCCCTTTTCGCTTGGCGAGCATTGCTCGAACCCCTCCTCCCCTTACGCAGCACACCCTGGTTTTGGGGTTTGAAGGCTACTGATAACTCTGGGGCTGCAAACTAACTACTACTCCGACTACTTATCCCCATAGGATGTTGCACCCTTGACTGCACAGCGGAAACAGTTTCTATCAATGACCAATCTTCCAACTTCTGCTATGGACATGTCGAAATCATCCCGTACCTCCCTTTTCCACTGCCTCCTCTGTCTTTCCCTTTCTCTTTTTCGATCTATCTTTCCCTTCAATATGATGTTTCCCACGCCCTCACCTCTTTTTAAATGCATGGCCAAAATACTTCAGCTCTCGTTTCTTTATAAAGATCTTCCACTTGGACTTATTCGCTCTGTGCTCCGTTCACGATATTTTTAATCTTTTCGTATAACACTTCATTTCAAAAGCGATCTCTGTTTTTAAGGTTCTTTTTAAACTCTGAACTAAATTAACCCAAATATTGGTGTTTCAAGCAACAAAGAACACGCTTAAAGGAGGATTTTCACGTGCATACGCACGTAGATTATATGCGCATAAATCAAACGGAGGCCATGTATGGAAGGTCGATCGCTTGTAAAAGCTAGAAGTCGAACCTCGCTCAACTTTTACCTTTACGGGCAGCTTTCATTCATGGCCTCTATTTTAATTACGCCACAGTGGATATCCACCCTAAGTCTTAGTTTAAATTAGGAAAGGGTAACTGAAAGATATATTGATGGCTTTGTTTCTTTAACCTTACTTGAGTGTCCAATCCAATCAGGATCAACATGAAGAAAAACAACACGGACCACAGAGGAGCTAACGGCATCTGGGCAACTGCTTCAGGATAAACAATGAAAACAAGGCCTGGACCTAGAGACGGATAAAAACACAGTATTGTAACACATACTGTGTATGGTGAATGTACGCGGAAGCAATTTTGTGGTGAAAAAGTTTCTTAGTAGTCGATTTTTTTTATTTCTGACGTCTAGCTACTCCTGACCTCTAAAAAGTTGGAGCGAATATTTTAACAATAAAGTCTTATAATTAAAAAATAAGTTTCAAAATAATTGGTGGTCTATTTCACTTGCTTTTTCTTTCATTTATGGTAGCTACCATTATAAGTTTAGTCTCTGGCAAGATTGCCTTGTTTAGCTTTCTATCAACGCAACATTACAGACAGGCAAAGACCTTTTCTTCATTTTTTAACGTTAGCTATGCGTGTTTTTGGAGAGATTTAAAATCACGTTTAAGACAAATTTCAAACGTCAACGTTGCTGTCAAAAGTCAGTTACTGTTCATTATGTCTAAACAAAAATATAAAGTTTTGATCTGTTTATTCCGAATCTAGAGTTACGTTTAGGGAAAAGGAAAAACGTCAGATTCAGTTTGAGAAGAACTCAATGAAAAGTCTCTTATGAAAAAGACTGGCGTGAGTATACCGATTTTCATGTAGTTATAACGAACAGTAAACGACAATTAAAGGAAAACTTTGGTCACGTGGCAAAAAACAGGGGTGGTAAACATTGCAAATCTACGTATTTTTATATCAACTTGACGTTTCGTATGCTAAAAAAACTTGACGTTTCGTATGCTACTCAAAATACATTTTTGACTGTGACCGATCAAATTTCGGCAACCGTGAAAATGTGACCCTAAATCTCTCTATCTACTGTATAGTCGCCATCTCTACGGTTTTTCGATGAAATTGCAAAAATGCAACAACTGGTAGGTATATTATGAGGAAAAGCTGCAGAAACACACTCACCTGACTGAACAACGTCTTTAACATCTACTCCTTGATTTGTTGCCATGAAACCCAACACCGAGAAAGTCAAAAATCCACCCACAACACTAGTTCCGCTGTTGTAAAAAGCATTCCAAATGCAGTCTCTGCAAAATTAAAATCAATAACAATGAGGCATACTTTTAGCATTAAGTGTTAGGTGCTACCCTTCGATCTTCCTAGATAAGACCTCTTCCCGACTTATCAAGGAAGATCGAAGGGCCTCTGCTCGCAGGGTAGTTAGTTGCTGGATCGGATTCACGAGCTGGAGAGAGAACAACGGGAGGGGAAGAAATAGGCAACGCGGAATGTACAGAACAAGATTTATCTTGACCACGAAATTTTGTGTTACCATGATCACTCTGTTGGAAACTCGAGTAATTTCGCCCGGTTTTACAAAGGACGGTATCGCGGGTCGAAACGTCGCCTTTGTTCACCCATGATTCACAAAAGATCGTTGTGACGATGTGTGGTTGAGACATTGCAGCGAAGCGTGGCAAAGGTAATCAAGTGCTTGTGGAGTCTAAGCTATCGTAAATTAGGGTATGAGATACATTTGAGGCATAGAAAGGTACGTTTGTACAAATCTAAGCCATATTTGACACTTTTGCGTCGCGTTTAAACAACGTCGTGTTATCAATTTCTACGATAAGCATAGGCCGCTTTTCCCACCTAGACCATATGCAAAGTTGAGGGGCAGTGATATTATTGGAGTATTTGAGCTTAGGATTATATTCTGTTGATGTGATTCTCAGTCCTTCGCAGCACTGTCTAGAAATATCGCAAGTTTGAAATAAAGTGTTGACATGCTAAACACGACTCATAAGCTCGTGAGTGTGTAAGGCTGATTAGCCTCAGCACAGGCAGACCATCCTCTATCTGTGTGGCTTTTGTTGGTCACAGGGATCCTGCATCGATCTTTTTTACTTTATAGAAAAACGTAACGTACTTTCAAATCTTTATTTTGGGGCAAATTGCAGCCAACGAAATGTTCATCGGTCCTTCTTCGTACAAAAGATCAATGCTCTGATTTCAATAACAATAACAGGCACACGAACAGAGAATGGGTCTCCCTGTGGTCACAGTATGATGTTAGACATTTTTAAATCAAATAAAGTACTTGTAAAAGTTGTTGTTGTATTTGTTAAAGCTTCCCAGTGTCAACAAAGTGCCCGTTCCAATACCGTACGAGAAAAACACTTGAGTACCCGCGTCAAGCCAAACCTGTAAAAACAGGTTAAAACGATTTGGTTAGGAATTGAAGCGTCAGCTCAAATCATGGAAACCGAAGGGATGAATAAATAGGGAACTTTTGATTCGAGGCTGAGCACGGCTATGAGGACAAGATTTCGCGCATTCTTAAACAAATAGACTTCTCGGAAAGCTTCGTTTTCCTTTTTTTTTCACCAGGACTTTTACTAAGTAAAGAATCTCTCCTTTCGTGTGTCTTTAAGTAAATACGCTTTTTAAGATTGAGACATCATTAAACTCCTTAATTTTATGTTGACTCTAGCTTTTAAGAGTAGGAACCTTTTTGTTCTAATTGTAACCTAAGGCTCATTAAGGCAAACATATTAGCCACGCAAACAAGTGAATAGAGAGCGTCTAAGGAGTAGGTTTTTTGAGAGAAAGAGAAGAGGAAAAGAGGACTGTTGAACATCAATGAAAGTTGATTTAAAGAAGAAAGCTTAGAAGTTAACAGAAGAATAATATTGTGAAGAGATTAAGTCTTGTTATAATAAAGTGTTTAATCTTAAGAGGTATTGGGTTGTGAGAGTCCCCTCACTTGTATCAAGCGGTTATCAAAGTCCTTGAGAATTTAAATCCAGGAAAAGTGGCTTACATTGGAAAGATAGAGCAGGTCCAGATAGACTCGATAAAGTTTGAAAGGAAGCAAATTCAACAGAAACACTTCCATAACCAGCCAAAACGAACTGCAGTATTAAAACCGGATTGGTACTAAAACTCAACATGGCGAATAAGCCAAAATATCCACTTACAGGGGATCTATTCTGTGAAACACTGATATCTAAACAGATTGATGTGTTTTCGGACCCAGAGATACAACTTCTCACTTAGGCCTGTTTCAAACGTCGTGCTACTGCCGTACTAAGCTCGTCTCTAGCACGACTTGGATTCAGACGTCGAATTTAATTCAGTCGAACAGGACGGATGCGTCTTGTGCTCGTCTTTATACTTGAGACGCATAACCAGACGAACTACAAATGTTTGCCCAAGTTCGCCCAGACGGATAATGCGTATAAGAACGGCCATAGACGCATTATCCATCAAGACGGATAATGCTTCCTCTGGTATAAAAACGGTTAATTATATAAAAAAAAGGCTAGATAGGATAGGATAAGATAGGCTAGGTTAATAGAATACGATCCGTGCATTAATAAACATTAAAGATGATGATTCATTTATTTGAAAGATAAATAATGAGCAAAGTAGAGGACGGCCAACGGACACGTGACATCGTTTTTAGACTTGATCATTTACCGTATTTACTCGATCAAACGTCACGGTGTTTCTTGAATTTCAGCGTTTCCAGTGATGCGGCATTTATTTACTAGTAAGAACGGCGTTTACTCGAGGGCGGCGTTTATGGGAAGTTTGCTCTCCAATGCTTCTATCTGCAGCATTTCTCTATCTGCAGGGCGGCGTTTAATCGAGTAAATAGGGGGAATTCCCAAAAAGATAACCTGTCCATCCAAAAGTCTCGACCAGTCGGGCGTGACATAAAACATTATCCCCTTCAGGGCTCCCGGCAAAGTGAGGCCACGGATCAAGAGAATCAGTAGAAGTACATAAGGAGCTGTGGCAGTAAAATAGACAACCTAACAAATGAGATAAATTAAACATAGCAGATAAATAATACATAGATAACAGAAATAAAAGCAGGATTTGAGTAACAAAATGAAAAATACTTTAACAAAAGAAGTATCGTAATATAACCAAATGTCTTTCCGATCAGATCTGAACATGAATATATAAACGGTGGCCGCCGACAGATTGCAATGCTGTACCAAAGTAGCCATTCATAAAGCATATTGGCGAGAAAGACAATACGCAAACACTACGATTTGTTGGCCGCATCATTTTTTCTTTTTTTGCCTTGCCTTTAGATACAAAGATGCTCGCGGCAAATTCTAGTTTGAACAAAACTGGCCGCCGACAGATTCCGACGATAAATCGTGTTGTGTAAATCGACCTTAAGGGGGGATTCTGGTCAAAAGTCTTGTTTTTCGTTTTATCCCTTTTTCTCCAAATCTAGCCATATTTTTTTTTTCATAAAAAATGACCCCATAAGGTCGTAGTCATTCGTTGGTTTGATAATTAATATTATAACCATTTTTTGAATGTTTTTAATGAACGGGAAATACTGGGGGGTGTATGCTTAAAAATATGGAAAATTGGAAAATATTGGACTCTGGTGTTGTTGAACAGTCCAGATTGTCCCAATATATGTTAAATAGAATCACAGGCAGTTAATGAATAGTCTACCGGCAATACAAGGTCCCTCTGAGCTCATTAGCGGACTATCTGTTTTAAGTTTATTCCTTTTCTGCCAACATCATTTCCCCCCCCAAAAAACAACCATAATGCCTCCTCCACAATCTTCGCCAGAATGAGGCTTAAAACCCCAGTCCAAAGTGAAACCTAACATGAACCCATGGGGTACAGCAGGGCTCAATTTTGGGTCCCATGGTCTTCGCCCTCTACGTGAATGATCTTCCAGAAGCCATCGAGTCAGGTACCATGAATCCTGCGTGGACTGAATAACTCGAAAAGATATCTTTTGTTCTCTTGTATTGTACCTATTATAGCCGACTACAGAGCACAAAACGCTCTTACAAAGGCACAGTTGAATACCTTGCCACTGATCTTTACTCCTTTGACGATGCACACAAAACAAAGGATCCACGCTAACAGTAGGCACAAAGCGAGGTCCCAGTTAACTGCCCCTGGCTCCCCCAAACCGTCAGAAAGTCGTAGAACCCTGTAGCTAATGAGAAGGCACATGGTTACAAACTTTATGTTCAGTAATGTCCCGGTGGGGGGAGTAATGTCCAGCAGGTAGCCCTCTAGAAAATTCCTCGCCGAGTATTTCTGACACTCAGGTTGTTGTTTTTTTTGTATGAAAACCACAAACATTGTGCATTGTATCATTTTTTATTTTTCCCTATATATAAAGAATGTGCTGACATAAGCAAGAGAAACGTTCAGGTTTTGGTGCCATCAAGACGCCATCACCAAGGTAATTAGTAAAAGAAAATTCCTGTGAGAGACTGTTAAAAAACTGCAAATGTTAGGCAAATCTCGCTTAAAAATTACGTTTTTGCCGGCGGGAATCCGGAATTGAGTATCTTTTGAAATTAACCCGTTCATTCATCCGAACCATTCGTAGGGGAGTAAAAAACCATTACTTTCCATCCAAAATATTGAGAATATAAATTCACGACACCACCTTCTTTAGCCAACTCCAAGTCCATTCATTTTGATCGGAGAAAAGGTCTCAAATGAAATGAAGTGGTGATGTATAATAGACTAGACAACAGCCAATGAGTGAACAAGATGGCCCGCAGTGTTTGAGCTTAGAGTTGAACCTCTCCTTCAGGACACCCATATTCAAGGGATACCTCCATTAAAGGGACACAAAATTTGATCCCAGAAAAACGTCCACATAAACTTTGTATGTGTTACCGCCATTGTTGAGGCACCTCTATTCTGAGGAAAGGAACACTTTTTCTGGGTCCCGAAACCTTGGTTTGACCTCCATTTTCCATTTTTGCACTCAAAACATGTCTGACCACAAAGAGGGTTGATATCTTCAAGTGTACACCAATCACAATGATGTCAGCTTTCACAAACCGAATTATCTCACTTAAATCGATTTAGTGAACTCTTGTGAACTTGCGAAAATAAGGTAAGGAAATATTTTTTAAAAAAATTGTATTTGTTGGTTAATTATTAATGAGCCTCAGCCCAACCTCTATTCAAGGAACACTTGCCTCGGTTCCTGGGGTGTCTCCTGAATAGATGTACAACGGTATTTCTGTAAAATGAAAGATTATTGCTTTCTTAACCCGGCCTTCGCAGACTTATTATGTAGATGGCTAATAATGATACACCTCTGACGCGAGGCGATGTTGAGCAGTGTTTCTTTCAACGAAACAATACGATGCTGGCGCAAGGACTTGAAGCATCGCCTTGCAGGTAAGACCTCAGGCCATTACTTTATCTTCTCACATAGGCTTAAGTAGCAGCTGTGAAGAAAACTTTGAGGTATAGCCTGTGTACAGCCGTCCCCTCCCCACGGGAAAAAATTCCTTAAAGAAATCAGTGCCCCATTCCCGATTTTTCTCCTGAGGGGAGGGGGCAGTTGTACACGGTCTATTTGAGGCATGATAGTATACTGAGTATTTATTTGTACTTACTCCCAGTATTCCTGGCTTGCCGATACTCGCTTTGCTACATTTGCTACCGTTAGATTAAAAAGAGTGGTAGCATTCGCAAATGTGTTATTCAGCGTCCCATCATTGTCACTCTTCTCAGCATAATCCACACAGTTGGGAGTGTTCCATTCGTTGTTGCAGTGGGACCAAGGAAGTGTCGATTGGAACGAGGCAAACAGGTAAAACAAGATCCAGGCAAGAATCACATTGTAGTATATAGAGATCCAGACAAGGACTGCTATACTTGCATAACCAACACCTAACAAAAAATGTCCGTTAGTAAAGTTAGGCCAAGTTCAAACGTCGAACCTTTCATGTACCAAACGTAATGAACGTTTGAATCAATTAGGACCGACTTATCTATTTTGGGTCGAACCATGAATTAAAATCGACTGGCTCACATGGAAATTTCGACTGTGGATGGAGTGGTCTCCCTCGCAGCTGTTTATTAACAACAACAGCAATAAGCTTTATTTGCATGACCATAACAAAGTATTACAGTATTGCAAAAGCTACTTGAAATTAATCATTGATTCCTTGTAAATTAAATATTTAAAATAATAATTTGAAGCTTATTAATCATTGTTTATTTCTAACCATCAGTAGGATTAATTATTCCGGAGATAAGTTTGTCTCTCAATTTAAAGCAAGTTGATATAAATGAAATTAATTGGATGTTAATAAAATAGTCAGTAGAATTCGTCAGATGTGATAATAAGGACTCATGTGATTGTAGTCGTAGAAACGGTATTTTAGGTTCTAGTTTAGAGAAGAACATATCTCTTATCGAAGAAAAACTTGGATAATCTAATAAAAAGTGAGTTTCATCTTCAATTCTGTTACAATTGCAGAGATTGCATAACCTTTCGTCACGTGGTATATTGTCGTATCTACCTGTCTCAATCCTGAGTTTGTGACTGCTTATTCTCAGTTTCACTCATGTTTTCCTAGAAGGGTTATTGGGTGTCACGCAACACACGTGGCTACTAGGAAGACTATGGATGGAGCGACTTCGTTCCAAAGGCCCCCCGGGGGGGGGGGCACTCGGGTATTTTTTGGGTGGGTATGTGCCGCCCGGAGTCCAAATTGGCACCCCGCTCTGAAGAAAAATTCCCCTAAAATTGATACCCCGTTCTAGAAATGGGCCAATTTTTCATACCCCGTTCTAGAATTCGCCCTAAAACTGTACCCCCAACCTCGTCCCCAGGGCTTTTCCCTTAAAAAATGGGTGGGGCCGGAAAAGGCCCTGGCATCGGCTGGTCACGTACACAGCCTAAATATTCCTGAGAAGCTAATTTTTACGCAACCCGCTGGTTTTGCGCTGACAGAAGTCGAACGGAGCAACAATGGAAAATAATAATATCGCGAACTGTATGTCAATATTTTCGCGTCTGTGCGATTCAAAAGCTCAAGATCCATTTAATTGCGTATTATTCAAGTGCTACAAGTTTATGAAAGGGCGTACCGGCTCTACGTTGTCGTGTAAAAAATATGTCAAATGCTTCAGAGTTGAGACAAGCTGTTCTCGAGTAGTACTTCGACTGAAATTCATCGTGACTGTGGAATTACTGTACGATCTTCAAGCGGAAAGTGATTTTGTCCAATGTCAAACAAAAATGCGGGCCTTTGCCTCTAGGATCTGCAGTGAATTTAAACAAATTGAACTTAATTGAAATAGAATTGTTCATCAAAATGCTTTATGGAGTCTGGTCTTCTCTACAACCCGACCACGAAACAAACAAATCTCCGCGCCGGATGCAAGTCAACCCTCCAGCCAGGAACGATTACAGGTCGCCGATCTGAAACATTTGAAGATCTCTTATATCTTTTCTCTTCCGAGGATAAGTACAAAGGATTTTCCTTATATTAAAGGGAAGATTGACCGATCGATTGGAATCAACTACAGCTATGTCAATTTTAAATGGACCCAAGTCTTTCTTTGTTACCAGTCGTTTGATACCCTGGGTGCCAGAGACTTTTCATGCGCGGTTTCCGGTTTCGGTCAAGTCTCGCAGAGGTCAATGAATTTTTTAAAAATACAGGTCATACAAGATAAGTCTAAACCAACGCGTATCGCTATGATGATATGGCTGAGAGTTAAGGTGAATGGAACTAGGTTGTGTACGGCGGTCCACTTCGCAAGAAATAAAATAAAATATCAAAAGAGTCGCGAAAACGAACTTTTCCAGTACAAACTTTATGCATGTACGATAGCTTGTTTGTCATTTATATCGCTCTATAAAAGAAGTTTTACAAATGTTACTGCTCGCTGTCCCCTTCATAGAAATCGGAGGAAAGCAAAAAATTACCATAGCCAGTATCTGTGACAAAAAGAAAACCTTGTAAAACTTTTCGTTAATCGTCAAGAGATATAAAAGGCCGCCCAAGATCGCGCGTTGTGAGGTTACGCATAATTTTAGCTTTTCACATAGCGCTAATTTATTACACCCAGGATTTTAGGGTGTACGAGGGGACACGTGACCAGCCGATGCCAGGGCCTTTTCCCGCCCCACCCATTTTTTAAGGGAAAAGCCCTGGGGACGAGGTTGTGATACCCCATTCTAGAAATGAGCCAATTTCTTATACTCCGTTGTAGGGTGCAACAAGATTAGAACAGTTTGCTTGTTAACGCATTGAACCGTATTTTTAAAAGCAATTTGTCCTTGAATAATTTCAAATGGCTGCTTACAAAACTGGAGCTTTCTTGCGTTCGAAATATTATACCCCGTTCTAGAAAACGCCCCTGAAATGGATACCCCGTTCTAAATCAGGAGCTTCAAAATCACGACCCCGTTGGGCGGCACATACCCATATAGGTATTGTATGGGAGTACCCCCCCGGGCAAACGCCGAACTTCTCAGATGACAAACCTAATGCAAAAAATTCTATAATTAATTTTCACTGGTAAGCATTATTGACCACTGCACAGACTGCACATCGTAAGAATGAACCGAGTTCCGACTATGAGAGTTCCACGTCTGAATCAGCCGTGGAACTTGTGTCATTTGGGTCCATCTAAATAGGTATTAAGTTTGGTACATGAAAAGTTCGACCTTTGAACTGGGCTTTAGGGACCTATTCAGACACACTGTTGAGACCGACGGTGATGAAAGACAGGTATTCTTTTTGTTTTATCAAATCAGTTTGGTCAAGTGGATTGTGTGGTCTCCAAGCCGATTAATGCCCATTTTCTGGCGGGTTTTATTCAGGAACCAATATGCTGTTTTTTTAAAAGGATATATGCTCGGAGAGAGAGACCAAAACGGTTCCACTTAAACCCATGGAATGGGCATCAATCGGCTCGAGGACAACCTAAAGAAAATACAGGTCCCAGTTGTTCAAAAGGTGGATAACGGTATCCACTGGATAAAACTCTATCTAGTAGATAAGGCAGTTGGTTAGTCCTAATACTTATCACTAATCTTATAATTATCCACTGTGTAGTGATTTATCCGGTGGATAGCGCAATCCAGCGTTTGAACAACCTGGCCCAGATAACTTAAGTAATATATAGATTTAGCCACGGCTAAAAGCGAAGCTCCCATTGAAAAGTTAAGTGATTTTGGAGTGAAACAAATAGCCTTATATGCACACCCAAAAAATATGTGCGGTCAAATTTAAGAGGAATAATGGCTCTTGATCACAGTAGATAAGGCGTGGAAAACAAATCAGGCCGAATTTTTTGCGATCGACAAGTTTACAAATTCTTGCCAATAAATCTGGGTGCGTGCAAACCAATGTTCTATTTTTTTTTTAATACACCACATCTGAGGAGAAAGAGTACTATGAGGCGCTGTTTTTATCATACAGACCTCGTACAAAATGCAGTATTTCACAATTTTTCAAGACAAATTGCATTCACTCAATATTCAGGACCATCGAAGCACGCGTGGACTTTTAATTAGCGAAACCGTTCAAAAAATTTCCAAAATCACCTATACGGCCCGCCGGTTCTAACTTTTGACAAAGAAGAAGAAATTTTAAAAGAGTTACGCTTCAACGTGATAAAGAATTCATTGAGTCTATTTTTTATTCATGGTTTTATAACGATGTGTAACCTTAAAAAGCGTTTGATACGCTCGGCATTTTGAGTACTCCTGCAAGCGATGTTTATGAACGCCTGAAAACAAACGGCAAAGTGATGAAAATCAATAAAGAAATATAATTCGGTAGAACATTTACAGAGACAACAATTTTCATTCACGAAAACAAATGAGTATTTAAGTGTCTCTAAGAATCCTCAAGTCTTTACTAGTAAGCTTAAAGATTAAGTTTATGTTTTAAGCCGCCGGTTTCCCGGACCTGTTTGCTGTTTTCAAAGGTGAACTCAGGACACTAAAATCGCTCAAAGCTTTCTTTCTACAGCCAAAATTATAACTAAATATTCTTCGGAAAGTCTCTTCTATCTATTTACGGTGAATTAATATCGACTAAAGGCTTTTTAAAGTTCTGTAAGCTTAAGCTTATATCAAACCTCATACTAGGTCAGATCACTGTCTCAGTCAAATCTTAATACAAACGTGCATAAACTAGCGCCGCTGGACTTCATGAAATTAGATATAAATACAATAATTACTCAGGCTTACTATATTTCGAGATGCAGCTCTTGAAAGCTATCAAGTAAGGCAAGGATCGCTTGAGCCTTTATAATTCTTGCACGCATCCAGCAAGGTGAAAAACAAAAACGATGCCATCCGAAATCGGATTATTGGCTTTGACAAGCGACGCATTTCTCAACCAAAAACCCAATAAACAAACCAGCCATGAATAAGAGAACACTCTTGATAGCAGCTGTATTTCATTTTGTACATCCAGTGGAAAAATACAGTTAAAAACATGACAAGTTGACTCAAAACTCTGTCAGCTTCAGCTGTCAAAGTAAACAACTTTCAAGATGCTGCATAAATTTGGACGTGGAGCGTGACCAACACGTGACCATGGTAAGAAAAGGTCTTCCCCGCCGGTATTTTAAAAAAACTGGCGGAATTTTTGCGTCTGAGGTAAGTTTGATAGTGAGGGGCGATACTGACATAAACACAACATATTTGATATGAATTAAAAAAAAAAGTAAACATGAGCCTGCAATCATTTGAAAACGAATAAATTGTCAGCGGATAACTTCAAAAAATACTCGACCTTGATGGGTCGACACCTGAGCCCGCGATACGGTCAGGTGATACCGGTCAGCGGATACCCTGTTTTGAGAGCTGTCAATTGATAACAACATTGATGTGCAATCAGCTTCCTCCTGGGCTCCCAAAGCGAGAAAGTGTGAGAGTAAACATTGGTATGCCTGTGGTGCGGACGGACGGTCGGTCGGTCGGTCATGTGATTACCAAATTTTCTTGGATGGGTAGATTACCTTAGCTATGGGGCTCCGCCCAAGCACGCGCTTCGCGCGGGCGTGGAGCTCCGCTACTAAAAAAAGCTGTTTGTCTCATTTAGCGGTTGTTATATACGTAGGTCACAGAAACAAGTTCTTTTTTTCCAATACAAATCCTTATAGCGGTCCTTATATTTGGAAGTGATCGAAGGTTACGCATCAGTGCCAACGCTCATATTTCAAAGTTGAGATAATAGTAGTTAGTGGTTAAGTAATTATCTTGTCGATTTGGCACATATAACGGGCATATCTCACCTTTAACAAGTGGACATATGTTCCATGCTGTAATTCCTCCTTGGCTCAAAAACTGGCCCAATCCAACTTCCAGAATGTTGACTGGCACTGCAGCCACAACCAGGCAAATGAAGTAGGGAATGAGAAAGCAACCTGCCGATTAAAATCCGGGGTTAATCCGGTAAAACCAAAAAGGTTTGTGTTCCAAATCAAAATATGGGCGCAAGAAAGAACCTGCAGCTGTGTCTGATTATCAGGTCACTTTTTTTTTCTTGCACTTCTCGGTTTATTTAAGTGTCTGGTCTTGAGTATTTCGCTCTTGCAGACTTATTGATAGTTGTGCATGGTAAAAGCCGTAAAAGGACACGTGTAGCTTACATACCTCCACCATTCTTGAAACACAGGTAGGAAAACCGCCATAAGTTACCTAAGCCTATTGCCCACCCCACCAAAGCCAGAACAAAATCACACTTTGAAGACCAGACCTCTCGCTTGTGTACAGCCTCGACCATTTTGAACTTACTTCAGTTCTATCTGAAAATGCACACAAGAAGGAACAAAACAATTAAATATGCTTTATTGAACAAGCTTTCTCAGTCAAAATGACTGGCTAGGGGTTACGTTCCGTCTTTTTTAGGAGGGTTTTACTAAAATCCATAAAAACACACAATAAAAGGAGATTGAATCGTGTGCAGCCATCATAACAGAACAGCTTGGTTGTTAAGGATTTATCATAATTTGCCGAAAGAAAATATTTTTTTGTGAGAAAAAACGCAGGAGATCCCCCGAGTTGGCAACAAAGGCCTATCCTCCCTGAGAGTGGTTCGGGAACTTTCATTTGCCCCCTCGAGGAGCCAGCCAGGGATAAAAGAGAGGTTAGAATCGCGGTCACGGCCCGTTTAACACCAAACGTTAATTTTCATTTCACGAACATGTTTTATAATTGCTTGTCGTTTACTGTTCATTATATCTACCGTAAATCATCTGTTAAGCTCCCATCTTTCTTAAGTCCTCCTCCCCCTTATTATCCTTAACTGATAAATGACAGACTGTAATAGTCAATCACGACTGCAAAAGGACGCGTTGACTGATCTGGGATGATGTATTTACCAACTGGAACTTCGGATTTGTATTATAGTTCTTTATGGCCGGAGAACTGATACCACCGTCTTTGCTAAACTGGATAACCACTCCCTCTCAAATGAGCCCCCGTCTCTATCAAGCCCCCCCTCAAATGTGTCTGAAATGAATAAGCTCCCCTCAGGGGGCTTAATAGACGATTTACGGTATAGAAGAATTATCATTCTAAAGCCAGCTCCATTCATTTCCTACTATGAATTTTTTATGATCTGTCTGATGCTTTTAAAGCTCTTAAATGTTGAACTCGCAAGGAGAAGAAAATTGACACTGATCTGGGACCGAAGCAGATACTAGTTAATCCTGGAAATCACAATATTTTCCCTGCGTTGATCCATGCACCATTGAGAGAAAAGCTTGCGAGAGCACCAGGGAAAATGAGAGAAATTATCTCCGTCACCAATGGGAAAAGGCTTGATCCTTTATCAAATTCTCGACACTAATTAGTCGAGCTTGCTTTAGCAGAGCAAGACTCTAAAAATGCAGCGTTTGTTTTGTTTTCCTTTTTTCCGTGTGGGATCTAAATTGTAGGCCAGGCCTTCCTAGCGGAGACCGTGGAAACAGCGGATAAGAATCGTGACGACTTTCATTGTATGCAAATGAGTCTTGTCATGAGCATGTGGTTTACTTTTGGCGATGACTGAAATTTGGCAATGATGTAATTTTCCCCGAACCGAGGCCCTTAATTTTCGTGTAATTACGCACGACATCCACGCGTATTAAAAGGTAAATACCCCGAGTAGGATGAGAAAATATTATAAAGGGGAAATCATGTATTGTAGCGTATTGAGGCGTTATGTTTTCAGAATATTGTCGCAATTACTGGGACTCTAGGGTAAAATAGATTCACTTTGTTATATGTATCTAATTGATAGATTTTCGCAGTTGTTAAGATGTGAAGTCGAGTTACACTTTGTAAATACTTGAGATATCAAGTATATACTACTGGAAGTAACTTCAACTACCTGTCTAAGAGTTGATTTCCACTGTCGCGTATTTTTTACGTGCGTACGTGTGTACTGTCGCAATTTGTAATAATCATCGCACTTTGTAATACCTGTCGCGATTTGTAATAAATCCATCGCACTTTGTAACACCTGTCGCAATTTGTAATAAACCGTGTCGCACTTTGTAATAAAAAAGCTGTCGCAATTTGTAACAACTGTCCATCGTACTTTGTAATAAACTAAGCTGTCGCAATTTGTAATAATCCCATCGCACTTTGTAATAACTTTTTGAGAGTAATTAAACTTACTTCGTCAACATTAATATAACGCCAAGATATGCATGGTACTTCATAAACAAAGATGGAGGTGACGTCTGCTAGCACGTAACATCTCCGCTCATTCAAACATTTAACTTTATTCACAGTCCTAAACATTTTTTTTAGATTAATGTTGATTAGTTATCTGACTTACGAAATGCTGTATTCTTGAACCTTGCTATTGTACTAGGTGGCTTGCATTCAATGGTTACCCGGCGGGTGTACTTCCTTATATGGCCAATACGGGGATGTGTCTCTGGACAGAGCATTGCCAGAGTAGAGGATCTAGACAGAGCTAGACACATTAGACACAAACAAGCCATTATTAAAAAGCATTTAATTTCCGCTAATCGTAACATCCATCCTACATCATTCGAATAAGGACACCAGGAGAGTTCAAGTTTTCCTTGTTAGATCTTATAACAGGTTGACACATCACGTGGTACACCGTTCTTGTCTAACGAGCAATCTTAAAGAATTAATAGTGGCTTCCATATTTTGGCCAACTTAATCAAACGAGGCCTGGAAAGATTCAAAATGTTTACTGCAAATAAAAAAAAAACGTCACCAGTGGCAAACCTTCGAACCACAACAGAAACCTGAACACAAAATCCAGGTAGTCGCTGGCCAATACCTTCGTATGTACCTGTTTTCATAACACTCACTTGGGGTCTTACACTGAGCCGGCTGGGCATTTGGTCCATTATTCTCACTTGATTTGGTCCCATATAGGAACAAAAGGAGTACTCATTTCATCTTAAAACTATTGTTTTCTGTAAGGAGTGCTCTAAAGTAAATACCATGGGGATGGTAAAAAATTATCCTTCCCTGCGTATATACAACTCGTAAGACCTTGCAATTCTCCCGAGCGTGTTCTGGATTACTGTTTTTCTGCAAAATGGAAAGGATGGAATAAACCATCCATTACTACTTGAGTTACCCTATCCCTGACCCTATCTAAGGATCAAACCAAAGACACAAGGCCAACAATACAAAAAATGATACCCTATTAAAGGCTCGAGATCCTCAAAAACCATACCCTATCAGGCGGTACTTACCTATCTAGCCCATCCATATATGGGATTACCCCCCACAACCGCCGAAGACTTCACGTGTCACGTGGCAAGCAAGCATGGATTTGGACGACGAATGCCAGGTTATTCATGAATTTTCTGTTGTTAAATGTTGCCTTTCTTATTTAAATATTTTTGAATTTAAACGTGATTCATATCTTTTTGGTGATATGTCACAGGAAGTTTCATGTCTTTCATAAAAGCGTTTCTAGTTAGTCACGTGATTAATCAAGGCAGAAAAATTTATAGCGGAAGAAATGAATGTTTGACCAAAGAAAATGTTACGGTCATGTTACATGCTAGCAGACGTCATCATCTTTGTTTATGAAGTACCATGCATATTTTGGGATTATATTAATGTTGACGAAGTAAGTTGAATCACTCTCAAATATTATTACAAAGTGCGATGGAATTATTACAAATTGCGACAGCTTAGTTTATTACAAAGTGCGATGGACTGTTATTACAAATTGCGACAGCTTTTTTATTACAAAGTGCGACACGGTTTATTACAAATTGCGACAGGTATTACAAAGTGCGATGGATTTATTACAAATCGCGACAGGTATTACAAAGTGCGATGATTATTACAAATTGCGACAGTACATACGTGCGTAAAATTAACGTTTAAAAATAATATAGAGGCAACGTATGAAAGGTCGCACGTAAGCGTAAAAGTAGAACCTCGCTCATCTTCACGTTTAATCTCAACACTTTATTTCTTGCCTTTATTTTATTTACGTGCTTTAACGTGCGGAGCCAAAAACGCGTCAGTGGAAATCCACCCTAACGTTGCGTATGTGTCACGGATGTGTTTATACGGGTTGCTTTCTACTTGACTATCTCGCACTCTACTTGCAGCACTTCATGTCCATAGAATAGAGATCCCATGTCGAGCTTTTCCGGAACGGGTCGGTCCATGAATTCGGCTATCGCTTGAAAGCTTTGATTACTTTGGAACAAGTGATTACTTCAGTGGTCGAAAAAAAGAATAATCATGATGAGCAAAACTTCAAGGTTTACTGGAAAATTAGGATCAAGGATCGAGGATCGGTGATAGAGAATCGTGGATCGGGGATCTGTTAAGGATCGAATCGTGGTGATGTTAGGCTCGATTACCAGCCGCTGTTCGGGAAAATGAGCCCACACTCATCCCCCGAATCTCTCTTCGGGGAGGATCAAAGACCGGACCCGGGAGACGGTGGAAATCGAGCCTATGGTGATGTGGGCCGCAGACTGTAGATAAATTTCACAGAACATAATCCCGTTCGCTGTACTGAGCGCTAAATTCAGGTAAACAATTCGGTGTCTGACTGAGTCAGTGATTGTTTTTGAGGAGAAACTGAAATTTTGCTGGAAAATGAAACGCCTTATCCCAGTGATACTGTGATAAAATGCATGCTGTGTACAGCTCTAAACATTTACTCTGAGGCTGTACGGAGATATTAAAAGCAGATAATAAGCAGGTGTGGAAAACGGACAACAAATTCAGCAGGAATACGCGTGAACAGAATTAGCTGTCTGTTGAAAAAGGTTCTGCTAAACTTACACATTTTTCCAGTGCTCAACATGCCGTATCTCGGTCTGGTACAAAGAAGCAATATATACTTATACTGACAGAGTCATGGACTCCTGATACTGATAAAAATCGTTGTTCAATTTTTTGAGTGTAAAATCCCTGAAAAGGTTTTCCAAGGTTTCACACCGGTGTGAAGCTGAGATGTGCGGCTTGTCTCTCCTTGCAATTTCTACGTTTTGAGTATTTACATTATGACATATAACACTCGTTTTTGTATTCCAAACAAAAAAGTAGTATAACAGCACTGGCGCCTTTGACAAGAAAACTTATCTCCAAGCAAGCGAGACACACATCTACTAAGAGCGTTCTTGTTCTTTACGGGAATGCATGGAGATCGAGCCTGGAGAATTTAAAAAGGGCTAACCGCCTCACGCAATAAATGTATGCAGATTTCTGCTTCTACTTTTTTTTCATTGTTCTTTTTTTTTGTTAAAATTTCAAATTAAAGAGAAGCCTTTGAATTTACTCTAAATAGTCATCCTGGGCCTGCGCAAAGCTCAGCACAGGTAAGAGCATAGCAAGAGCATAACTAATAGTACACCAATATGCACGCGCCTATTTAAGAATAACCAGCAACAAAAACAAAACCAGAAAAAACAAAAGAAAACGAGGAAATATACGAGGGTGAGCAATTGCTGAAAAATTTGTCTAATCATTTCTTACTCGGTGGTTGTGACATCGGCATTCAGGACGTCCATAAAGATGTGGTTTCCAGAGATACTCACTGCTCCAAATGCACCTATTCTGTCTACTAACTTGCTGCCAAACCCGCCGGCTTTGATTATGTATGGTGAGGTAATCAGCCTTTTAACTCGTAGGACGGTGTCCTCTTTGAGTGTGGCAATATCAGGGAAAACACGGCATTATAACTCGAAAGTGTTTTGAACGCATTGCGGCACCCAGCGACCGAATATTTCCAAATACGTCATACTGAAGTGTCTCAAATGGTTTTCTTTATGTTTTAGAAGCCTGTTTAGTTAATTTCGGGCTGACTTAAAGAACTATTTATCTGCTCGGATTTCTCAAGGGAATGTTGGTTGTTCCATTCCAAACTGTTAGCTACCCTGATGAACATGGAGTAACCGCTCTTTTATTGGAGAATTCTAGAGAACGTTTTGTCACGTTCTGCGCTGAAATTTTCAACAGACTTTTTTAAAACAATATCTGCAATATCTTGTAACAAAATAAAAGGGGCCGACAAATGACCTAACCTTAGAAAACCTATCAATTAAGCTAAGAAAATCATAGGCAAGAAATTCTTAGCCTTTCCCGAGCTTAAAACATTTATAGACAATGTGTGCTCCTGCCGTGTGTGCGAGTGTGTGCGTGAGTATGCAAGACCAATGTACTAAGCTACTTTGCTTTCTTTGTATGATAGATCTGGATTGTTATGTAATTTGGTAGCAATGTAGTCATGTAATTGTATATAAGTAAATGAAACATGACAAAAAAATTCTCGTCAATGTAAACATATGGCTTTCTTGGGGTTTTCAGCTAGTGGCATGCTTTGTAATATTTTTACAGTCCGCGGTGGATAGCGTTATCCAACGTTTGAACAACCCGGGCCAGGTTTTCGCAAATAGAGCGTTGAACATCATAAAGCTCATAACCACTGGACCCAAACTTGACTGAATTAACCATTCTTTTTTTGATTTTCGGACCCTCTAATAATTAGAATGTTAGTTTAAAGAATGTTAGTTTTTACCTCACTAGTTCCGTCTCCAGTTCAGCAATCTGGCGGTGGCCTTTCATAACCTCGAGTATTAAACGCTCGTAGTGCTTCATCTAACCAAATAAAGATGCCGGTTTCACGTGGCAGTAATACAGATGTTTTAGCACGTGACCCAGTATTAAAAACACCTGGCGTTTCTTTGCTGATCGCCAAATTTAAAGTCTACAACCTTTCTTCTTCATCGCCGTACTAGACCCTTGTATCTACTTTCGCATGATCCTAGCAGTATACTGAACACATGTTATATGTTACTTTAATTACGGGAGAAGGAAGCTTCACGCTTGCCACGAGTTTCTTGCAGTTGAGAAATTCGAATATTTTACGCGAGATGTGTCAGGGAAAGCAGCAACTAATTTTACTCTCTTTGTCACTCTTCCGATATATTGAGTACCACATCTTTGATTCTTTACTTAGCTTGGATCAAAGGTTGTTTTAACATTATGTGAGTGAGTGAGACCTCTGATCTTATGTTAGTGTATTTTTCCGGTTTGGGCCTCTCCACCCTTGGCATACCTTAAACACACAGTTTTTTTTGCAAACCAATCTCAGACGAGAACCCTAAGGGGTGGACGCTGTATGGATGATACGACAAAAACCGTGATCAATTTCAGTTGTCTTTGTACATCCCTATGTTCGTGTACAGAGTCAATGGAGCTGGATCATTATCGTTGATATCTTATTCAAAATTTAGCGAATCGACGACTTGCGGTGTAGCGAAACAACCTAAATATCCTCAGATTACTCTTCCCATCTTACTCCGTTATTTTTTTGAATAAACCATCCTTTGTTTCATGTCAAAGTCACTTGATTGAGATGTATTTTTCCTAACGCTTCGATCTACGGCTTAATGCTTCTAGTCTTACGAAGATGTCCAATGGCTAGGTCTTCCCATCAGAATTTCCCATAGCATCAGAAACGTCTCGTTTCTGTAATTCTCAATTATTGTACCACGATGGATGAACAATAGCAACCGTTCTCTAGACATCGATAAACCAACTTTCTGGATTAAATTCACGTGAGGCTCACGGACGAGAGACTAGAAGAGATTTATAGAATCCGCCTTGGCTTGATCAGGACGAAATACACGTCACACGCGTGTGGCCTGCGGAGAATTACATATATACTCACTTTTAAAAAGTGAGCATATAATTTTCGTCACTTAAAAGTGCTTTTTGATTTTTTTGAAATTTTTTTTAGAAGAAGTGTGAAGAACTGAGAGCGGCTGCCAGTGGCGCCTTTGTTTGCTGACGTCCGAGCTTACTGTTTACATGTTAAAATGTATTGTAAGAGGGCACGTCTGTTGTCCTCTCATCCACGACTGTTCACGTCCTGTTCAAAAGGGAATAAAAAACCTCACATAAAAAAAAAAAAACAAAAGCATATAAAGTTCTGGTAAATAAAAGAACACAGTAATTAGTGGTCAATTGTTTGCTATTTCTTATAGCCTATAGAGGAAGCTCTCTATGCTTTTTTCGAATCCCACTTTATACACTCTGTTTGCCCTCCAAATTTGAAAAGTTATTGTTTTCAACTGTCTTGGAAGTATCCAGTCCCCTCAGGAACATTTGAAAACAACAGCCTATGCAAACAGTATTTTTGACGGGTGATTCGAAAATAGAGAATTTCGGAACTCGTGAGAGTTTATATTGCCCGCTCCGTCAGGCATGATATTCGCCTCTTATCAGTAATTTGTGCACCGTCACTGGCCTAAAACATTTATACCACCCTATATGATGAGCTGCAACAAAATCACCAGCACTTGCCACCATCAATAATCAAAGCATCTAGTTTCGATCGATGAAAATACATCATGATAAACGAACCAAGTTGTGTCATGTTGGAAATTTCTTTATCCCAGTGAGGTTGACATTTAAAAGAGGTCAACTAAGGAACCGCGCGCGCTTAATCTAAAATTCTGTATATTATCATGATTTAATACATGTAACAAAATTTACTCTGCTGTTGACTTTAAAGACATGAAATACGTGATAAACCTTTATAAAATAGAAGTACGAGTGGTAGATTTCTCTGTTTTAGAAAGCAAAGAAAAAAATTGTCTGTAGTTTACCACCTCGAACAACTTTGCAAAAGGCCAAAAACTGTAAATGATTTTTAGACGAAAAGCTCCAGATTTTTTAAGAATATAGTTTTACTTTCACTCCTGCTTGTAGAGCTCGTTTAGTTAAGGGGAGGGGGGTCCTTTGTAGAGCTAAGGCGGGTAGTAAGTTGGACTGCCAGCCACATGATTCTATCACTCTACTGAATCTACTTTCAGAGAGACACGTGACATATATAAATGCATTCTAGGGTGAGAATAGAACAAAGTACAATTTAACCGGTTGCTGTCGTGCATAACGCTTGGGGATCTACCACTGTAAAAGTGGCTGAGATTGGAGAAATACCGCCTAAGGATCGAGAGGTGAGCAAAGTAATTTTTTACCACCCCGAGTGTAAAACAGTGCCTTTCATTTTTTCGAAAAAAAGATTGATCATAAACAATAAAAAAGTATACAAGGAATTCTGTTTTTCTAACCGCATATCGACCTCTACGTGAGATCTTTATTGTCCATTTCATGAAAAAACAAAAAATATCGATTGTTAAAACTTTCATAGCGAAAAACTACTACATGCGAATTTGTTTACAATGTTACAAGCAGTAGCTTGGTTGAGGCTCACAGATTTAACGTTAAATTCTTGGCCCCAAAATTAATATAAACCTTGTACATTTTGTTAATAACTCAGGATTATTTGTAGTTATAACCTGCAAATATATTTTTTGTTTTTGTTTTTTGCTGTTCACACCTAACAGGAACGTGATTTCACCATAATCATTAGGTATAAAGTAAGTTCTTTAATAGCTCTATCTTGTTATACTCCCTACTGACGTCTGTGTGATCAGTGACCAAACCTGTCGGAGAAATTAATAAAGCAAGTTAACAAGATACTTGCGTTGCTTCTTGCTGCTCACTCACTAGTAAGACAAACTTAAAGCAAGGGGCACACTCACAAAAACGAGATTAGAGACAAACAAATATGTCCCCTAAGCATTTTTTTTGAAGCTGCAAACATCAGAGATAAACTTTGAAAAACTGTTAGGCTGAACAGTTTTCAAAAACCCTAATTTCAGTCCGTTTCAATCTTCTTCAGTTTTTCCCATCCGTGGGCAAAACTGTCGCATGTCGCATGAGGAAAAGTACTCACGTCTTTTGAGGAAGTTTCACTGTATGTGGTTTTTAGTTTGTTGATTGTGATGTTAAGCGATATGTATTGATATCCAGTGTCTAGACGTTATATTTCTCGATATGCAGGGGCTTGTGCCACGCCCTGGAGGACTCCCATTTAAAACTAACGTTGATGCTTGTCGTTTCGCTGTGGGGTGTGAATTGCAGATTTTGGTCTCACAGAGGGTGTTTGGGATGGAAAGTTACCATATATTGCCCATTCAGGTATCGCTTAGTACTGTGTATAACGAAATTTACAAAAAATGTCCTGCCACTGATCACAGAGAAATCCTCCCTAGAGGTCAGTTTAAGTTTGAGCCACACCTACATTAGTCTCCATAAGGGGTTTAATTTGAATTTTCTGACGAGCTTTCGCGTCACGAGAAGCGAGCATCACGCGCGCTAGTCTCCTTAGACGCTCGGGCCTCAACGTTCAGAGGAATTCAGTTTGTCATTCAAAATCCAAAACTCTGTTAAAAACCACCTCTCTATTAAAAACCAATTCACAATCTTCATTATGATCACGCCATTATTGCGTTACATTTCCGTTACGCACACATGTTCCGCACAGGTAAGAACTGAAGGCCAATATTGCGGGACAGGGAGCATTGCATAACCCTCTTCCAAGCGGCCCGAATGAGACTATGCTAACACGGGCGAGAACGGAGGACGTCAATCCTTCTTTTGACCCTTTTACTGCCAGAGTGTTTCATGGAGCTTTGTAAGGTGATTCTAACTTCTGATTCTGTAGACAAAATCCTACGATATGACCATTCAAATGAAAGCTCTCTTCCTGTATTTACACATGGTGCTATTTGTTTTTCAAAATGAAATGTGGGAATTTGATCGAAATTTGCTTTCGGCTAAATTTGGCAGTGAAAGGGTTAGGTATCGCACCCTCCCTACTAGCGTGCTTAGCGTGCATGCCAATCGGCCGCTAGGACCGGATTTTTCTGGCGTTAAATTTGCTTTTGCCCGCTTCCTTTTCAACATATGCAACTTACAAGTAAAGGAAACGACAAAATTTGCGTTTAGCATAGATTGCAAAACCGTCAGTTTTTTCTTTCCAAGTCGTGTTTCTATGACGCAAAGAACTGGCACGAGATTCTCGCACGAACCGTGCGACTCACACCCAGGTTTTACCTCTCTTTCTAGACGAAGGCACTGCTTAAGACCTTTTGTTTAACCGCTAGCGCGTTCTTATCCACAGGGACCGCGCAGAGGGAGGGGCAGGGGGGGCTTTAGCCCCGCCACTTTTTTTTGCAAGAATAAAAATAAATTTAATAAACAAAAAATAATTTAACAAAAGTAACGGAGTGAAAAATAGCAAAAAATCGTTAATTAGAAAGTGACGAGAGTTACTGGCAAAAACAAACGCGCGGATAAATCGACAGAATGAAGCATTAGTCGTTACAATTGTAAAATATTTTTTCGCTTCTAACCTAGCAGAGGTAAACGTCTTTTAAATGGCTTCTTTTTCCTGCGGACCTCTCAGGAAAACGTGTTGTTTCGTAATTGGTCAATTTCGATCCAAAGTAATAACTGGGTTTAGTTTATAAGGCGATTCTCAAACAAATTGTTTATTAGTTTCAACCTTGATTTTTGGAAGATCATGAAATTATTGTTTCTCTTGTTATTTTGCGTCCTGATTTTAGCTCGATCAGCGCGAAGTCCGTCTTTTGATGTCAGGCTTCACGGCTCGTTGAGCATTCCAATTGCAAGTTTTGTTGAACGCGGTCTGTTTATAAAAACATTTTGTCATCGAAAGTACTTAAACCGCAGAATTGTGAATAGCTCTGGTCATCAAGGAACATTCAATCCGGCGGTTATTACGAACAAAGAAGTGCACATGGTACACGGCAACATAAATACGAACGACGAGACTTCACATACCATGCCACTAGTAATGCAAAGAAGAGATCTCTTTAAAATTTCTGATTACTTTTCCAAACAAAATGGAAAACCTTCTTTATCTGGTGAGTAAACTCTGCATAATTTTTGCTACTTTTTTCTGAATCTGTTCTATAATTGAATTTTCATTCACTAAATTATTTTCAGTTACCGTTTTGTTTTGCTGTGTAAATATTTTGAATGAATAATTAAACAATTATTGAACTCGGCTTTCGTATGATATTATACACTTAATGTCAGATCCCAAGGGAAACAGTTAGTTTTGTTTTCCCGAGAGTCCTGATGTTTCCCGAGACGAAGTCGAGGGAAACATCAGGACTCTCGGGAAACAAAACTAACTGGTTTCCCGAGGGACCTGACATTAAGTATTTTGTTATATTTCTAGACTTTCACTTCAACAGCAACAAAAGAATAACCGGAGCGAACCAAAACAGTCGACTCGGTACTTATAACAACACAAATTTAATTCTCAAAACCACTGAATGAATGATTTACAAACAAAAGTACTTTCTTCATATTATCTGCATCTTTTTCCTCCACTAGCTGCTGTTTTTCTTCTGGGAACTTCTGGGATAACTTTAAAAATCGTTGCTTTTTAGCTTGAGGCTTCGTTTTTGTGTTGTTGTGTTCATTCACGAAAAAGAAAACTGGCTGGACCTGGCGGTGTTTTTCCCGCCTTCTGTCACGCCACTTTCCACCATGCTTTGATCACGTGCTGCAATGTATCCCGAGCGGGATACATTGTTTAATGTATCACGATTGGGATACATTTGATTTTAGTCAAGGCCACGTGACCAAGAATCAACCAATGGCAGTCCCTGTTTAGTTGAGTGAAAGTCTAGGAATATAACAAGAAGATATACAGATCTCGGAGGGTGTTATCCACCGGGCTCAAGCCTTCGGCTTTGGCGGATAACCCCGTCGATCTGCATAACTCTTCATATCATACTCAGCCTCGTGCAATAATTGCTTAGTAATTATACAGCCTTGAGTTGAAGGCAGCTCAAGCAAAATCGTTGGATTTCTGGCTTATTTATAGTAATTAAAGGTTGATATCAGTAGTATGACATAACAATCTATGATATTTCAATTTAGTGATGGTGAATTTTCAGACCCGATAGCAACATCACTGAAGATCTGGAAAAAAATCAATAGTTTTATCGTTATTCGCATTCTCCGTCACTTTAGAGAAATTGAATAGAAATCCACAAGCATGCTCCCCCGGCCCCCCCCAAATTTTCCTTCACGCATTCTTCTTTAGCCCCCCCCCCACTCGAAAACTTGCTGCGCGGTCCCTGATCCAACGCAAGAAGCGCAAACTGTTTTCGTATTGTAGTATAAATTAAATAAAGATTAATGCTCCGACATGTCATGCCAGGTAAACCTCCGTGTATGGACTACAAGTAGTCTCTTATTTTTCTTGTTGAAATGGTCTGTTTGAGACTTTGAGGGGAGAGCGCTGCGCGAGGGTCTGACCCCTCGCTGATCGCGGTCTAATGGGATGCTAATCCGAGCAAGAAGCTGCGCAGTTTCTCCAGTACCATGGGTATCACTCTAGAAGACAAATCACTGGTACAAATACATTTCATTTCAATTTATTACAGTTTCAATTGAACCATTCATAAGATCTTCAGTAAAAGGTCTATAACAGATAAGCCTTAGTTGTTTAAGTAACAACAAAATGAACTAAATTTTAACCCTGACCAAACTAGTAAATTAGCGAACAATTCTTGCAAGGACCACTTGGACCAACAGCCAGAAAAAGCCGGTGGTTGGTGTAGATCAGGATCAATAATATAAAATAACACTCACAGCTGAAAGCAATGACTGATCGTCCACTGAGCTATAGATAAGTAACATATTTTCCTAATATTTTGTTTATTTTGGCAAACCAACCTTTCTCTTACCCAGCCACTGAAAAAAGGTTACTTTTGCCTAACCGAAATATTGGGAAAATTTATTACCCATTCATAGCTGTCCGATCAGCCTTGCCTTAGCAGTGCTTAAGGGTGTTTACAGAAAGTCACTAAATTTGCGCGCGGATTCATGTATCTCTTAGGACTGTTTATATAGAATAGGGAGCTTAACAAAAGACGTTTATGAGCGACGCCCGTCATCCGGAAGTGAGGCCTTCTCCCTTTTTAGATGTCTTGGCGCTAACAAATTAAATTTGTATTGCTTAATTTCTTTTCTCTTATAACGAAGAGTTCTAACCAAACCACTCCCCAATGATGCAAAAGTCCACTTTCGGTTGACGTCCTTCGCTCAAAAACGCTGTTGCTTAGCTCCCTATTTTTGGAAAAAAAAAACGAAAAGCCGTGATGTGTGTTTTTGCATGCTTGGTCGCCCTTAATTTTCCGACTAGCCTCCCCGCCACTTCTATTTGGGAGTAACCTCCAGGCCTGTCAGATTTAAATCACGACCATGTTGCTAACTTTAAGCAGGAGCACATAACCCCAGCATTGGGAAAGAGCGTTTCGCTTCGGGGTTATATGCTTCCGCTTTAACTTACCACACCCACTCTCTCCTCCTTCCTGTTTGTATCGCAGGGAGGCTGGGAGAAAGAAAAAGAAAGCGCGAAGGCCTTTCCCTCTTCCCATCGTTCCCCGCGCGCTTTCTATTTTTTTATTGTTGCTGTTTTTATTGGGATAACCAGCGGGAGCCTCTGCGGGGGGGAGAGTCACACACACCTGAAAAATGTTTCCTTTAGATACGACATGTATTACAGCAGATGTAAGCAGGCTGAACAAGTGCATACCGCTTCGCTCACTCAATTACTTGCTTTCTTTGATCCACGAGGGATGTAGTTTCATTTGGTTCTTGTCTATCTTGCAATTGAGGTTGAATTAACTTGCGAAAACGCTGCAAAAAATGAAACAAAGTTTGATGTGGTAAATATGGCAATGACAGTCACAGACTACAAGAGTAGTTTACAAGACTTTTATCTAGTCTCAGTATACATGACGGGGTATGCGAATGCTCGGCAGGCTTCGAACATTTTCATGTCGAACTGAAAATCACAACTACAACAAGCTCTGACAAACCTCCATTCCTGGAGTCACGACAATAATATACGATTTAATGCCTACAAATGCAAAGTTCTATCTATAACGCGCAAGAAGAAGCCAGTTTACTTCAAGACTATTTTTTTTCCGGGAAAAGTACTGCGCGTACATGAGGAGAAGGATCTGGGTGTAGTTATTTCGGACAAACGTACCTGGGACTCACATTTACACCTGACTACAGCAAAAGCAAACAAACTTCTAGGTCTGCCGGCTAAAGAGATCATGTGCCTTGTTAACTAAAGTAGCAGTAAGAAGGTCCTTGTATTTAGCGACTCTGACGCACCACCTTTGTTACACTACTGAAGTCTGGTCTCCTGCTCAGAAGTCACTAAACTTAAGGTAGAGCAAGTTCAGAGACGTGCTACCAGATGGATCTTAAGTCTGAAGCCAGGCCAGATGTCATATGGGGGAAGACTGCTCGCCTTGGATATGCTGCCTCTTGCTTACGATAGAGAAATCAAGGGTCTCGTTTTCCTTTACAAAGCTGTTTTCGGCTACATTGCTGTAGACATTTCTAATTACGTAACTTTTAACAGTCATCCACGTACGCGCTGTGGCCAGGCTGCTGGTTGTTATCTTACTGTTCCGGCCTGTAAGACCCGCACGTTGCAACTTTATATTTTGTCCGTTTTGTAAAACTGTGGAACAACATATGAAATAAAGCTTTCCCTAGTGGTTTTACCTCTCTTAGCTGTTTTAAATCATTTTTGAAGAATTTGTGTAAGTCTCTATTAATGAATGGCTTTGACGTGGACATAATCTGCTCATGGTCATTTTCTCCAGAAGGTCCATGTCACTAACTGGATCATATGTACATGTTTTATTTTAATTTTCTTTTTTAATGCTATTACTTTTCTCGGTGGTTAGCTCGAAAGCTAAACTCCTCTGACCACCGTACACCCAAGGTTCCACCCAAGCCATTAATTTTCTTTTTTTTTCCTTGTTCTTCTCCTTTATTAGTGTATTCCTACCTTACTATATATAATGTAAATATTTCATAAAGTGTGAATAATAAAATTGAATTGAATTGAATCTACAGTTAGATTTTTCTGTTATTTCAACAAGGTTTTACATTGTTTGGATCTTTTTGGTATATATTTCAAATTTTTATATTCCCCTAGGGCAGGTAAGGGTTCAAGTGTCCCGTTCGTGACCTAACCTTTTGGGCTTAATGTCTTTCATGTATGTATATTTCATTGTGTTTTAATTTCGCCCAATAAAGCTGGTATTCTCATCGCTGCTATACCTGTGATCAACGGATCGGACCTCCACGATCTTGATTTGTGTGTTTTTGCGTTTTGAAAAAAAAAAAGAGATACAGAAAGAAAAGATACGTTCTCATAAAAATGATGAATTTAAAAACGAGAAACCTGTGAGAACGACAGGCAGTCTAACCGTCTTTCCCTCTCCTAATTTTAATTGCCGTTCGTTCTCACAGGTTTCTCGTTTTCAAATTCATCATATTTATGAGAACGTATCTTTTCTTTCTGTATCTTTTTTTTCAACATCGCAGCATAAATCTTCCAATATTTTTTGGTGAGAGTGCTCGGCCACCATAGTCGACGCCCACTTGGAGAGAGGTGCACAATCACTATGGTTATACTTGAAAGGAAAATGATACAAGGGAAATTAAGCTCATACGGAGCTTATCGCCGATATGATGTACACTGCCATATTCTGAATTTACTTGAGACCTTCTTCGAACATACTGACAATTAATATTTACCTCTTTAATTGACCCAGTGGTGTTCATCAGTTTGTATATCATCACCGTTGGAATTAAGGATAGTGACGACAGGGTCATTAGCCAGCCAATCGCCTGTCCCCAGGCAGGATAAACGTATTCTCGATACTTGAGTGGCTGATACGTCACGAGGTAGAAGGCGAGCACAGTCTAAGCACACAAGCAAAATAGTAAGTTACAGGAGCAATGTCATAAAATTTATCAAAATTTCAACAGTATATGATCTGCTGACAATTAAATTGAGTGAAACCTAAAATAACTGTTCAAAATATTAAAAGAAGGAATAAATAACAGAGCAAATACAAAAGATGAACCTGACTGAATTGTGTGTTTTTGAAAACTTGTTAGCTTAACCGTTGTTCAAAGTTCATTTTTGCTGTTTGTAGCGTTTGATATGATGCCTGGGCAGGGACCGCGGAGACCATTTTAAGGTGGTAGGGCTAAAAACTCTAGGCAATATAAAGAAACATTCAGGTCGGTGTTTCGCCATTTATCTTGCATTTGCGCGCCACCTTATTTACCACCTCAACGAATATGACATAGACGTCCACACGTGTTATACTATCGAATATAGCCAATATGTTAAATAAACCTCCTGAGGTTGCTACTTTTTGAAGTTGCCCGAAGTGCCGCAGCTCCTCTTGCGATTCTTATTGCAGGAAACAAACTCCTGTGTAGCTATAGAGATACTGACTATTCTCCGCTTGTGACTATTCAACACTGCTAGGTCACCCATCCTGGATAGAAGCCACGTCTTCAGACGCCGTGCAGATGAGAATGAACGCTCGTCAACAGCGCTGGTTGCAGGATTTACAGCAGGCAGCTTACAGATAGTTTGGGCTTTCTCTTGGTTTTGGAAACTTTGACACCGCCAACAGGATTTCGTCAAAACATGCTATCTTCTCCTATAACATAACTTCCAAGATACTTAGTTGCATGCCCAGGTAGCACCCCTGTATCAACATCTTCTCTGTATGATGCTTCAAGACTTGAACTCTGCCTCATAGTCGTCACCATTAGCAGCTTTAATCAAGAGGGTCTCCATCTGGGCGTAGGAGCTGAAGCTTTCCTGATAGATAGCCCTGACGATAAGATCAACAGCCTCATAATAGACCCTTCTAAAGTGATCTTTGGCAGTTTAAGGGTAGCTTGGTGCACCAGCACCAGCCTCCAGTCTGGCCGAAGTGCATCGCTCTCAGTGGAAGCGTTGGTTTACCAAGCAGGCCTTCGCTCTTGCGCGAAATATTAGCATAGAAATGGTCGAAGCTTTGATCACTGGGCATTTTTTTGAGCTTCTCCTTTGTTAGATATTCCAATGTCAGGCCTTGTCCACTGACAGCAGCCACCTTGGTACTGTTAAGATCCTTAGATAGATTATCGGTGTGGGAATGAAGCCACCCTCCAAGATGCAAACCAAAGAAAAAGTCAAATCGTTCCATTTAGGTCTTACATCCTATTATCCTTGCACGCACATCGGGTTGTAATCGTTCGGACAAGCAAACATCCCAATCTTCCATAAGAACTCCACGTTTTAGAGAAAACCCCATTAATTCCACGATAACTTTTTCCATGTCAACTGGAGCCCTAGAAAATAAATCCCGGCAAAAAAGTGGTAGGGCTATAACCCTACCAGCCCCTCCCCCTCCGCGGTCCCTGCTGGGAGGTACATTTGTTGGACGAGAAGCTGAGATTTTGCCGTTTAAAAGTAATTTCTTCTGTAAAGTTCAGTTTAGTAAATAGGAAGCTTAAGCAAAGGCGTTTCTGAGCGACGAAGGTCAACCGGAAGTGAGGTTTTTCCTTCTATATATGCGTTGGCGATATAAAATTGGTATTTCTTTGTTTCTTTACTCTTAAAGAGACGATTTGACTGAAAATTTGAGCGAAACGACCGCTCAGGAACGTAAAAAGTCCACTTCCGGTTGAACTGCGTCGCTCAGAAAGGCCTTTGTTTCAGCTCCCTTTTAGCTGTTACAGTTAAGCGCATAAGGAACTGTAATTGACAATAAAGACCTTTAGATTCTAAGACGAGTAAGACGACGAGTACGGGATTTTCAATATTAAGTAGTGCTCGCACGTGAACCAACGTCATTTGGGCGGGAAAACGTTGTAGCTGTCGTCATTCTACTGCGAGTTTCAGCGAGAATGTCAAAGTGGCGGAAACAATGGGATATCAAATGTTAGAAGTTTTATTATTTTGCGATCGGGAGAGCGCGTAACCTCCTTCAGTAAAGAAAACAGCCAGAACGGTGCTAACTTTTCTGGCGAAAAGTGGTAAAATGCCGGAAGCTTTCCGGAGAGTCTATATTTTGAGAAAACGCGAAAAAACTTCAAGTGAAATACTCGTACTCGTAGTCGTTCTCGTCCTTGAATGTAAAGGTCTCTAATATGAACAAAATGAACTAGACCATTGTGTAAACAACCGTGACACATCCTCTACCACGGTCGCTTCGGTGGAAACAGGTCAGATGTCAACTGCTTAGGTACCGGTCATTACTAGTCGCCTGAGGGGGAGGGAGGGGGGGTTGCGGAGGATTTTGAGGGATCACTTGATTTTTAGAATAACAAAAGGGGGGATCAGTCGTAACTGAGAACCCAAAAGGGGGGGTCACTGAAAACTTTGGACGGATTCAGAGGGGGGCACTCGAATTTGCTTGGAAAATGAAGACTTGTGGGGGGGATGGCGAAAGTCATCAAATGTTATTAGGGGGGATCAATTCAGTGAAGTAACATTCAAAGGAGGGATCGGCTAAATTTCACCTTGTTTAACCCCAAATCCTCCGCACTCCCCCCAGGCGATAAATAATGACCGGTCCCTTACCCTCTAAGCATCAATATCCACATACAAATTCTAAAGACTGATCTTCATTCATTTCCTTAAAAAATTAGTATAGAGAATTTAATGAAAGATCAAAGCATTTTCTCTTTGGTGATCGTTTTAGGAATTCTCATTACCTTTTCTCTAGATAGTGTGTGGACACTGTCAGGAGAAAGTTGATGTTGATCACTCTTAGAACTTAAAGCGCTGGATGGCTTGCACTATACATATGTTATGTTACACTACGTTATGTTATGTTATGCTATGTTACATTATGCTACCACCCTTTGTTCAGAACTATCCTTCACATTTACACGCTCTCTGTTTAGCCGCATTCTCGCTTCTGTGCAAGATTATGAAACTAGGTTATATGCAGACCATAGTTATTATTGTGCAGTGGTTATGGACCCCGTTAGACTTCACTGTTCATGATGTTTTCGTTAACCTTTTTGAATAAATGTCCATGCACAACGTTTAATAGCATTCTTATCAGTTTAAACTGACTGACCAGTAGGAACGTCCCATTAACTGACCCAGCGACAATGCACGAACATAAAAAACAAAGGAGAGCTCCCTAAATTAGGGGCAATTGCATCTGTAATTGCATCTAAATTTTCGGCAAAAGAATACTGAAGCCCTTGTAATTTTGAAAAGCCTCAAGTTCCCCTAGGATGACCGAACATCTATAAATCTTATTGCGCCACTTGGAATGCATCTCTAGAGCACTAAAGTACTCTGGATAGCCTGTAGAGGGTTTTCAATATATGTAGGAGGAAACCTTCTTTGGGTGCCGCTGCTAAATGAACTGTGGCACCGCTGCTTTTATCTTTCCCGGCATCAATAACCAGTTTCCTCAACTAACATTGCGCAGGCAAGTATTAATGAAAATCGCCGTTGTACTGACCAAACAAAATATTGGTGAGAGGTAACTCCAGCACCAGCCACACCAGGGATTGATAGTAAATCCCAACATACTGGCGAAGTTGTCATAGAAACGTTTTCTACCTGTTGAGAATAGCAAAAAAAAAAGTTTAAGCTCATACAACCCAAAAAAAGGCTTAATTTCAAACAAAGGGATGTAGAAAATTCGAAGAACAAAGGATAAGAAGCTGATTTTTACCACCTTCCTAAGTAGAACCTCCCTAAGTAGTACTGATTAAAATTAATGCAGTGGAACCAAAATATAAATACGGACACTAAGGAGACTTGCCATAGTGTCCGTTACATACGGGTGGGTGTCAGAAGAGCGTGGTTTCTATGTAAGAGCAAAACAGCTCTCAGGACCGTTGAAAATCACCTGTGTAAATAAGCGGCGATTTCTTCGAAATTTTTTGTCTTTGGTGAGTTCTCAGCTCCTTCAATTTGATCCTTAGCTTTATTTTAGTTTCTAATTTTCCTTAATGCAATGTTAAGGAGTCAAATTAAATATGTTTTCCGAAAATTTGCTGCAGATAGGCAAGCGCGAAAACAACAGGGACAACGAAACTGGGTGTTCCAGGTCGGGTTTGTTTACTTCAATATCCAGCACACTCGTCTGTTCAGAACCTGCCTCACCCAGCCACCAAAGCGTCGTACTTTTCGTCCCGTCAGCTGTAACTCCTACTTTCACCTTGAGATGAAATTACTAGTTCTTTCGGTCGCGCCAAAAAACAAATTAAACCTCAAGAAGGGAAGTAATTGGGTTCTGGCGTAAATGAAAAGCATTGTCTCACGTTAATCATTTAGAAAAAAAACGCTATGAAAAGTCCTAAAAAGGTAACAAACGATCGAAGAACACAATACATAGAGGATATTACACGGTGGCGTGAAGATATGAATTTTATTTTCGAGTGGCAAAACAATATTTTGCGAACGAGCGCAGCGAGTGAGTAAAATATTGTTTTTGCCACGAGAAAATAAAATTCATATCTTCGAGCCGCCGTGTAATGTTCTTTTTATTATATAGACAAAAAGACATCGATAAAATAATGGAGGGAAATTACCGAAATTACGTTATCGATAAACTCACGTGTGAGATTATGGAAAATAAACCACTCGGGTCCCGGATGTAGTTTTTATGAATTTTACGAGTGGTATATTTTCCAGTAACACACTCTTGTCTATATAATAAAAAACAAAATGTAACGTTCTGGAATTTAGGACGCTTTTCTTTACCATAGCCGGAAACGTACACCCTTCTCCCCCTGCCAGCGAGTATGCTAGCTATTATGGGTAGTTATTCACGTGGGAAGTTATCAGTTCCTTGTAAGAACAATTAAACATTTGTTTGCTTTTCTTACCATAAAACCATCCAATGGCCAAACATTCACCGAGGACCACCAACAACAGGACAGATCCGCTTCCAGAAAAAGCGTCAAACAACTGGAAAAGGTACATTCCACCCTACAACAAAAGACATCATGAGTTTGTATTCACAGACTTACTTCCGAAACCGAACAGTTCCGTAACCAGGTATATAGAACAAGGTGCTTTCGATACACTTAAAAGACTACAAAAAGTAAACCAAGATCGAAACCAATGATTGTATGGAAATCAGACTATAGGGCTGTACACACCTGGTGCTCTCGTGCTAAGGTCCTGGGTATTGACATCATAAAAATGGGGTTCAGACCTTGGGTACACGATGTAACTTTCTACAGAATTGCTGTATTTGGCCTTGTAAGACGCAATTTTGAAACGTTTGGGTAGCAGAAGGTTGTGGTATACAAAGCATCGCCTCAGAATTGAAAGCAAACGTGTGAACACGGCAATCCAGCGCCCACCCAGGCAGTGTATGATCGGTTAGTACCTGGCACCTTAGCCTGCGAGCAAGCTCTCCGGGTCACTCCGGCGGCGGGGTTGGGGGAAGGGGAAGGAATGAGAGCTCGCATCTACGTTTCTGGAATTTGAATATCTGCATCGGAAAAGTCGATGCGAAATGCTGATTGGCGGAGATGACATTGGCATTGACGTCATTACCCTTAACACGTGTTTGTTAACATTCGCACTCGTTTCCGCTTAGCGCTGATTGGCGGAAATCTGACAACTCAGTCGACGGGGAGCCACAGGGCAACTGGGGGTGGAATTCAAATTCCAGAGAGATGTAGTTGCAAGCTCTCCTTCCTTTTCCTGCCCCGCCGCCAGAGCGCCACAGAGAGTTTGCTCGCAAGCCATTGACACCTTTACCAGGCATCGAGTACAAGTTAAATCTCAAACATAGTTGTCACAATGATTTCTTTAATTATCCTTGAACTTTCGGCATAGTAATTGCTATTGGTAAACATTTTTTAGCGATCCTAGTGCTCTCATGAATGTTTTCCTGCACACTAAAGAGATGTTATCTTAGACTTTTCGAATCCAGAAAAAGATGTCTCTGCTCTCCTTACTTATCACCTTCCTCGCGGTAGCCTGCGAACGCACATGTATTTGTGGTCGTCACTCCTCTCCACCCGAAGCGTAAGTTCTGACTTTTACTTTTCGGTTTTTCGGACAGCCTGCTTTTCGGGTGGACAGAAGCGACGACCGGAAATACGTCTGCGTTCGCCGGCTACCCTACAGCCGTGACGAGACAAAAAAAGACTGCGAGGGAGACTATCTGACGGTAAACTGAAGGATGTTAAAGAACACCACGCTGGATGTGTCTGATCCGTAAGAGGATAATTCACTGTGCTGAAGAACTCCAATAAGCTCCATCAAACACGATCGACGAGATTGAAAATGGAATAACATTGTTTTCTGAGTTAACGTTGCATACCTCAGTCACCATGGACAGCCCCAGAAGAAACATCAAACAACAAGTAATAAGAGAAAAGAGTTCTTTACGGTGGCCACGACGTAGTTTATGAGCAAACCTGTCAACAATGCTTGTTATCGCACTTTCGACGTCAACAAACTGGAATAAAGAGCAAATGTAAAACTTAGTCCTGGGGGGTAACATGGTACCCTGCTTGCGGAGTCTCCTTCAGCCTGCGCGGGTGGCGAAATTGTTTCTACGCGCGAGAGAAACATAACGTGTCATCCCATTCTCCGCACGCGTTTGCAGGTTCTCTGCCAAAACGTTGCTCACGCTATGAACTATCCTTAGGCAAGCTAAGTCGCCTTCGTTGTAAATTAATAGAGCTACGGAAAAGTTATTGTTGAGGACAATGCCATTCCAGCCACTTGATAAGAGCGGTTGTTAGAACTGGGACATCACGGCGACTACCTACCATCAATTGAACGCTTGATTTTATACGTGAGCTTGCGAGAAAAGCGCATCGAAGTGAGTAAAAATATACTTGCCACCGGAGTGCGGAAAGAAAATGACGTCACTTGTTTTTCCCGCGAATTCTGATTGCGCGTTGGAAACCAAGCAGGGGAACATGAAAACTTTGTGGCGGACGAAAGTTGACTGCGAAAAAAAAAAAGCCATTTCCCTTCATCGTATGAGGATATCCACAATCATGTCAATTTCTACGTCAGGTAGGTAGCTATCTTGATTGTAGTAGCACTTTAATTCAATCAACCCTAAGCCTTAGTTAAATCAGGAAATGATAATATATATTAATGGCTTTGTTTCTTTCACTTTACCGCACTGTCCAATCCAATCAGGAGCAACATGAAGAAAAACAACACGGACCACAGAGGAGCTAACGGCATCTGGGCAACTGCTTCAGGATAAACAATGAAAACAAGGCCTGGACCTAGAGACGGATAAAAACACTGTATTGTAACACATACTGGGGAAGCAAGTGAGTTAAGGTATTTGTGGTAACAACTTTTCTTAGTCGTCGATTTTTCTTTATTTCTGCCGTCAAGGTACTCCTGACTTCTAAAAACTTTGAAGGGAATCTTTTAACAATAAATTTATAGTAAAAAAAAAAATGCTTCAAAATAATTTTTCATTTATGGTAGTTAGCATTTTAAGTTTAGTTTCTGGAAAGATTGCCTTGCTTTGCTTTCCATCAGTGCAACATTTAAGACAGGCACAGACCTTTTCTTCATTTTTTGACGCTAGCTGGGCGTGCTATTGCAGAGATTTAAAATCACGTATAGGAGAAATCTCAAACGTTAATTTCTGCCACGAGACAAAGCATTCTTTTTACTCAAAGTTTACTGTTCATTATGTCTAAACAAAAATATGTCTGTTTATTTCTAATCAAGAGTTACGTTTACGGCAAACGACAAACGTCAGATTCAGGTTGAGAAGTTCTCAATGAAGAGCAGTCTCTTCTGAAAAAGACTGGCGTGAGTATACTGATTTTCGTGTGGTAATAACGAACAGTAAACAAAAATTGAAGGAAAAATTTGGTCACGTGTTAAAAAAAACCAGAGGTGATAAACATTGTGACTCTACGTATTTTTATATGAACTTGACATTTCGTATTTTAGTCAACATATATTTTCGAAAGTGACAGAATAACGGCAAATGAGAAAATGTGACCCGAAATCTATCTATCATCTGTACAGACGCCATCTCTGCGGTTCATCGGTGAAATTTTGCCCCTTGTAAGGGAATCCAGGACATTCTTGGATTCTGGATTCCACGCTGTGGATTCCGGATTCCGGGTACTGGATTCCTGATTCCAGCACAGTGGATTCCGGATTCCAAAAAGGGCTGGATTCCAATTTTTTACTGTTTTAATACTTTTCTTTGCATGTCGTTTTCGTGTTCGAATCTTGCTATATTGAAAGACGTAACGTTGTTAGAATGCATAACAAGTTTGTTTTCTTTTTCGATTTGTAAATTACGGGTTGAATGTATTACAGTTCCGCAAGGGTTTATGGTATAATAAGGAGGGAGACACTGGGGGACTATCCACACCGCAACACCGCGGAAACTGAAAATAACAAACACCGCATCACCGCAAAAAAACGTGGCGAAACACCGACATCGCAATTTTAAATTTTGTCCTTCGATTAATCTAATCCAAATCTCCATATAATTAAGGATTGAGGATCTCGGAGCTGGTTAGCGATTAGTAGAGAGTGAGACTGACCTCACAACTCTATTTTTGCGAACTCTATTTTCAGTCATGCAGATAGAAAAATGCTTAATTAACAGAAACAAAAGAACTCTTGCAAATCATTCTTAAATATCCACGTTTATTCATTTGATTGCTGCATAAAGGTACAGTCATTGCTAGGGAAAATCGAGCTGCAATTTGCAAGAAAACGGCCTAACAAAGTTCGTGTGTAACTCCAAACCAATTTTTCCTGTCTATGCCATATCATAAAGCAGCGCAGGTTAATCAAGTCTTTTGCTATCCACTAATAATATGATAGAAGGTTCATTTTGTTTGTATGTCGTCATTCGTAGTTTTCCTTGTCCTATCCGAATGCCTGGAACAGGCTACGTCGAAAAATGTTTGCAAATTCTTTTGGAACATTAAAACAGTATTTCGAAGTAATTGAATTGAACAAAGCGTTAAAAGCCGCCAATCGCTAATCACCTCCAAACTATCACGAAGGAAAGCGTAGTTTCTTAACATGTATTTGGACATTGTTTTTTGTTCTCTTTCTACTTTTTATTGGAATCGTTGTCATAGCGCAAAAAACTAAATTCGGTTACCGCTCTTTTGTAAAACTTTCATTTATAGAGACTCATGTACAGTAAGCTGTAGAACACGCGCATTTGCTTTCACACTTTCTCATATGACACATGAGACACGAATTTTAGCCAAATACAATAAAATACACTTCTCCTAGGACTCGATAAGCATATATACTCAGTAAACGATTGACAAAAAGAGCACTACAGAAGATTAAATTGGGCTCCAAGCTGACAAAAGTGTTGTCCCTGTCAGTGCGGCCCTGAAGTGACTAAAGTTGTGTGTCACATAATTGTCTAAGAATGATAACATGGCTCAAAATAAATTTCGGACAGTGGCCGGACCACGTTGATCGATCAAATAAATTTTTACGCTGTCACGTCTCGACGTTGTTGACTAGTCAAAATAAAGAAAAAAAGTTAACTCTTGACAGTCTGCAAGCTCAAAACTATCTGTTACTTGGTCTGTTGCTGAACCATTTAAGGTGGCTGAACACAGTTTTGGCAGTTTGTGAGTATACGTCATTTGCCAAATCAAGGCAAGAGAAAGGTTGCAGCTCACAAGCTGAAACTTGGAAAGTAAAAATATACTGATGAAAGAGTTTGATTGAGAGGTCAAATGTGACGTTTTCGTGGTTTCCATGGCAACATGAACGATTGAATACAACCTGTGACTTGCTTGCCACCACGTTCAGTACAGTCCACAGATCGACACAAACGAAAAATCATGCAGCTTTACCTTTGGCACGTTTAGATCTATCGCAGTCAGCTAAAATTGGTATGATTTCACAACACAGTATTACAGGTACCTTTCTCTCTCAGCCCTTTGTTTTTACTTGTGCTTTCCCATAATGTCTTTGTACGTGATTACTTTAGTGACAGCTGACTGGTACGGTTCTGACAGTTCCTGGGTTATTTCTCAAATAAAGATTATCGAATCAATGAAACTGTTCTCCGCTAAACTACTAGGACCAAATTAGGCACTAGGAGACTGTAAATTTCTTTTTTTTCTGTTTAGGTAAACTGTTGAACGTAGGCGTTTATTTTCAATTGCGAACCACCGCAGGTCCAGTCCTATGCTAGGTCAAAAAGCTTGCATAAAATCGCTTTTGATTTTTTAAAGTTCAGCAAAGCGAGTGAACAACAGAGAATCAAACATAGCCAGAAGTTGAAGTTATTCATAACAATTCAATTTATACCTTAAAAAGGCAGCGCTGTGTTCCCTTGAAAACCCCCGAATTTTGTGATCCTGCCAGCCGCTCATAAGCAAGGGTTCCCTCGCTATTGTAGGACATTAGTCATGTGACCGTGACCTCGACCTTTCATATGGAGCTCGTGAACTATTGTTTTGACACCAGATATGCTGATATTATGTCGTCACGTTCAGGTCTATACCCTTGGGGAGGCTTTCCATAGATGGTTTTTCGTTCGAGCGAGTAGCTCAATTTAATCTGGAGTGGATCTTTGGTAAGTTGGATTCCGGATTCCAATCTTTAGTAGGATTCCGGATTCTTAGTGCTGGATTCCGGATTCCAAAGCCCAGAATTCCGGATTCCCTTACATGGGGCGAGAAATTGCAAAAATGCAACAACTGGTAGGTATATTATGAGGAAAAGCTGCAGAAAAACACTCACCTGACTGAACAACGTCTTTAACATCTACTCCTTGATTTGTAGCCATGAAACCCAACACAGAGAAAGTCAAAAATCCACCCACAACACTAGTTCCGCTGTTGTAAAATGCGTGCCAAATGCAATCTCTGCAAAATTAAAATCAAGAACAATGAGGCATACTTTTAGCAATAACTGTTAGGTGCTGCCCTGCGAGCAGAGGCCCTTCGATCTTCCTAGATAAGTCCTCTCCCCGACTTACCGAAAAAATAACACATCTTTGAAATAAAGTGTTGACAGGCTAAACTCGTGGGTGTGTAAGGCTGATTAGTCTAAGCATAGACAGACCACCCTCTATCGGTGTAGGAGTCATTGTCATAGGAATCTGTGCATCGGTCTTTTGCAATTTATAGAAAAACGTACTTTCAAATATGTGTTTTGGAGCAAATTGTAGCCACCGTAATGTTTATCCGTACTTCTTCGTACAAAAGATCAATGCTCTAATTTCAATAACAACAACGGGCACACGGACAGAGAATGGGTCTCCGTGTCGTCACGGTATGATGTTAGACACTTTCAGGAACCTATGACCTAGACTCCTGACATTGATAGGCTCCTGACATTTTTTAATCAAATACTGTACTTGTAAAAGTTGTTGTTGTATTTGTTAAAGCTTCCCAGTGTCAACAACGTGCTCATTCCAACACCGTATGAGTAAAACACTTGAGTACCCGCGTCAAGCCAAACCTGTAAGAAACGGTTAAAACGATTTGGTTAGGAATTGAAGCCGATGGGACGAATAAATAGAGAACTTTAGATTCGAGGATGACGACGACTATGAGAACAAGATTTCGCGCATTCTTAACAAAAATTGACTTCTAATAAAGTTTCAATTTCCTTTTTTCATCAGAAAAGTGAACAAGGTTTTATACTGAAGAAACATTAATTATATAAGGAAAAGGCTCTATAATTTTTGTAGTCTAGTGTAAATTCACACGACGTGTAAGGGAAGCTAGGTTAATAGAATACGATTCGTTCATTAATAAACATTAACGATGATGATTCATTTATTTGAAAGATAAATAATGAGCAAAGTGGAGGCCGGCCAACGGACACCTGACATCGTTTTTGGACTTGATCATTTACCGTATTTACTCGATCAAACGCAATGGTGTTTTTTTGAATTTCCATCGTTTCTGACACGACTTTTATTCACTAGAACGGTGTTTATTGGTAATGTTGTTCTCATTGCTCCTATCTGCAGCGTTTAAGCAAGGGCGCCGTTTAATCGAGTAAATTGGGGGAATTTTCTAAAATATAACCTGTCCATCCAAAAGTTTCGACCAGTCGGGCGTGACATAAAACATTATCCCCTTCAGAGCTCCCGGCAAAGTGAGGCCACGGATTAAGAGAATCAGTAGAAGAACATAAGGAGCCGTGGCAGTAAAGTAGACAATCTAACAAATGAAATGAATTAAAAATAGCAGATAAATAACATACGGATCACAGCGATAAACGAATAATTTGATAATAAGTAACAAATGAAGAATACATTAAAAAAAGAAGCATCGTATATATATCCAAATATCTTCACGATCAGATCTAAGCATGTAAACAGCGGCCGCTGATAGATTGCAACGCTATACCAAAGTACCATTCAAACAACATATTGGAAAGAGAGACAGCATGCAAAAACTACGATTTGTTGGCCCTATCAGTTTTTCTTTTTAGCCTTGCCTTTAGATAAAAAGATGTTCCCGACAAATTTTAGTTTGAACAAAACTGGCCGCTCAAAACTGAGCTCATTAGCGGACCATCTGGTTTGTGTGTCATGATACCTTTCTCTACCAATACCCCCCCGAAAAAAACAACCATAATGATCCCTTTACAATCTCCTTTAGAATGAGGCTTAAAGCCCCAGTCCAAAGTGAAACCTAACATTAACCCATGGCAGTCCGTAGGGCTCAATTTTAGGTCCCTACTCCTCGCCCTCTGCATGAATGATCTTCCAGAAGCCATCAAGTCAAGTAACATTGAATCCTATTTCGTGGATAACTCGAAAATATATGTTTCGTTCTCTTGTATTGTAGTTACATATGTACTAAAGTACTATAACAGCTCTTAATGATAGAGTTAAAAACACTTTTACAAAGTTATGGCCCATTGAATACCTTGCCACTGATCTTTACTCCTTTGACGATGCACACAAAACAAAGGATCCAGGAAAGCAGAAGGCACAAAGCGAGGTCCCAGTTAACTGCCCCTGGCTCCCCCAAACCGTCAGAAAGTCGTAAAACCCTGTAGCTAATAAATGAGAAAGAAAATGGTTACAAACTTTATTTCCAGTATGTCCAGTAACAGCTCTCAAGAAAATTCCTCGCTGAGTATTGCTGACACTCAGGTTGTTGTTTTTTGTATGACACCACATACATTGTGCATTGTATCAATTTAATTGTTTCTTATAAATAAAGACAGCGGCGGATCCAGGGGGGTGGATTTAAAACAGCTAGACAAAAAATGTACCGAAATATACGTAAAAAACATGCGAAAATACGTAGGTCCCAAAGAAATAGAGAAAAGTACCGGTGACCTTGTCTTTCCTCCACATAATCTGCTCAGGAAAAGAGGGCACTTAATACGCCTCTATGCTCTTATTCCTTAAGTCATCGCCACTAAGTCCGAAGAAGAAAAATTCCAAATAGAACACTTTCCAATATCCTGTCTGAATGACTCAGAAACCCAGGAAAGGAGACTTTAGGGAGTAAAAAATTCAAAAAATTGCACACAAGACTTACCAGCTATGAAAACGCAAGGCTCGAGTACTGGATTTTCGTTTACCTACCATTCGGCCATTGCAGAAAAATTTCTTCAAACAATACTTTTTCAGTGGAATACTTGGCTTTGGGGTACCATTTTCAATTAACTTCCCCTCTTCCTCGGCATTTTGAGGCTTCCGAAAACCTCTGAAACAAAACGCTATGTCCTCTTCGGTGACTGGACAATTTCTAAACACAGGTGAGATTTGATTTTCTTACATAACAATTTTATATGTAATGTTTTTTTCGTATGTTAATTTCCAACTTTCACAAAAGAGTCATTGTTATCAACTCCATTGAGACACGCTTTTCCAGGAATGTTTTTGAAGTCGTTCAATAAACTCGCGGGTCGGGATTTATCGGGGTATCAAGCCACAAGGCGAAGCCGAGTGGCTTTGTACCCCGAGAAAACCCTCCCGCTCGTTTATTAAACATTACTTAATGGCGGCATTGCGAAGAGAATTTCCAGAAGCAAAAAAATAAAGGAAACGACAATAAAACGTTGCTAAAATTCAACTCTCAAAATCCAAACGGTATCAAGCGGGAAGTGAATCAGATCCAAGGAAACTGGAGGCGGCTGAAACTCCAATCCAAGAAAGAACACGATTTGCAAAGTCGTGAAGCAAGAAAAACTAGTGGAGGAAAAGCTCTTAGTGATGTTGAACTTATTCGCAGGAAAGAAGCAAATGTCACGATAAAGGACATGAAAGAAGGATAGTCAGGAGTATAGTAATTTTGGAACGCGCCTTAAAATAAAACTTTCTCTTTGTATATGTCAAGTTTTCAAGGAATGACATGGAATTTTCTTTTCGTTTGGCGATAGCCCTTGAAACCTTGTGAATGGCTCAGTGCATACAGGAAATATAGAAACACTACAAACATTTTAATAAATCGCTAATACCCGCTCGAAAGTTCACCAGTTTTATGTAAAATCTCAAAGCAATAAAAACTTGCACTGAGCAACAGTGTAAGCGGCAGACCTCTCTTTTGTAGAATTTTGATAGATCTTTATCCAAAATGTTCAACAGGTTAGTGACCGAGTCTTTTCTAAGGCGAAATTACGATCGAAAACCTTTGTCATCAAATTCTTCTAAAGGGTAAAATCTTACCCTAAGCCGGTGCGGATTTTGTTGAACATGAATTTGTATGTTACAGTGGAACCTACAATGTAGATATAACGAGGTCTAATTTCGAGCAATTTTTCTTTGTTGAAGCCAGAAATAAATGATAATGAACACATTGAACCGAAGAGCAGCGTGAAGAGCGTGGCCTCTGACCAAATTAAACGTGCCTGTCAAAATTCCTAGGGGGGGGGGGGGCAGCCCCCCCGGCCCCTCCCTATGCTACGACACTGAAATGTGTTCGCCACATCGGGGTTTCGTTATATCGAGGGTCTTTTCCATATGTCTAGACTATGGCTGGAGTCAAGAAAATCGTTCACCGAGGACTTCGTCATACTTGTACTACTCCAACAAATTTATGCATGGCTTTGTTAAATTTCTCTTTGTTTTGCTTCGTTCTTTATTGTTATGCTTTTGTAAAGTATTTAATGTAAAGACAATACAATACAATGCCATTCATAAATTTGTCGGAGTATTGGACAACCCTCCGAGATTAATGCTCTCTGAAGGCTGGAATGCTATTGCAGAGACCCTATAGAAAATAGGGGAGCATGCCCCCGGACCCCCCTAGCAACTCGCGCCTTCCGCGCTCGTCATTGGCCCCCTCCAATTAATCTAACATTGCTACGACACTGCATTTTGCCAGTCCCTTGGCCTTTCGTTAAATCGAGGTTACACTGTACGTTGATTGGCTCAGTCACTTTTCAGTTCTATGAACCCTCTGTTGCGCAGTAGTCCGTCTATTTCAGGTTAGTCACTGAAACAAGGTTTAAACCTTCCTGTAAGCAGGTTTAACTTTCTATTGTTCCTTAGTCGGTGTTTAGACACGGTCTAAACAAGGTTATGGAAGAACGTCGTTGGAATAATCGGTTTTCATGACTTTGATGACTTGCATAAACGCTGTCTAAACTTAGTTTAAATAACCAGCCCATACGTTATCCGCAATTGAATATCTTTTGAAATTAATCTGTTCATTCATTCATCCGAACCATCCGTAAACGGGTGAAAAACCATTACGTTCCATCCAAAATATCAAGAATATAATTCCACGACACCACCTTCTTTCGCCAATATCAATTCAATCATTTTGATCCCAGAAAAGGGAGGGCCTGAAATTAACTGAGGTTGGTGATGTAAACGAGTAACCCAGAGGACCAGTGTTTGTGCTTACAGTGGAACCTCTCCTTTGGGACACCTCTATCTAAAGAAAATTCAGGACACACAAAATACGTCCTGTGTTTCTGTAACATGAGAAATTATTGCTTCCTTAACCCGGCCTGCGCAAACTTATTATGCCAAACGAAACGTCTCCCCCACTCAGGAAAAAATTTATCCTTGATGAAATGTCCCGTTTCCGATTCTTTCCAGAGGGGAGGGGGCAGTTGTACAAGAACTAATACTTTGAGGCACTATAGTATACTAAGGCTGCTTTCCATTTGTCAGCCCTGGCCAGCTGGACCAGTCACTTAGCAAATGAAATGGGCTTTTTCCAGAGGGTTTTGCTGAAAAACCATCTCCTTCGTGCGTACTATTTAGGATTTGTCTGATCTGGCTGGATAGTTTTCATTAAAAGTGAAATTCCCATTACGACGGGAATGGTCTGGCCGTTCAGTTCTGGCAAATGGAAAGCACCCTAAGTATTAATTGCTACTTACTCCCAGTATTCCTGGCTTGCTGATACTCGCTTTGCTACATTTGCTGCCGTTAGATTAAAAAGAGTGGTAACATTTGCAAATGTGTTATTCAGCGTTCCATAGTTGTCACCCTCTTCAGCATTATCCACACAGTTGGGAGTGTTCCATTCATTGTTGCAGTGGGACCAAGGAAGTTTCGATTGAAACGAGTGAAACAGGTAAAACAAGACCCAGGCAAGAATCACATTGTAGTAGATAGAGATCCAGAGAAGGACTGCTATACTTGCATAACCAATACCTAATAAAAGATATCAATTAGTCAAGTTGGGCCAAGTTCAACCGTCGAACTTTTCATGTACCAAACCTAATTGAATCTCTTCAATGGGCCTTTGTCACACGGCGGCCATTTTGTCCCGAGTGACTCAAATAGCTTTGGTTTACCTGCCTAGCCTCTCTCCCAAGGGTGGTAAAACAAAGCTTTTTCAGTCTCTCGGGACAACATGGCCGCCGTGTGAAAAAAAGGCCCATTGAGTACATGAAGAGATGGACGTTTGAATCAATTAGGTCCGACTTATCTAATTTGGGTCGAACCATGATTTAAAATCAAGTGGCTCACATGGGAATTTCGACTGTGGATGGAGCGACCTCGTTCCAAACGTCGAACTTCTCACGTGTCGAACCTAATGCAAAAATTACTATAATTAACTTTACATAAATAAATAAATAAATAAATAAATAAATAAATAAGGGACATATTGAGATCAACGGTAATGCAAGACGGGAATAAATTGTGCGGTCTTATCAAGTGAGTTTTGTCAAGTGGATTGTGTGGTCCTCTACCCGATTAGCGCCCATTTTATGGCGGGTTTTATTCAGGAACCAATATGCTGGTTTTTTGAAAGGATATATAGAGAGAACAAATCGGTTCCAATCCATCAATCGGCTCGAGGACCACCTGAAGAAAAACACAGGCCCCAGTCGTTCAAAAGGTTGACAACGCTCTCCACTCGATAAATCTTTATTTACTAGATAACGTAATTGGTTAGTCCTAATACTTATCCACTGGATAGTAATTTATCCAGTGGATGGCACTATCCAACGATTGAACAACCGGGCTCAAATAACTTAAGTATTAAAGGAAGCCGTTTGTTTAAGTCACAGAAACTATCGTTTTTTCCAATACAAATCCTTATTTTGCGAAGGTTACCCAATAGGGCCGACGTTCACATTTCGAAGTTGGGCTTTTAGTGTTTAGACCAGCTAGATAAGAATTAATTATTAATTATTGGCAGATATAACGGGGATATCTTTACCTTTAACAAGTGGACATATGTCCCATACTGTAATTGCTCCTTGGCTCAAAAACTGGCCCAATCCAACTTCCAGAATGTTGACTGGCACTGCAGCCACAACCAGGCAAATGAAGTAGGGAATGAGAAAGCAACCTGCCAATTAAAAGCTGGGGTTAATCTTTTATTTCTGAGCTCCGAGAATCCGAGATTTTTTTCAAACCTTCGTTGAATTAGAAAAAACAGGAAGGTTTGTGTTCCAAATCAAAATATTTGATTTGATCTGATTTTATTAGATTCGCCAATTATTGGCAGGGTCACCGCGACAGCATGACGCCAATTACTGCGGGCCCGTAACAGTCCTTCGCCCCGTGAGAGATAGACCACCACACCGGGGACTACGTCCCTTACTCTTTACGAACAGTGTGTGGGTGCTTTAACGTCCCACAGAATTTATATATGCAATGGTTGTAAGGCGGGGCCTACGGTTTATTGTCCTTAGCCGAAGGCACAAGGAAGAACCTGCAGGTGTGTTTCTGATGATCTTGTCACTTAATTTGTTTCTTGCACTTCTCGGTTGTAAAATTAGGTTTACTGTATTGTCATTCCATTTAAGGCACTTAGTACGTAAATAACTCTACTTAATAATGCCAGATAACATTTTTTAATCAGCTGACCCTCTGTGTAGTAGTAGCAGAAGTAGTGGCAGCCCGGCGGTAGCAACAGTACTGATTTTATTTAAGTGTCTGGTCTGGGCTGTTTAACTCTTGCAAACTTATCGGTGGCTGGGCCTGGTAAAAGCCGTAAGAGTATACGTGTGCTTACATACCTCCACCATTCTTGAAACACAGGTAGGGAAACCGCCACAAGTTACCAAAGCCTATGGCCCAGCCCATCAAAGCTAGAACGAAATCACACTTTGAAGACCAAACCTCTCGTTCGCGTACAACCTCGACCATTTTGAAGTGACTTTAGTTCTTTCTGAAAATTCACACAAGAAGGAACAAAACAATTAAATATGCTTTATTGAACAACCTTTCTCAGTCACTGGCTATAGGCTACGTTATGTCTTTTTTTTTCCGTTTTCATTCAAATCTGTAAAAACGCAAAAAAAAAGGAGATTGAATCGTACCCAGCCATCATAACGGAACAAGCTTCGTTATTAAGGATTTGTCATAAATTGCCGAAAGAAAATATTTCTTTTGTGCAGAAAAACGCAAGAGATACCCTAAGCTGGCAATAAAGGTCCATCTTGCCGGCGAGTGGCTCGGGGAGCGAGCCAGGGATAAAAGAGAGGGTTGAATAACGATTACGGCCTGTTTAACGCTAAACGTTAATTTTCATTTCACGAACATGTTTTATCATTGCTTGTCGTTTACCGCTCATTATATCTACCGTAAATCCTCTATTAAGCTGCCCCCTCCACCTTATTATCCTTAAGTAATAAATGACAGTCTGTATTAATCAATCACGACCATAAAAGGTCTAGGATGATTTATTCACCAACTGGAACTTCGGATCTGTTTTTGATGCTTGGCTGCATGACCTCCAACTTCTTGTACTTGAGTTTTTCCACTGTGTATTATAGTTCTTTATGGAGCACTGATACCATTGTCTTTCTTCGCTAAATTGAATAAGCCCCCCCCCCTAAAATAAGCCCCCGTCTCTATCAAGCCTCTCCCCCTCAATTTAGCTCCCTGGGGCTTAATAGACGATTTACGGCATTCATAAGAATTATTTCATTGCTCATTTCCTACGTTGAAATTTTCGTGATCTGTTTGATTATTTTAAAGCTCTTAAAAGTTGAACTCGCAAGGAGAAGAGAATTGACACTGATCTGGGACCGAAGCGAAGCAGATACTAGTTAATCCTGGAAATCCCAGGTAAGGGACAATTTTTTCCTGAGATGATCCATGCTCCGATGAGAGAAAAGGTTGCGAGAGTACGAGAGAAAATAAGAGAAAAAAATCACCATTACCAATGGGTAAAGGCTTGATCTTTTATCAAATTCTCGCTACTGATTCTTTAAGGAAATGTATGGATACTATCAGTCTGGAGAATTTGTATATGGATATTGAGGGTTAAAGGGCTAACCGCCTCCCAGATTTCTGCTTCTGCTTTTTGAAAAAAGTTTCACTGTTGCTTTTTGCAAGATTCAAATTAAAAAAAGTCTTCCAATTACTCTAAACAGCCATTTGGGCATGAGCAAAACTCAGCACAGGTAGGAGCATAGCCAAGGGCATACCTACGTGTATGCCACTGTGCACGCGCGTATTGAATAACGATCAAAAAAGCAAAACCAGAAACAACAAAGCAAAACAAAACAAGGTGGAGGAAATAAACGAAGGTAAGCAATAGTTGAAAAATTTTTATAATTATAAACAGAAAGCATTTGTTTTTCTTACTCGGTGGTACAGTCAATGTGCCGTCGGCATTCAGGACGTCCATAAAGATGTGGGTTCCAGAGATACTCGCTGCTCCAAATGCACCCATTCTGTCTACTAACTTGCTGCCATACCCACTGGCTTTGATTATGTATGGTGAGGTAATCAGCCTTTTAACTCGTAGGACGGTGTCCTCTTTGAGTGTGGCAATCTCAGGGAAAACACGGTATTATAAGCGGAAAATGTTTTGAAAGCATTTCGGCACCCAACGACCGTGTCTCAAATGGTTTTCTCTACGCTTTAGAAGCCTGTTTAGTTAATTTCCGGCTGACTTAAAGAACTATTTGTCTGTTCGGATGTCTTAAGGGAATGTTGGTTGTTCCATTCCAAACTGTTTGCTGCCCTGATGAACATGGAGTAACCGCTCTTTCATTGGAGAATTCTAGGGAACGTTTTGTCACGCTCTGTGCTGAAATTTTCAGCAGACTTTTTTAATTATATCTTGTAACAAATTAAATGTGACTGACATATGACCTAACCTTAGTAGAAAACCTATCAATTAAGCTACGAAAATCATTGGCAAGTTGGAAGAAAAACTCCAAAAAGAAAGACATTTTTAGCGTTTCTCGAGCTTAAGAAATTTATAGTCAATGTGCGCCCCTTCGGACAGTTATTTTATAGAAAAAGAGTCATTCGGTGGCCTGATTCTTTCAGAACCGAAAGCAAATGACTCTGTCGTATCTATAAATAGAAACGAATCGACTGGGAGCACAGCAGAGAAGATAAAAAAATTAAAAAAAAAACAAAAACAAAAAAGAAAAAAGCAATTGAAAAATGCATCATATTCGACCCATACTTAAGAGCTATACCTATAATATCGGACAGAAACTTATCACAGCCTGTCTCAGCCAATTTGTTTTCCAGTCCCAGCGCTTAATACCGCTTAAGTCTGAAGTCCAATAAGACGGAAATGTGTTTCCGCTAAACGTAGATGATTGGTTATCCGCGAAGTAAAACTCCCAAGAAAATTTCACATCGTTCACGAGAAAAGCATGTGAGAGTTATCTGAAGGGATGTGCTTCCACGGGACTTCAGTAACACTAGTTTGTGCTACAACAGTGTCTTTTCTTAATATGAAGTATGAATGTCAGTGAACCTTGAAACTGTCTTGTAAAATAGCTATTGACGAATGATGATGTATATGTCTTGATAGGGGAAGGGGGTTGCGGGGGGGGGGGGTCGTAGACTCGGTCGTTAAATTCTCTGATTGCCGGTGGATGCTCGGTAGAAACAAAGGAGACATTTTTCTTAGGTTTATTTCTGACTCCCTGAATTGCTTCCTTAACGAAAAATCCTCTTTTCTGTCTTGCATAGGCTTCGTGAACGATACTACAAACCCTCTCTTTCATCATGCATTCTTATGGCCTTAGCCCCCCAAGGGAACTCTTTTTTTTTCGAACCGTATTAAATTGTTTTGACTATGAAAGACGTTATGCTATTAAAAGTGGGACTTAAAGAAAATTTAATGCAAAATGGGGAGCCTTTACCCCGGGAAAATAATCTTTAGTCTTTCTCTCCTTTGTACAAATGTACAGAGAACAGCAATGACGTTATTTCTCTAGAGGCTGTTTTGACAATTCTAGGCATGAATCAGTATACGTGCTTAGTTGCAGGTGTTATATGGGTGTGTGCAAGTGTGTGCTTGAGTATGCAAGAACCACGTGCTAAGCTGTTTTGGCTTCTTTGTATGATAGATCTGGATTGTTCAAGTAAGTAATGTACTTGAAGTGTAGTCATGTATTTATTTGTAAGTAAACGAAACAGGACATAAAAAATTCTCGTCAATATAAAAATAAAGCTTTGCGGACGGGAATCCCTCAGTTATTGAAAAAGGCGTGGAAGGGGATGGTGAGATACCTGTGAACGAGAGTCCGAAGAGCACATTGCATTCTAGGCTTAGAAATAGTAATAGTCACGTACACGTGACCACTGACCAACTTCCCGATAATAGTTCAACGTAACTCTGATTAAAAAAGAACAATTTCAAGAAAATCGCTATATTCATGTCTAAATTAGTCTTGCTGTCAAATGGATTCAATTCTTTGAAAAGTTTATTAGGGAGATTAAATCGAGGATTTGTGTTTCCATTTTTTGATACTGCTAGGTTATCATAAAGAAATGTTTTTGTGAAAAAAACGAACAGGCCGCAGTCGTTCAAAGGGTGGATAATGCTTTCCACTGGATCAGAACGCAACAGTGGTTCCCGTAATACTTATCCGCTGGATAGTGATTTATCCGGTGGAAAGCGTTATCCAACATTTGAACAACCCGAGCCAGGTTTACACAAACAAAACGCTGAACATCATAGAGCTCATAACCACTGGACCAAAACTTGAGTGAACTAACCATTCTGTTCTTGATTTTCTGACTCTCTAATAATTAGTTAAGAATGACAAAGAGTGTTAGTTTTTACCTCACCACTTCCGTCTCCAGTTCAGCAATCGGGCGATGGTCTTTCGTAACCCTAAGTAGTAAACGCTCGTAGTGCTTCATTTAACTTTTTTTTAGAGGAAAAGTCACGCAAAACTCTCGAGAACTAACCAAATAAAGATGCCGGTTTCACGTGGCAATAATACAAATGTTTTAGCACGTGACCCACTATTAAAAACAACTTCCCTTTCTTACCTAATCGCCAAATTTAAAATCTACAACCTTTCTTCTTTATCGCCCTACAAGACCCTTGTATCTACTTTCGCGTGATCCTAGCGCGCGCGGGATACAGAACACATGTCATATGTTAATTACGGGAGAAGGAAGCTTGACGCTTGCCACAAGTTTCTTGCAGTTGAGAAATTCGGATACTTTACGCGAGACGTGTCAGGGAAAGCAGTATAAACTGATTTTGTTCTCTTTGTCACTCTTCAGATATATTGAGTACCATATCTTTCATTCTTTTCTTAGCTTGGATCAAAGGTTGTTTTAACATTATGTGAGTGAGTGACACCTCTGATCTTATGTTAGTGTAATTTTCCGGTTTGGGCCTCTGCGCCCTTGACATACCTTAAACACACAGTTTAATTTTTGAAAACCAATTTCAGACTAGAACCCCAAGGACGGTGTACTATATAAGGACCGTGATCAATTTCAGTTCTCTTTGTACATCCCTATGTTTGTGTTCGGAGTCAATGAAGTTGGATCATTATTGTTAATATCATATTCAAATTTAGCGAATCGATGCCTTGCAGTGTAGCGAAATAGCCTAAATATCCTCAAGATTACTCTTCCCATCTAACTCTGTTATTTTTTTTTAAAAATAAACCATCATTTGTCTCATCAGTGTCTCATGATAAAGTCACTTGATTGAGACGTATTTTTCCTAACACTTCGATCTACAGCTTAATGCTTCTGGTCTTGCGATGATGTTCAATGGCTAAGTCTTCCCATCAGAATTTCGCATAGCATCAGAAACGTCTCGGTTCTGTACATTTCACTTATTGTACCATGATGGTTGAACAATAGCAACCGTTCTCTTAGCCTCCCACGCAGACGTTTTTAGGAGAGCTCGTCTTTCATCCCTCCCCACAGGGAGGGATGAAAAACGAGCTCCCCCAAATACGCCTGCGTGGGAGGGTACCGTTCTCTAGACATCGATAAATCAATTTCCTGGATTACATTCACGCGAAGCTCACGGATGGGAGACTAGAAGAGATTTATAGAACCGGCCTTGGCGTGATCATGACGAAATACGCGTCACACTCGTGTGGCCTGCAGAGTGATGAAAATTATATACTTACTTAAGCGCTTTTTATTTTTTTAAAAATTTATTGTAGAAGAAGTGTGAAGAAAAGGGAAAAAAAACCCCACACTTCCAAAACAAAAACAAAAGCATATAAAGTTCTGGTAAATGAAAGCACAAAGTAATAAGTGGTCAAGGGTTTACTATTTCTTATAGCCTATAGAGGAAGTTCGAATTCCACATTAATATGCACTCTGTTTGCCTACAAAAATTTGCAAAAGTTATTGTTTCCAACTGTCTCGGAAGTATCCAGTACCCTCAGGAGCATTTGAAAACAACAGTTTATGCAAAATCGGGGGGCAGACAGAGTTTATGATGGGTGATTCGAAAATAGAGAATTTCTGAACTCGCGAGAGTTTGTATAAGGTCACGAATTTTGCTCACGGATCAGGCGTGATTTTCGCCTCTTATAATTTGTGCATCGTCACTAGCCTAATACAATTATATCACCCTAGATGATTTGTGGCAACAAAATCACCAGTACTTTGTCACGATGAATAATCAAAGCATCTAGTTTCTATCGATGAATATACACAAACGCAAACCAAGTTATCTTGAGTCATGTTAGAAATTTCTTTATACGTGGTTGACATTTAAAAGAGGTCAACTAACGAACCGCGCGCGCTTCACCTAAAATTTAGTATATTGTCATGTTTTAATACATGTAACAAAATTTACTCTGTTATTGACTTTAAAAACATGAAATACGTGTTAAACGTTTATAACATGGAAGTAGGAGTGGTAGATTTCTCTGTTTAAAAAGCAAAAAAAAAAAAAATTGTCTGTAGTTTTCCACCCTGAACAACAACTTTGCAAAAAGCCAAAACTGTAAATGATTTTTAGTCGAAAAGCTCCAGATTTATTAAGCATATAGTTTTACTTTCTCTCTTGCTTACACAGCTCGTTTGGTTAAGGGAGGAATTTTGTAGAGCTAAGACGGGGAGTAAGTTTTACTGCCAGCCACATGATTCTATCACTCTACTGAATCTACTTTCAGAGAGACACGTGACATACATAAATGCATTCTAGGGTGAGAATAGAACAAAGTACAATTTAACCGGTTACTGTTGTGCATAACGCTTGGGGTCTACCACTGTAAAAGTGGCTGAGATTGGAGAAATACCGCTTAAGGATTGAGAGGTGAGCAAAGTAATTTTTTACCACCCTCCTTGTAAAACAGTGCCCTTCATCTTTTCTAAAAAAGTTAATCATAAACAACAAAAAGGTATACAAGGAATTCTGTTTTTCTAACCGCCTATCGACCTCTACGTGAGATCTTTATTGTCCATTTTATGAAAAAACAAAAAAATATCGATTGTGAAAAATTTCATAGCGAAAAACTATTACATGCGAATTTGTTTACAATGTTACAAGCAGCAGCTCGCTTCAGGCTCACACTTTAACGTTAAATTCGTGGGCTTCGAAATTAATATAAACATTGCACATTTTGTTAATAACGAAGGATTATAGTCATATCCCGCAAATATGTATTTTTTTGTATTTTTGCTGTTCACACGTTAACAGGAACGTGACTTTACCATAATCATTAGGTATAAAGTAAGTTCCTTAGCTCTGTCTTGTTATACTTCCTGATGAAGTCTGTGTGATCAGAAGAAACCGGTCGGAGAAATAAAACAAGTTTTCAAGCTCACTAGTATTCATTAAAAAATATTGTTTAACGGCGCCCGTGGACGTTAGAGATGAGATGAAATCTACCTCTTTGTCGCGTGAGTAAAAGTTCGTAGGTCATGTGAGAAAGCGTCGAGTGTTTGAGGAAGTTTCACTTTTTCACTTTTTAGTTTGTTACCGTATTTTCTCGATTTAACGCCGGGCCCCGAATAAACGCTGGGTCTTGGAGGGGAAGTTGTAGATACACCCCCCAGACGTTTATTTATGGTATAATAAACTAACAGTATAGCTCGAATAAACTGAAAATTCAAACAAAACGCCGGTCCAAGTTTGATTTAAACGCCGGGGGCGTTAAATTGAGAAAATACGGTAATTGTGATGTTAAGCGTTTACAATTTTTGGAATCGATCATACATTGCTATCTAGTGTCTAGATACTATATACTTTGCAATATGCAGGGGCTTGTGTCACGCACGGGAGGACTCCCATATAAAAGTCACGGGGACGCTCGTCTTCTCGCTTTGGGCTGTAAATTGCAGATTTTGGTCTCACTTAGGGTGTTTGGGGTGAGAAAGTACCATATTTGCCCATTCACGTATCTTTTAGTACTATGTATAACGAAATTTACAAAAAATGCCCTGCCACTGATCACCGAGAAATCTCCCATAGGGGTCATTTTAAGCTTGAGCTACACTCACATTGGTCTCCTTTAGGAGTTTAATTTGAATTTTCTGACAAGCAGCCCCGTCACTTTTATATGGTAGTCGCCCCACCAGGGTGCCACGGTGCCTAGTCCACACTCGCGGCAGGGCGATTCCCTCTTATTCTTTTTAAGTTCTCTTTTTTCCCCTTAATTTTGTCAATAACAAAATTTTCAAATCTGTTTGGTTCTCAACTGACCTTTATCTTTTGCTTAACCTGGCTGACCTCTAAAAAAACAGACGAACACCTTGCTCTGTCCCTTTGGTGACTGTATTTAAGAGTCATTGTCAGAGAAAACCGGGCGGTGCCAAAAGATTGGGGTCAGCCGATTTCCTTTATTTTTTCAGCATTAAGAACCAAGCTGATAAGATTAACTTTGGTGACATTAACAAGATTTCCCGGCTTTTCACTCTCGAGATTGACCACCCCCCTTGTTTTTGGCCAAGGAAAGCCCTAAAAACTACCAAAAACAATGGCAATTTCTCGGGTCTAAAACAATTTTTCCTTAAGGAATTAGTGCACAGATTTTTTTCTGAAGCTAAAGTACCTTAAAATAAACGTTTTGGATGCATAAAATCAAGTTTTTAGTGCAACGGTAATTTTGCCCAAGGGTTTTAATCCGGGTATGTTGCGTGACTGTAACAGGACAGCGAATTTCGGCGATTTTCTAAGCCCATTTTCTTGAAAGTGCGGCGGTTTATTTGTTAGATAATTCCATTTTACAATAGTCTATACCCCTCTAAGTCAAAAGGAAAAAAGTATTGATTGGTACAAGAAACTCTTTTCAGAGGAAGCCTATTTTCGCGAACGTGATTTTGCGGTATTTTGCATAAAGCATGTAACCTTGCTTTTTGGTAATGGCCTTTAAATTGTAACTTTAGACGGCTGAAAACTTCATCACCCGTATAAGAAAAAAATAATTTGGAAAGGATACTGCAATGAAAAGAAATCAACCTTACTTTGGAACAGCGGAAACCGTTGCAGTCGTACACGTATGATACAAATTATAAAGCAGACATATTAATTAGAATTAATTATAAAGAAATGAATGGACGATTTTTAAATTGTCTGTGCGACGAATTTTCAGTCATATAAAGTTTCAGGAGAATACTTTTTACTTGGATTTTGCAGAAAATGTTTGTTGGCCAAAATATGATATTAAGAAATTAATAAACGACTTACACGTATAATTGTAGCTGCGTAATTTGAGATCGAGCAACATCTATAAATTTGTATGTCTCGCGCGCCGCTGGGTTATCAGGTTTCATTTACGACTCGCCGAAATTTGCGTACTTTCGTTGTACCAGACTTGCTTTAAAATATGAACTGTTCGTTCGCTTCACAAGAGTCACCTTGTAGTTCTTACGGATCTAGTACAAATGTTCTGCCGCTGGATGCTTGTAAAGAAGACATAACACCACAGTTACTGGGACTTGGTGTGAGTAGCAAGCGAGGATGGCGATCCGAAGGAATAGAAATCACTGAGAAGGAGCTCATCTTGAACAGAGCAGGACACTTCGATTTATCTCAAGACAGAGTAGCAGCCATGACCATCTGTCCTAAACACAGAAGAGACCTGACAGTCGACTGGAGAGGTCATAAAAGTTCAACATGTTGCTATCCATCGCACGAAGGTCAACGCAAGCAGGTCAAGGACCCACGCCGTGTCAATTACGCAACGTCCAAGAAAATCTTTGCTTTACACAATGCTGCTGTCCCAGTTGGGTCCGGTGAGTGTCTCTTATTACTTTAAAATCCTTTTGTCGATCTTACCTGGTAAATTACGTTTCCCATAAATATCACGAAAGGCTCTAGGCTCTAGGCGTATCGAGTATGACTATTGTAGTGAAAGCGCTGGCATCAAGTTGCAAATTTTAAGGCGCCACTATGGGCCTCTTCATATGAGCCCGGTTGACCGGGCTGACTCGGTTTCCGAGATCTCGCCTCACCTCTAAATCCTTTGTAAAAGTTTTCAATGTGTTCATATGAGAGGGCGGGCTGGCTCGGTTCCCGAGATCTCGGTAAGAGTTACCGATGCCAAGATAGGCCCAAAAGTTAAAATGTTTGTGTTTCGCTATGTTGCTTTGTTTCCCAAATTTGGTGCCAGAACTCGTACCCAGGATCTTTGACCTTTTCTCATCTCGGAAACCGGGCTGAAATTTCTCATATGAACCCAAGGCAAAATTCATCCCAGCAACCGAGCCAGCCGGTCAACCGGGCTCATATGAAGAGGCCCTATATCAACAGAAGCTCGGGGGGTGGGGTAAATTTCCTTGGATGTGCCATAAATCAAACAAGGGTGAGCCATCCGCGGAGACCTAGGGGCAGTCAGTCGGGTCGGGAGAAAAGGCGCGAAGAAAGTTTTCAAGCACGGACTGACTGCCCCTGGGTCTCCGAGGATGGGGTGAGCAAGCAAGATACTTTTATTCAGAACGGAAGCTAGCCTGCGAAGCGCAGACGTATTTCCGGTCGTCGCTTCTCTCCCTCCGAAAAATAACGGAGGGAGAGAAGCGACCACCGGAAATACGTCTGCGCTTCGCAGGCTAAACAGAAGCCTTTTTTGCCACAAAAAGTCTTTTCAAGTGTTGTCGTGACAGAAGCTACAGCGTGACACGCCTACTTGAACAGGAACTATAAACTACAACTGTAAAGGTTTTTCAGATTATTTTATAACAGGAAAATTTTTTCAAATAAAAATAATCATTCATCTCGCGCTATTTTCTTAAAATGTTTTAAGTGCTCGTACTTTTCCACTTTCACTGATGACAAGATTGAAACTCAATGTCTAAATTTTAGCTGTCCCACAAACTATGTATAAAATTCGATTTTTGGGGTTTGAATTAAGAGTGACATTTTTAATCTTTATCCATTTCATTTGTATTAGCTATTTGTGTAAAGTGTCGCACAGAGCATTACAGACTACGCCATGAAGAAGACTCTGAAAGAGGAAGGGGCGATCAGCAGGTTGTGTATTTGCTTTCTTTAGTCACGCAATTTAAGCTAGGCATCTGAAACACTTAACAACAGGTTTAAATATTTAAAAACCTATCCAAGACTGTAAAAGAAAACAAAAGAAGAACAACAGAAAAATCGTGAAAGAAACGTGGATGGGAAACTCGGGGAGGGAAGGAATTTGGAACAAAAATATCATTTGCTGGGAAGCTAGGAACTGAGAACGAAAAAGCGATAGATAGCATTGCCAAAGTTAATGTCTCTTTTTTCAGTTTGAAAATAGAAGGAGTTAGATGGACTAGCTATCCCCACCCTAACGTTTTTTAGCGACCTGCAAGCTTGATGCAGTCCGACCAGTACCACTCTACGACGGCCACTTTTTGAGGGGGCGTTGTAGAGAGTGTCCTTTATGGGGGAGGGGGAAGGGTGTAAATGTGACACAAAGATTTTTATTTTGGAGAAAGGGAAGAACCTTTTTACTTTCATAAATGCTTGCTCTAACATATTATTACGTAACAAATCTATCAATTAAAAAAAAACTATTAAAACAAAAGTTATAACAAAATAAAGCGACTAAGGTATAGTGAGTACATCAGTTTTGTATAGATCGCTTTCAGTTGAAACTTCTATTTGTGTAGATATCATGACTAGTAAACTACAATAAAAGAGACACGGCAAATCGACGTTTGCTGTTTGCCGTGATTCTAAATCTCTCTAATGTAAGGACGAGGGGTAGGCTCTAGTACCGGGAAAGGTTTGAATGCAATAGAGAGAAGTCGTTACGTCACGTCACGTTGCCATGGTCGCAAAATTTTTGGATGACAACAAATCGAAAATTCGGTTTCAGGTTTTAGTCTGTTTGCAACTTTTAGTGGTTTTTACTCGTTAAGGAGTCCTGTAATTCCCTTTTCTGTGGCTCCATTCTCGGTAACAGCGTAACAGAAAAATTATGGAAATGTAATTAATATCCCTTTTATTGCACTGACAGTCTCAAGTGGCTGGTGATGAAGATGTATTTGAACTGCCGCAGCAGAATGAAGATCAGGGGTTTCTGGTAACGTCTAATGCAGAACAAGAGATGGTTTCATCATCATCACAATCATCCCAACAAAGTATCCCAGAAGAAGAAATCAGTATCTGGTCCGACGAAGTAGAGGAACAGCAACAGAGAAGGCAGCTACTGAACAATACCATTAGCACTTTATCTGGAGGAAGAATTTCGCCTATTCAGTCAACTTTGAATACGTCTTGGGATGATATATCGACAACACAGCAAAAGTACTATCTGCGAAAGGCCAAAGAAAGCATCTGCACAGCACTTTCGGTCCTTAGCCCTGGACAGGAAGAGGAATTATGGACCACTCTTTGACAGGAAAGATTAGTAAATAAGGATTCTGCTGGTGCCACTAGACGTAGAAGTTTTGATCCGAAATCTGGGCTAATCGACGTTCTGATCAAGTCATATAACCATGCCGAGTCGTGGCAAACAAAACGACAGATACTCTCTCTCTTTGCCAATGATTTTAGCAGGTCCCAGTTGATGAGCATGATACCAACACTTTCAAAATGGCGAATAGATGAAGCTCGACAGCATGCTACCAAAGTTGGTGAAGGTCTGCCTGTTCCGCAAGAGCCAATTTTCCGTTCCCGAATCTCACCCGTTCAAATTGATCATTTTATCGATTACATCGCGAGACCTGAGATGCTGCAGGACGTAGCATTTGGCACAAAAGTGCTTAAGCTCGATACGGGAGGAAGCATTATCATTCCGGCAGTTATAAGGACTATGATACCGTCAAGAATAATTGAGCAATACTCAGTTTACTGCAAAGAGCAGAATTTTGAACCAGCAGGACAGCGTTCACTCTACAGAATAATAGAGGTGTGTGGTGCCTCAATGCAAAAATCTTTGCAGGGACTCGACAACACTACAGCAGAAGGGACGGAGGCCATAGACAATGTCACTGACGTGCTTAAGACGCTTGGAGACTATGGATCGGAGGCTACCTGGGTAAAGGATGCAGAACAAAAAATCAAGGAGGCAAAGAGATACCTTAAGACTGAGTTTAAGTCCCATGTTGGCAGAGAGGAAACTTGTGCTGATCACTGCACTGCATATGCCCTAGGTGACACAAGTGACTCCAACCTGCAAAGCATATGTCAGCACGAACATGAAACTGACTGCGAGCAATGCGAATCATTAGAGACAGTTTTGAAGGAAATTGAATCCGAGATCAACCGTGTTGAGATGCCGGAGGAGCACAGATGGCGGTTAAGCCACGACTACAAACTCTGTTTGGCATCTATCCAGGAGTGGAAGGCGCATTTGCTCCGAACAGTAAATCAAGAAGAAGGAAAGCAATTTGCTCTTGTACATGTTGATTCAGCTGCATGTTTAATCGTTATGGATTGGGCCATGAAATACCTCCCACAACGTTATCGGGAACGAATGAGTGATTTCTTCGGAAAACGAGGACGAAGCTGGCATGTGAGGTCTGTGATCACTAAGCATACTGAAAAATTCCAAGTGGAATGTTTTGTCCATCTGTTCGATAACTGCACGCAGAACAGCTTTGCTGTAGCCTCTATAATAGAGCATCTTTTAAATACCATCAAGAAAGAATCACCGGAGATTGAAAATGTTTTCCTGAGATCCGATAACGCAGGTTGCTACCATAGTGAACCTCTTTTGCTCAGTCTTCCGTTCATTGGTCAACGAACCAGCATGACAATTCTGCGTTACGCCTTTTCAGAGCCACAGTCCGGAAAAGACATCTGTGACCGAAAGACCGCTCCTATGAAGGCACACCTACGACGATGGGTCAATGAAAAACACAATGTCATCACTGCGGAAGACATGAAGACAGCACTAGAGTCGCATGGAGGAGTAAAAGGAGTCAGGGCGGCAGTTGTCAAAGTGGACACTAATAAAGAAATCACCGCCAACAAGATACCAGGTATCAGCCTTCTTAACAACTTTTCGTTTGAGGAAAACGGAATACGCGCTTGGCGTGCATTCAACGTTGGACCCGGCAGATTCTTATCATACAGTCAGCTTGAAGTTGTACCACAGGAAGAAACTGGATTGAAAGTCCTAAAGGAGTGGGGTCCACGTAGCAACAATCTTGGCTCAGTTAGCCATGCTTCCAGTCCACGAGGAGAAATATTCTCATGCAGTGAAAGTACATGCGTGCTAACGTTCAAGACTCGAGAAGAAGCGGAAGCTCACGTGGACGCAGGGAAGCATGTACGTGCGTCAGATCTAGATTGTGAGTCTGTGTACGATGCGGCACGAAAGAAGTGGGCTGACCGAGTCGGAGAGATGCATGTGGCTAGTGGAGATAGACAGCGAATTGCATTTGAAGAAGCCGGGCCTTCCAGTGCTAGAGAACGCCGTAATAAAGGGTGGGCGCTTAAATCAACTAAGCGGACCAACAGGATGGAAGAGAAAGTAAAAGCCTTTCTTGTTCAGAAATTTAACCAAGGAGTAGCGGGAGGGCAAAAGGCTGATCCAATTCACGTGGCTAGAGAGATGAAGAGTATTAGAGATAGCAGTGGAACGTTACAATTTAAACCAGACGAATGGAGAACCGCTCAACAAATTAGTAACTTTTTCGCAAGGATGTCAGCGTTGCAGCGCCAAAGACAAGCTGATGAAATAGAGAGCCAGGAGGAGGAACAAGAAGTAACAGACGAAGACCTCATAGCCCTTGAATATGAAGACTACATTCAAGCCATACGCCAGGAGGTTTACAGAGACATTGAACAAAATATCAGTCACCCTATTAAAGTAGAAGCAGTAAACGTTTGTGAACTTTCGCGTGCTGGAAAGCTCAGTTCGCTGAAGTTAGCACAGTTGAGAGAAGTATGCAGAGCATTAAGTCTGCGAACAAATGGTAGCAACTCAAGAAAACGTACTTTTACTGAACCACTTGATGCCTACGCTAAGTTGTGCTCATGCCGGAAATAACTGAATTTTGCACTACGTATTCTTCTCTCGCATTTTATAAAATACATTGTTGGGCTTTGTCAGTAGTGATCGATGTAACAAATATCCTGCGAGCAGAGGCTACATTTTCGCTGTGGGAGCTGTCGTGCGAAAAGTAGCCTCTGCCGACAACCGTTCAATTTTCTATCGTGCATGCGCGAAATTCGTCACGCCATTCGCAAGCAAAATTAATTGTCACGTCTGTCGTCAAATGGCGCGAGTTTCGTGGGAATAAAAATAATTGCGACAACTCTGATCTGCTAAGCAAGACTCACGCAATGCTCGAAACCGGTCAAGAAAAGGAAAAAACCCGTTTTTTAAAATTTATTCGTCCAGATTTCTGGACGGATTTGAACGGTTGTCGGTAGAGACTACTTTTCGCACGACAGGTCACACAGACAAAATGTAGCATCTCCTCGCAGGGTATGTAACAAACTTTGCATACAAAGCGAAAACTTTGAGAATTTCTGTTGGATGATGTGATACAAAAGTCGTGATGATTTTATCACTAGATAGGACAGCACATACATCGTCCTGTTGGCTTACTCGCATAGGCCAGACAATAATCATCGAAGTACCAAGTAATTGAGACCTTTGCGTGCATTATGGCAGTCTTGTATAACCCTTACGTTAAAGCAATAGTATTTTATAGTTATTTTCCCTTTATTAAAACCTAAGTGGAATATAAAATACTCATTTAAAATGGATTAGTACCTTTATAATGCAGTATTGCCGCTATTTAAAACAGAACAGTTAGCCGTAAGAGCGATCTTTGACATTTTCCAACAAAATTCGCGTGAAAAGAGTTTCTTGTGCCGATCAATAAACTTTTGTTTTTGATTTAGGAGGGTATAGACTGTTAAAATCTGTAATTAAATAAAAAATAAACCGCCGCACTTTCAAGAAAATGGGCCTAGAAAATCGCCGAAATTGGCTGTCCTGTTACAGTCACGCAACATACCCGGATTAAAACCCTTGGGCAAAATTACCGTCACACTAAAAACTTGATTTTATGCATCCAAAACGTTTATTTTAAGGTACTTTAGCTTCAGAAAAAAATCTGTGCACTAATTCCTTAAGGAAAAATTGTTTTAGACCCGAGAAATTGCCATTGTTTTTGGTGGTTTTTAGGGCTTCCCTTAGCCAAAAACAAGGGGGGTGGTCAATCTCGAGAGTGAAAAGCCGGGAAATCTTGTTAATGTCACCAAAGTTAATCTTATCAGCTTGGTTCTTAATGCTGAAAAAATAAAGGAAATCGGCTGACCCCAATCTTTTGGCACCGCCCGGTTTTCTCTGACAATGGCTCTTAAAATGTTAAACTGTCATTGCTCGGTGAGGGAGGGTAGACTGCTTGACTGCTAGCCTCCCACGCAAAGGTTTTCCCACGCAGAAGTTCTTAGTGGTTCGTCACGCGTTCCTTCTCCACGTTGGAGAGGATTGCGTGACGAGCCAAAAGAACGTATGCGTGGTTTAGCAAGACTGTAAGCAGCCCCTCTGGATTTTTGCGTGGGTGAGCACGTTATTTTCAAGCGAACAACGTTTTGCGCGTTTGCCTCGCTTGCGAGCACGTAAGAAGCTCGCCCGTGCGACAATACCAAGGAATTGTTTGGAGTTTACTGGGAAATTAGGATCTCTTCTAACAGTACTCTTACCTCCCTGTTCTTGCTTAACAGAATATAGTGAGACCTCTATTCAGGGGACACCCTCGGGTTCAAGAGAAGTATCCCCTGAATAGAAATGTCATCTGAATGGAGATGTCCCTGGAGGTTCCACTGTATTTGTAGCCCTAAAGGTGATGTTTCACGGAACGATTCGCAACGACGATTTTTAGCGCAACAGAGCGTTGCAATATTGGAACAATGTTGCAACCATTCGAAACAACATCGCAACAATGAAGCAGCGCTATGTTGCGCTAAAAATCGTCGTTGCAAATCGCCTCGTATAACATCACCTTAAGAGAAACAAAGGCTTTGTTCACACTATTCCGTACAGCTTTTTCGCTGCGACGAAAATCATACTGGATTGGGCTTCTGTTGAAAAACAAGAACGGTCGACTGAGTGGAGTGTCACATATCGGATGATTTTGTGCCATACTTTGGCGCAGTGTAATATTCGGCACGTCGCGAAAGTAAATGAGTAGGAGAGAGGCCTGGAACTCACTGAGAAGGGAGTAAATTTTTGGAGCGAGGATTGGAATTTAGTACACCAATCCCTCTCGGCCAACCGGGCTGGCAGGATTTTCAATGTGTGTGAACGACTTGTGCCGCCTCGGGCTATTGCTATTTACACTATACCGAATGGCTGGTTTTCAGTGTCACGACATTCAAAATAGATCATGAAATAAAAATCAAAACCGTTCAATAGATAAAGTCAGGAATCTGGGAAATGCCGGAAAGGAGGTAAATATACCAAGTTGCTTGCCAAGATTCAGGTCAGAGGAATATTCCGTATACGAGATATCCGAAGAAAGGTTTTACCCAAATTTATAGAGATTTGTATGGACATGCCATGCTGCTGCCCAACTGGATGGGCACCAACATGGCGGACGGAAACCAACATAAACATCTGTTACCGAGTTTTGGTACAAAAGCATGAATTTAATCCTTGAGGAACTCATAAACATTAAAGCAATACTTTTCCTAATCCTTGAACTGTTTAGATAGCAAAATTCTTCTAGATACGTCACTTCTTTAACCTACGTGACAGCTCTCTCTTCATGTAAATGCCACGTCACGCAAAAGCGTAAAAATTCAAGCGTTCTCTATCAGAAAAGCAAGTACCCTTTTAAAGCGAAAATTTGTATGAAAATTAGTTTCAGCTGCTCTAATACATCAGAAAAGTAAAATCTTAGTAGGATCGATAGTTTTGTGTTTTGAATTTTAGTGACGTCATCTGAAAACCAACAATAGCTTTTTGTGTCGGCACGAAACGTTCCCCGCATCGTGTGAACATTGCTTAAGTCCCTCCTTACGATCATTTTGTGTTACTTTTTTCACATGCTCAGGGTAATAAAGAACAACTACAGATTTATAATGGTTGACGTTGTGAAAGAACGAGAGATCTGGTCATCGAAGATTGATTTCCTTCTTGCATTAATGGGTTATTGTATCGGCTTGGGTAACATATGGAGATTTCCATACCTTTGTTTCAAAAATGGTGGAGGTAGGTAGGTTCTTTATTTAGCAATTTTTGCAATTAGAATGCCATATTGTTCCCTGGGTAGAAGAAGCATTTTAGGCGTGCGGTGGGATGTGTCGGCCAAAGGCGGAAGCTACGAGGGGCACAGTCATGGTAAAGACTTCATATAAAATTGCAATTCTAAGGCCATGTTTCATTATTTACCTTCCACCCCAGACCATGTTCACGCTATACCGAATTGCTTTCACTTCTGGACTAGTCAATCTTGTTCTCCCTCATCAAACTTGTTTTTTGAGTGTGACCATCCATTTATCCATACATAGATGGCCATAACTGAGCTAGCGTGTGTACAAACGCCGTCTCCCCTAAAAAAATTGATTTGTTCTAACTGGGGGAGGGAGGGGCGTCTGTAAACAGGCTAAACTAAGCCCTCTCTACCAAGTGCATGGCTATTAGGCCTGGGTTAGAATCTATACCCTAGCAATGCAGTGGCCAGTCCAGACCTTTAGATAAGGAGGGGGGGAGGGGGGAGGGCGGTCTCAAAAAATTTTGTTTTGCTCCCTTCGGGCCTCTGTTTGGTTTAAAGATAGGGGAAGGGGAGCGGGCTCCCCGGGCCTCTCCCCAGGATCCGCCACTGCAACGTGTCATTCACACGAAATGAGGACTCATTTTAAAACTCGATTAAACTTAAAGAACTAATTCTGAAATGGTTTCAAATTATTAGGTAGTTTTCTCATTCCTTACTTGATCTGCCTTATCGTGACTGCACTACCAGTGACAGTATTGGAGGTTGGCTTGGGGCAGTTTACGAGTCAAGGAGCAATCACTGCCTGGAACATCTGTCCACTTTTGCAAGGTAACCGAAATCCTAATGCATTGAATATAGTAGTCACATGACATCAGACTTGGGGCAACGGTGATGCAGTGGTGAAAGCACAGTTATCTCGCGGCGAAAAAAGGAACAAAAACTCATATGCTCCACTACTGTAACTCAAGACAAGAAGATACTCTTGTTTTTTGGCCATCTTAGCTTAAGAAGAAACAAAAAGCAAACTGGTGTGAATAACAACAAAAATTTAAATGTAGAATAAGTAACTAAACAACATATTTCGATAAAAAATACTACGCTAAAATGTTTCTAATATTAAAAAGAAATTAAAACGACAATGTTCAACGGTCAACTAACGTTATTATCAAGTCATATTTAATTATAGGAAAATTTGCAAATAATTAAAGCATGCAAACTATAAAAGGTGAAGTTTTTCACAGCTGACATTTTAATTCAGAGAATGTTCTAAATCCATAATTAGCAGAGTTTCCTTTATCTTGCAATGGGTGTGCTACTCTCCTCTTGCCAAAATTTCGAAATGGTCCCTTTGATGTTGTGACCTGTTGACGTGATATGAAAAATAATGACGTAACCGCCACTACGAACAACGCGGGACGGAAAACTCACCTGCGAATGATCATGCGCAGTCTAACTCGATCCAGGCCCCGACTTACGTCCGGAACTGAGCCTTAATCCGTAGTCGTCCCATCTAAAATTCATTAGTTCCAAGCTATTTTTTAAATCAATTTTTACAAGATTTCCGAACTTTCATAAAAACTACACTACAAAGCCATCATGGCGTATGAGGCAATCCCTACCAAAGGTTAAACTTAATTATGTGAGAACGACCTTTATTTTTAGTGACGCGAAAATTTTCATTGAACTCCCGTTAAACATAGCAAACGCTGAGAGCATTTAGACTTTCTACCGCCGAGCAAGGAATTAATTCTTATGGTAACTTTAAATGACATTTCCTTGAAATTATATAACATTTAAGGCTCATTGTATTTCAGGCTTTTATAAAATCTAATTTGAAATTCTTAATGTAAAGTAGTTTTAAAGACATAGGGACTGATATCAGCCTTTAAGCTGAATGGGCCACCTTGTTGAAATATATTTTACGCAATAAACCTCTTTGAGGTTGCGCGGGACACCGGCTCGAGTTGGTTTCAAAGTGCATTGTGGGACTGTTTTTGGGGACGCATTTTCAACATGGCGCAAATTCGTCCCTTAAAACAGTCCCACAATGCACTTTAACAACCACTCGACCCGGTCTCCCGCAACCTCAAAGTGGCTAATCTGATAAGTGCGTTTGCGCTTTCTTTGTTCTTTCACTAGGTATCGGCTATGCAAGTATTCTTGTAGTGACCTGGATCATTATGTACTACCTTGTGGTTCTTGCGTGGTCGTTGTTTTACCTGTTTGCCTCGTTCCAATCGACACTTCCTTGGTCGCACTGCAATAACGAATGGAATACGCCAAACTGTGTTGATCACAATAGTGGACACAACCAAGACGGAGAGCATAATAACACATTTCAAAATGTTACCTCTCTCCTTAACTTAACGGTAGCAAATGTACCCAAGCAAGTGCCGGCAATCCAGGAATACTGGGAGTAGGTGTCTGTTTTTTTAAAAGCTATCGGAATTGAATTTAGGAGAACATAAAAGGGGCGATGCTAGCCTAAGAGCCATCACAATACTATGGCAAAGTAAATATCGAAGAATTACTGTTACTTAACACCCGCATTTTCACAAGTTAACTTAATCAGGTTCTTAGATAAATAAATGGTAATAAGCTCACATTTAGGTTATTTAGGTTCTTGATTAGGTTCTTATTTTCTGGAGGAAAAAATACATAACATTAACTCGGCGAATGGTACGCCAAGATCAACAAAAATTGGAAATTGTGTGAAAACGAGGCTTCTTAGTCGTTGAACTAAGCAAGATATCGGGCAAAGAAAGCAGAAATATAAATGTGGGCAAATTTAACCCTACTTCGCAGACCAGGTTATCAAAACTGACCACAAATGTTATGGAGAGGCAAACAGAATACACCGAACTGAAAAACGACCTGATCGACCTGCTGTTAAGCCCATTAAATTTTTCACCAACAAGCAACATGTTATATGTTAGATCGGGTTGAAACGAGTTAAGCCCGCTCACTCAGATTCAACATAATCCAACAACACTGGACAAAACGTTTTAGGAAATCATTGGAAGTGACCTCAGTCTAGTACATTTTTCCGGACCACGCTTTGTCGTTTGAAACTGATTTCTTTTTACAATTTGCACAAAATATTTCTGTCTTAATCAGTTACAGGGTGTTACGTCTTTCTAATGGTCTGAACGAACCAGGACCAGTGAACTGGGACCTGGCCTTGTGCCTGTTGTTGGCGTGGATTATCTGTTACCTCTGTGTCAGTAGAGGGATTAAGACAAGTGGCAAGGTTAGTAAACACTTGTTTTGTGTTAGGCCAAGTTCATACGACGAGCTTCTGCCAATTTTATTTGAGAAGAAAAGTGTGACGTCACAAAACTTGAAATTTGCGAAATTATGGGATTGATCGCATATTCAGAGACAACAAGATGGATCAAGCTCCCTTGCCAAAAATCAGCCTGTTAGTGCAAATTGGTGAAGAGATATAAGCACCTGTTTGCTCGACGGTTTTCTCTGGCTTCGATCGTAACGTTAAACGACCCAGGCTTATTTCAGACGGATTCATCGGAAACATTCGAGCATAACAATAGTTATATCTGCCCACCAATTGCACTACACTAACAGGCTGATTTTTGGCAAAGGGCCTTTATTCATCTTGTTCTATACGGTATTTATTGGATTAACCCCCTGGGCGCTTATTAATTTTTGGACCTTGAGAGTGGGCGCTTATTCGAGGCTGGGCGCTTATCAAATATTCACCATTTTCAGCAAGTGTAGTATGCCATAAATAGTAATAACAAAACGCGAAAAGATGTTACAAAGAAAGGTTTCTGTAAAATACTCTGAAAAAAACTCCGTCTTCGGGGAAGTCTCTTATTAGTAGTTATTCAATTTCAATTTCAATCTCACTGTCACTCAAGTCAATAAATGAATTATCTGGTGCTGCCTCCTCGATGCCTGAGATTGGAAGAAAAGCACACTGGAAGAAAAGTTAGAGCACCATGCAACAAGGTGGTCTGTACTTCCCCAGAAAATTTTAAAATTTACGGTGTCGGTAATGCCATTTCGGAACTAAATACGAAGGAAAATGCTGTGAGGGGGCAAGGAAGGGCACATTTGTTCGTTTTGAATATTTTCCAGCTTACAATCTCATTAAATTAATATGTTATTAAAGCTGTTACCTCCCCTCTCTTTCACCGTATTGAAATCATTAGGATTAAGACTTGGAATTATGATCTTTTTACGAATCTGCTCACTTGACTTATTTTTCAGGTTGTCTACTTTACAGCCACTGCTCCGTATATTTTAATAACGGTTCTTTTGATCCGAGCCGTTTTTTTGCCAGGAGCAGGGGAAGGAATCAAGTTTTATCTCAAGCCTGATTGGTCAAGACTTAAAGATGGCCAGGTGATTTTACGCTAAGCTCATTACAACTTGCTTACAAGAGGTTTTAACAGTGTGAACTTTTAAAACTGTGTGCCACCAAAACTAAGTCGCTTACGAGAGATGGTCGTTTACAAGAGGTTCCAACTGACATAGTAATTTACCCCGGAAAATTTCGGTGTTTTTCATTTTCTCTTATGGGTGGTGGTCGCATATTAAGGTTCCAGTTTATAACATTTGTGCCTGTAGATAATTTAAGAAAACAGAAGACAAAATTTCCATATTAAATCGTTTCATCGACAAAGTTGGTAAAGTCCATTGACTAAAGTAAAAAGATTGAAAGCCTGACGTTTTGATCATTAGCTTTTTGCCAGCGCAAATCTAAAGGTTGCCTGAGGCAAAGGTTACAATCATCTCTTTCAGGGAAATCTATGGGAAAAAAAGAAAATGCCAATGAAGGTGTTCGACTTATTGAGAGTCAAGGACATTCATTGGAGAACGTTTGGGACCAACTCTAGGTGTCTACTTAAGGGATGTGTTCGATTCGTTATGGAAGGGTTGGCTGTAGAACCATCAACTTCATCATCATCTGTCTAACATAATCACGGCGAAATAAAAAGCAGATCTATCAAAAATAGATTTTGGTATATTACCGGAGCACAAAAATTAATTATTTGTAATATTTGGTCATCTATGCATCCAATAAATTTTGGTTGTGACAAAATCATTCGCACGGCCGTCCGTCTTTACGCACGTCCTCCTTTCATGCTAGCAGAGTCCAAGGCATAGACAATGTGTGTTTAACTTGTTATGGTCAACGTACATGTCATGGTCAATTGACAGCTGTGAAAAAACGGTATCTGCTTACCAGTGTCACATGACTGTGTCGCAGACTCGGGTGTACAACGCACAGAGGTTACGTGTTTATTTTATGTTCTCTGCTAACCAGTTATTAAATTTCAATTGATCGCAGGCTCAGGTCCATTTTTTTGTTCATGATGAATTAGTTTGCTTTTTGCTTATGGCTAAAGTTGAATAAAATAAAGACATTTCTTAAAAGATCCCATGAGAGCTTCGCTTCTGGCTTTGGCTAAATCTATATGTTATCAACGCCTTTCTTTTCTCCCAGCAATGTGTGCCCGCCACAGACCTAGCAATTGTAGATTTGTTAAACTCCCATTACTCAGATAAAAGTCATTTTTGCTTTAAAGGTTTGGTTGGACGCTGGTACACAAGTTTTTTACTCATATTCCATTGGATTGGGCGGCTTGATTGCACTCGGAAGCTACAACAAGTACCACAACAATTTTTACAGGTACAAACTTACAAGCAAACAAACAAATGTGACTCCAAAAATTCACCTTTACCAGGTGCTGAAATATACCCGACTGGGTTACATTTTAGTAGTCCACGTTTCGCTTGTAATATCCCCCTGCTTTCCCCCGAGCGTATGCTTGTTTCATGTTTGACTTGCTACGTATACGGCAAGATATCATCAACTGACGTGATGCAACTTACTTTGACTCTGAAGATGACTACCGCACAGGTTGTTGAAACGTCAGTCACTGTCAACATTCAACAGTCCTATTCAGGACTACGCTCACCCGGACGATCATACTCAAGTCAATTGTAAGGACGAAATAGCTAAAATTAGGTTCCAATTCTTGGCGGTCTTGGGAAACTCTTTTTAGACTTTGAAAAAAGGTTGCAAACACAATTTCAGTATTTCGGTGACGACAAGCGGTGGGGCTATGGAAACATTGACATGAAAGCCCAACAATTCTCAACGTCAAAACAAACAGACAAATTAAAACAATAAAAACGGAAGCAGTGTTCATAAGGTGTTGAGGTAAGCGATCAGCTGAGAATTTGTATATTTTTGTTGAATGATTGTTTTCTTGCCTTTCAGGGACTGCATATGGAACGCATTCTGCAACAGCGGAACTAGTTTTTATGGCGGATTTCTGATTTTCTCTATTTTGGGTTTTATGGCGAAACATCAAGGTGTTGAGGTCAAGGATGTAGTTCAGGCAGGTTCGTTTGCTCACGACCTAAAAAAAATGGCTTGAGCTGCCATGGTTGAATTTATAAACGCAAAGATATATAATATCCCCGAAAAGGAGCGAGGTTGTTTCCACCTACGCTGTACGTTTGTTAGCGCTCAGTAGGCTGAAAAGTCTTCGTATTATTCTAGGCGCACATTTATTTGATGGACAGAGGTCACTAAACATGCATATGATCGACTTAACGTCAGCATTTTCCAGTTTCATTCATCCCAATTTTGAAAACAAAAAATGAACATAAAATCTGCAGAAGCCATAGAATGAAGGGCTTTCAACCTAAAACGTACAAGAGCGCTCTTTAAAGCGTTAACTCGAGCTTGCTTGGAGATTAGATAAGAAATGAGGAGGCGTTTAATCGTATACGAAACAGGATTTCCTCCCTAAAAGTTTTTCACGTCCTATTTTATCGACGGTCGATTGGTCTTCAAGATATTTACTTTTCATATCGTATTCGACAATTTGTTCCTGACTTGATTGAGTACACGTGTATGAAAACACGAAAACCAAGGGCCTCGATTCTAGAGAAATTACGTCATTGGCAAAGAGCAAATACGTGATGAATATGGCGCGTCATATAAATCATCGCCTAAAATACATCGCATGCTCATCACAAGACTTACAACGAAAGTTTACCTTACCCGACCAGTTTGCCTCCCTATCGAAATTTTGCTTTCTTTTTTTTCAACCCCTGAAGTATTCACTTGTTCCAAAGTAAGCAACGCTTTCAAATCGGACAGAAATCATGGGCCGACCCGTTCCGGAAAAGCTCGACATCTTTCGAATTAATCTTTCCAAAGCTTTCTTAACAAGACATGAATGACGCTAACGAAATTTTATACGTTCTCAATCACGACGCGATTCTTATCCCCAGCTTCCACGGTCTCCGCTAGGAACGCCTAGGACCATGAATCCCCTTTTAGCGCACACAGACGAAAAAAAAAAAAAGAAACGCTTGCCTTTTTAGAGTGCTCGCTGCTAAAGCAAGCTCGACTAACAAGAAGCCTATGACCGGCCGGTCAGTCAAGGCTTGTTTGTATAACGAAATGTGAAGTTTTTTTTAACTGATGAAAAGCCAAAAGCAAGTTGTTGGAAGAGACAGCTGCTCACCTGGTACAAAATAAGTAACAAACCATTACCAATTTGGAGTTGCGTAAAGTTTTCCAGTTTTTTTGATTGCACGTCCCAGGTAGCACTTTTCTCTCCTCGAACAATTTTATATTTCTCTTTACAGGACCTGGTCTTGTTTTCCTAGCTTATCCTGAAGCAGTTGCCCAGATGCCGGTGGCCCCTCTGTGGTCCGTGTTGTTTTTCTTCATGTTGCTTTTGCTTGGTCTGGACAGTGCGGTAAGGTGAAAAAAAAAAAGCCATTTAGACTTAAATACAACTTGTCATAACTCAGTTATTTACGTCTTTTTGTTCTGGTTCCCGGGTGTTGTTTCCACCACCACAAGTAAAACAAAAAGTAGGATCACTGTGTCCCTGTACTTGGAGAAATTAGTTAATCTTTAATGACGCATCCGAAAGTATAAAAATGCGGAGAAACGTTTTACCTTTAGAGTCAGGAGACCAAATCTTCTTATGTTAAAATTGATATGAATTTACTTCAATGTCAATGTCAGTATTTATTTTTTGTTATTCTAAAGTTTGAAGTAGTTTGTTAAGTGTTGACGTTGCCTACAAAAGCCTGAACTAAAGGGCCTTAAAGATTAAGTTTGCATACATAAAAAGTCTCTGTTTTGCTTCTGTACAGTTTGTGGGTATCGAAAGCGTTATAACTTCTATCGTCGATTTATTCCCGCAACATCTGAGACGAGGATACCGCAAAGAATTGTTTACAGCTCTGATGTGTAGTCTGTGGTTCCTTTGTGGATTGTCCATGGTTACTAAGGTAAAGCTTTATTGACGGAGCTTGGGGAGAGGCCTGGGAGGTCTGCTTCTCCTTATTTGAAGGCCAAACTGAGGCCCAAAGGGTTGTGAAAATGTTTTTCGAGGAAAGATCTGATTCTAGCGCTGAAGTTCTGTAAATAGCTCAGTGAGCGTGCTTTTTATAAACTAAATCCAAACCCGAATGTTATAACATAAGTTATTTCATAACTAAAAGGGCCTGTTTAAATGAGTAACCTCTTCAAGTGTTGATTAGCACGTACATTCCTTGTAGAAATTTAGTTTTTCAGCTGCATCGCACACGACAAAGAAAGTCTGGGATGCAAGACTGAAATATTCAGGAATAATTAACCGTGTTACCTGCTTTAAACATTCAGTTATCGTTTTTAAATCGTTTAGAAAACGAGAAGCGTCAACTTTTAATGAGGAAAAAGTGTAAAATGTAAATGTAAGATTTGCGTTTACGCGCCAGTTGGCGGTACATTGTGATAAGTCCTTGCCTTTGATTGTAAACTAGAAGTATCGATGACACAACATTAACGTTATTTTTTAGGGTGGTATGTACGTGTTTCAGTTGTTTGACGCATATTGTGGTGCCGGAACAGTCCTGTTGTTAGTTGTCTTGGGTGAATGTTTGGCCATCGGATGGCTTTATGGTGAGAGATCTGCTACTTCTACGTAGAAAAATTAGCTTCCTAAAGCGCAATTCCCAGTGCCCAAAGCACCCTTCATTGAATCAGCTATGTACATTGTTCCACTGTGTGTTGTTTATCTGACATGCTAGTTAATTCCCATTTTGTAATACTACTCTGCAAATATGATAGTTCACCCGTGCTATTGCAAATTGACTACTACTGAATCAGTGTCGTATTGATCCAAAATTACTGCATATTGAAAGGCTACCTTGTTTTCTGCAGCTCACTTTTGGATTTCTAAGAGGCATCAATCCAATACTGAACCGATGCTAACCCAGCTAAATTTTGTCTTTACTTACTCTGGGTTGAGTTGTGTGACAATATTTCGAGGAACCTGGCTGCACGAAGTGAAGGCTAAGATGTCAGGAAATAGTGCATATACGTTTTTCTGAACTCCTTAAATGTTTAACGTAACCCAACTCTCTAGGGAAACCCCAATTCAAGTCTTGATAAAAATGTATTAGTCGAAGATCCTCAGTGGTTATATAAAAGTTGTTTTGTGTTAACTTGAGTGCAGTCAGTGAAAAATTTGTTTGAAAATCTTTTGAGGAATGTTTTCAGAATCTGCTAACAAACAAACAAGCAAACACTGAAGTAAATGACAGGTTACTATTTCTTCTCTTCGAGATGCAACTATGTCGATAAAAAATACTAATTTCGTAATTATCTTGTATTGGTTTTGTGTGCGATTCCTTTTGTCTATTTTGGACAGGTCGTGACCGTTTCTATAGCAACATAGAGGCTATGTTGGGATTTCCTATCAATCCGTGGTGTGGCTGGTGCTGGAAATATCTGTCACCAATATTTTGTTTGGTTAGTACAGGATGGCTTTCTGAAAAAGCTGTATTCAAGGCTCAGACTACAAAATAACACAATTAAGTCTGTAGCCTCATTGCAAATACGTGATCGGTTATATTTCTGCTACGTAGTTCTTTCACTCTACTGGCAAGACTATGGCAATGCAACGACGCAGTTTATCTGTCACCACGTCAAAAAACAATCCAATTAACCTACATCTTTTAAATAGGTTAGAGATCCTTCACATAATGTCGATTAGAATCATTCACTCGGCCGCCTTCAACAAGAATAAAGAGCTCAACCCACGACCCCTTCAAAAAAATTAAAAAAGGGCCTTCCTCTTAAAATGTGTCCTCTAAGCACAATTAGTCTCTGGAATAGTTTTCTCCAAAGGGACGGACCATTAAAAAATTTATGGAGGAGATGGAGGAATTTTTGAGCCTAATAATATTTTTTCGTTTACATTTCCCTTGTTTGATTCATTTGAGGCCAGGGCATGAGATTTGTTTATGATTACTTGACCTGCATGATTTTTTTCGGTTATTTTTCCCTTGTGCGAATTTTTTTTCGTACTTCGCCCGCCCGCCTCCCCTCCATAAGTTTCCTAACGGTCCGTCCCTAACTAACGATTTAGTGTTTTGGGGCAAATTCTTTATCCCCTGACTTTTTTTGCTTTTCTTTTCTAGGCTGTATTTGTTTTCTACCTTTGTACTTATCAGCCACTAAAGTATCGAGAATACGTTTATCCTGCCTGGGGACAGGCGATTGGTTGGCTGATGACCCTGTCGTCACTATCCTTCATTCCAGCTGTTATGATATACAAACTGATGAACACCACTGGATCAATCAAAGAGGTAATTATCTGTTGCTGTTGTAATAATAGCAACTCAATTGACTCAGTGTGCATAATTCATCAGAGCTAAAATGGACAAACGGCTTCATGATTTAAACGTTTTTAAGAAATGGCACTGGGCTATTCTTAGTCGCTTATTAAGGGTCACTAGCCTCTAACGTCTCCCTTCAGTAATACTGCTCAACCTTTATTATTATTATTATTATTATTATTATTATTATTATTATTTTCATTATTACATCCAATAGAGAATTTTCCATGTTTTGATGGCTAATGAAAGGAAAGGAAGAAATTGTTACATAAAATTATGTATTATAAGAAAAAAGATGTCTAGGAGCTAAATATACATACGTTTTCGTACGAGCGCCTAGCTATAAAATGATATTTTTTTACACAGTGGTGACAGATAAAATAGTAGCAAAAAACACAACAAAATAATGGCTGCCAAAAAAAACACAAATATCGAAGAAATCGGTCCATAACAGGAGCTCCGTTTGAGAGCTCCTTCATTCGTGCCGACCGCGTGGGCATCAAACAATGATATAAGATGTGAAAATATAGGAAATGATCGACAAATTCACCTCATTAGTGCCAGAGAGAGAGAGTATTGAGTAATGTGTGGAGAATATCCATGCTGATATCAGGGTTTAAAGGGTCAAAGACCTTTTCTTAACATCCCTCCAGTGACGTATTCTTGAGAAAGCTGTTACCTGTCCTCACATTTTCCACATAACCTGTTTCCTTTCGGTACTTAAGAGTGAGAGAGGTTTAAAAACCAGATATACTTACGTTAAGTCAGTATTCTATAAGTAGCAAGAGATTATCCTTACGCCTCTATTTAAAGACCTTTCTTAACTCTCATCCCATTGAGGCATTCTCTATAGAGAAAAGTGTCCACCGCCTTGAACTTTCCTGGTTACTAGCCAGTCAGATCAATCATAACTTAAGGCAGTGTGATAGAGGATTTTAAAACCAGACGTGCGTTAGGACAAGAAGTTCCATTGATAAGGAGTCTAGAATACAGCACCGGGAATTCAGAATTCAAGACTGTCTTTGATGAACCGTAACTGAGCTCAAGCTGAGAAGAGGCCCTAGGTAGTTTCCGAGTAAACAAAGTCGTCAGTTTTATGAAAATGGTTTTGAGGTGTTCCTTATTTTTTGCTATTAATAGAGCTAACCCTTACAATGTGAGATTCAATCAAATGCTTATTACTAACAAAAGGTTTTGTGATTTTGTTAAAATATGCCTCCATAAATTCACCTACCATTTTATTTCAGTGATATCACAGTATCCTTCATCGATAACCTTGACTGTCTTTATCGCTAGTTTTTGCACCTGTTGTGTGGAGGCGTGTGTGGCCGAGCGGTTCATAACACCTCGAACTCTGGATCTGGAGGTCCGGGGCTCAAGCCTCGCCCGTCGCGGTGTTTTCCTTAGACAGGGCACTGTACTCAACTTTGTCTCTCTTCACCCAGGTGTTTGAATGGGTGCCGGTGACATACACTGTAATGCACTTGCATCCTGTCCAGGGAGGAGTCGCAATACTTCTAGTCACGCGCCATGCTAAGGAAATGGGTTTAAGCTCCGGCCGTTTGGGCCTTTGGCTCTTGTGCGCCTTTACCTTACCGTACCTTTTGTAACTCAAACCGTTATAGAACGGAATTTCATTTCCTTATTGAGAGCGATAAATCAACTCATATCATCATTATTTAGTGGTTGTTGATTTTTGTTTATTACAGCGGCTACGAGAATTGACGATACCCGTTTTTTTTCATCGCCAAGAGGCTGCACAACTTATTCCCAAAGAAAGCAGCAAGGCCTAATAGTCGTCGAAAGCAACATTTTAAATAGAATGCAGCGCGTATTCTCTGAAGAAGCAAATGAATACTAGAATAAAAGCTAAGGCTTCTGTATCTAAAAAGAAAGAGGTAAATGAACTTAATAGGAAACATTGACAGAAAATTTCTTGAAGGGGATATTTCACTACGATATTGCTGTTTTAGGTCAAAGCTGTGTAGAAGTCATTGCAAAAAATTGCTCCCCCGGCAGAGTTATGAATGTTTTGGTGATTTTTGCAGACATGTTATTAAGCCTTGAGAAGCTTGGTCCAGTTTTTCCAAGTTTCGATCCATGTCCATACATCCTACGTCGCCAAGCGACCATGTCTTTGACACGATCAGAGCCAACTTACTTTCTCAAGTCAGTTGATAAAACCAAAAGTTTGGGAATTGCTGGGGCTAATGCCAGCTTTAAATAGAGTCACAAAGTTTTCTCGCGACGTTTCCCTCAGGATTACCTATATAACACGTCATCAAAGGACCCTACATAAGTAGTAGAAAAATTCCTTTAGTTACATAATAATCATCCCAGTGCATTAAAACAAGGCGTTGTGAAGCATATACTTGGGCGTCGTTGAATTTGGCGAAAGTGAAGTTTGTATGGGTAAGGGATGGGTAATTGGTGCAATGGTGTTGTTTATTGCTAAGGGTTGGTTGAGATGTGTAAAGTAAAGTTGTACGTGGTTTGGTGCAATTCACCAAGTGTTGCTTCTAAGGGAGGACTCGAACTTTTCCTCGAATACGGCCGAATAATAAGGAATGATATAGTTTTCTACAATTTTTGTAATTTTTCCTTTGTATGTAAATATGAAATAAAGTGTTGCTACTTGCAAGCTCTCTCTAAACACACAGGCAAAAAGGACTGTCCCAGATATGGAAACCAATGAAGCTTCCCCAGCTAGCGAAATGAGTCCAGCAGCCTTTGTGAAAACGGAAGAAGAGAATTCAAAAATCAGTGGCCGAAACTACTGGCGCTGAAGTGGTCGGGTCAGATCAACGCGCGGCCAAGCAATAGAGGCCTGGGAACTGTACAAATCAAATCCATCCAGAGTGACCTGGGGTGGCCTTTCTAGGGACCAGTACGTTTCTTGCCCAAAGTTAGCCTCCCCCACTGGAAACATATTTCTCAACCACTCTCAAACTGTCTTTCCCACTCTCCAGACCCACATTTTATTTACAATCTCAGAAACTCTTACGACAAAGAAACATAATTCGCCATATTATAACTTGTTACTTACATTAATAAACAGCACCATCAGACTGCCTGCCTTAACCTGCGGATCTAAATGAATTTCCCTCAGACGAGACAGACCATGAACGAAATAATGTCAATAGAGCATATAACAACTTGCTTCCCAGTACGTCACGGGAGAAACTCGTGGGAAGTCACGCTTTGAGTGCTTTTTATTTTTCTCTTGAGATCAGAACTTTTTACGCAAAGAAAACAAGCTTCTGACCGCGCTAATCAAACTAGAAAGCTGGATTCTGTAGTGAAAGAAAACAAGGTATAGTAATTATCCTCGTGTTTCTTTGTAGAACGAGCTGAAGATGTAGGGTCGTCATTAGAGGCCACTGAGAACTGTGCTGATTAAGACCCTGTTTACATGGAGTGGGGGACCCCGGTCTAGTGGGGTAAGTTTCTTTTGTTTTGTGTCCCCAGAGCGTGAAAACAAAAGAAACCAACCCCACTAGACCAGGGTCCCCCACTCCATGTAAACAGGCCCTAAGCAGTATAGACAGACATTACCAGAGGCAAAATAATATCAGTCTCAGTTCAGTTTCAGCTAGACTTGCTACAAGTCGACCTCTTGGCGAGCGGAGTGAGCCTTGTTTGTCCGTGAAGCAGCCGACCGCGAGCGACGAAGTCGCGAGAGGTCATATGAAATCCGACGAAGGACTCTAAGTTTCAGCCGTTGAATTTCCGTTGTTGGAAATAGGCCTTCCCTATTGACCTTCAAGCCTATAGAGGAAGCTCTCCATGCTTTATTCGAATCCCACATTAATATGCACTCTGTTTGCCTCCCAAAATTTGCAAAAGTTAATTGTTTTCAACTGTCTCGGAAGTATCCAATACCCCAGGGGCATTTGAAGAAACAGTTTATGCAAAATCTGGGGGCAAACAGAGTTTATGATGGGTGATTCGAAAATAGAGAATTTCTGAACTCGTGAGAGTTTATATAAGGTCACGAATTTTGCTCGCGGATCAGGCATGATTTTCGCTTCTTATGATTTGTGCACCGTCACTAGCCGGTGTAATATTATATCACCCTAGATGATTTGTGGCAGCAAAATCACCAGTACGTTGACAAGATAAATAATCACAGCATCTAGTTTCTATTGATAAATATACACAAACACGAATCAAGTTATCTTGAGTCATGTTAGAAATTTCTTTATACGTGGTTGACATTTAAAGGAGGTCAACTAACGAAGCGTGCGCGCTTCACCTAAAATTTAGTATATTGTCATGTTTTAGTACATGTAACAAAATTTACTCTGTTATTGACTTTAAAAACATGAAATACGTGTTAAACGTTTATAACATGGAAGTAGGAGTGGTAGATTTCTCTGTTTAAAACGCAAAAAAAAAAAAAAAATTGTCTGTGGTTTTCCACCCTGAACATCTTCGCAAAAGGCCAAAAACTGTAAATGATTTTTAGACGAAAAGCTCCAGATTTGTTAAGCATATAGTTTTACTTTCTCTCCTGCTTATACAGCTCGTTTGGTTAAGGGAGGAATTTTGTAGAGCTAAGACGGGGAGTAAGTTTTACTGCCAGCCACATGATTCTATCACTTTACTGAATCTACTTTCAGAGAGACACGTGACATACATAAATGCATTCTAAGGTGAAAATAGAACAAAGTACAATTTAACCAGTTGCTGTCGTGCATAACCCTTGGGATCTGCCACTGTAAAAGTGGCTGAGCTTGGAGAAATACCGCTTAAGGATTGAGAGGTGAGCAAAGTAATTTTTACCTCCCTCCGTGTAAAACAGTGCTTTTCATCTTTTCTAAAAAAGTTAATCGTAAACAACAAAAAGGTATACAAGGAATTCTGTTTTTCTAACCGCCTATCGACTTCTACGTGAGATCTTTATTGTCCATTTTATGAAAAAACAAAAAAAATATCGATCGTGAAACTTTTCATTGCGAAAAACTACTACAGGCGAATTTGTTTACAATGTTACAAGCAGCAGCTCGCTTGACGCTCTCAAATTTAACTTAAATCCTTGGGCTCCGAAATTTATATAAACACTGTACATTTTGTTAATAACGAAGGATTATAGTCATATCCTGTAAATATGCATTTTTTGTATTTTTGCTGTTCACACCTTAACAGGAACGTGATTTTACTGATAATCATTAGGTATAAAGTAAGTTCCTTAGCTCTGTCTTGTTATACTTCCTGATGAAGTCTGTGTGATCAGAAGAAACCGGTCGGAGAAATAAATCAAGTTTTCAAGCTCATTAGTGTTCATTTAAAAAATTGTTTAACGGCGCCCGTGGACATTAGAGATGAGATGAAATCTACCTCTTTGTCGCATGAGTAAAAGTTCGTACGTCATGTGAGAAAGTGTCAAGTGTTTGAGGAAGTTTCACTGCATGCGGTTTTTAGTTTGTTACCAGATTTTCACGATATAACGCCGGGCCCCGAATAAACGCCGGGTCTTGGAGGGGAAGTTGTAGATACACCCCCCAGAGGTTTATTTGTGGTATAATAAACTAACGGTATAAAGGCAAGATACACGGCTGTCAAGAAAAAGGCATAAAAACTTTTCTATAGTAACAGTAAGGTCGAATAAACTGCAAATTCAAACAAACACCGGTCCACAAGGTCAAGTTTGATTTAAACGCCGGGCGCGTTAAATTGAGAAAATACGGTAATTGTGATGTTAAACGTTTACAATTTTTGGAATCGATCATACATTGCTATCTAGTGTCTAGACGTTACACTTCGCAATATGCTGGGGCTTGTGCCACGCCCGGGGGGACTCCCTTACAAAAGTGACGGGGATGGTCGTCGTTTCGGTTTGGGGCCGGGAAATTGCAGATTTTGGTCTCACTTAGGGTGTTTGGGATGGAAAGTTACTATATTTGCTCCATTCAAGTATCGCTTAGTACTGTGCATAAATAAATTTATCAAAACTGCCTTAACAGTAACCAAACAGAAATCTCCCTCCAGGGTCTGTTTAAGCTTGAGCCACACCCACATTGGTCTCCTTTAGCAGTTTCATTTGAATTTTCTGACAAGCAACCCGGTCACTTTTATATGGTAGTCGCTCTCCCCCCCGGGGTGCCACGGTACCTCGTCCACACTCGCGGCAGAGCAATTCCCTCTTAATCTTTTTCAGTTCTCTTTTTTCCCCTTAATTTTGTTAATAACACAGTTTTCAAATCCGTTTGGTTCTCAACTTCCCTTCATCTCTTCTTAACTTGGCTGATACAACACCAGAACTGTCGAATTTGACCTGTCCAATTAGAATCTGCTTGTATAATCGAACAGGTCAAATAGGAGAGTTGAACAGCCAAATAAAAAATCGGGCATCAAATATTGATGGCCAATGAATTTAACAAATTAAGTCACGCTAGCAAATCAAAACCAAGAAAAAACTTCAGTGAGCCATTTTTCCACCTTCAGTTTGGATATCCAAGGAAGCACTTAATTCCTCGTGTACCGTTAAAATTCTCACAAATGTTCTTCCTTTCTTTTTTTCTTTTTCATTCAAAAAGACAAAACGCTATGATACCGACCTTCTCTAATACGGACAACGTCGTAACAGGAACGTGATTTTACTATTAGGTTTTAAGTAAGTTCCTTAGCTCTGTCTTGTTATACTTCCTGATGAAGTCTGTGCGATCAGAGGAACCGGTCGGAGAAATAAATCAAGTTTTCAAGCTCACTAGTGTTCATTAAAAAAAATTGTTTAACGGCACCCGTGGACGTTAGAGATGAGATGAAATCTACCTCTTTGTCGCGTGAGTAAAATGTTCGTACGTCACGTCGGAAAGCGTGTTTGAGTGTTTGAACCACTGCATGCGGTTTTTAGTTTGTTACCGTATTTTCCCCGAATAAACGCCCGGTCGGACCCGAAATCTGGACCCCTGAGAGCAGCTTCATACGGACTCTATAGTCCATTACGGTGAACATGAGATGCCGACAGTTTGGTTTCATATTGATGAGTTATAACAACTGTGTTAAAAGACGTGTTTTAGCCTGTTTAATAACTGAACTCTTAAACCTGTCCGGTGATGTGACCTCTAAAGAACAGACGAACACCTTGCTCTGTCCCTTTGGTGACCGTATTTGAAAACTGTCATTGCTCGGTGAGGGAGGGTAGACTGCTTGACTGCTAGCCTCCCACGCAAAGGTTTTCCCACGCAGAAGTTCTTAGTAGTTCGTCACTCGTTCCTGCCCCACGTTGGAGACGAGGGCTGGCCAGAATGTAAGCAGTCCGTTAGGATTTTCGCGCGGGCGAGCACGTTACGTATAAGCGAACAACGTTTTGTGCGTTTGCCTCGCTCGCGCACACGTAAGAAGCTCGTCCGTGCTGCAATCTCGAGGAATTGCTTGCAGTCTACTGGGAAATTAGGATCTCTTCTAACGACACTCTTACCTCCCTGTTCTTGCTTAATAGAATACAGTGAAACTTCTATTCAGGGGACACCCTCGGGTTCAAGAGAAGTATCCCGTAAATAGAAGTGTCCCCTTAATGGAGATGTCACTTGAAAAGAGATGTCCAAAAGGAGAGGTTCCCCTGTATTTTTAACGCAACAGAGCATTGCAATATTGGAACAATGTTGCAACCATTCGAAACGATATAGCAACAATGAAGCAGCGCTGTGTTGCGCTAAAAATCGTCGTTGCAAATCGTCTCGTATAACATCACCTTAAGAGAAACAAAGGCTTTGTTCCCACTATTTCGTACAGCTTTTTCGCTGCGACGAAAATCATACTGGATTGGGCTTCTGTTAAAAAACAAGAACGGTCGACTGAGTGGAGTGTCACATATCGAATAGATTTTGTGCCATTCTTTGGCGCAGTGTAATATTCGGCACGTCGCGAAAGTAAATAAGTAGGAGCGAGGCCTGGAACCCACTGAGACGGAAGTAAATTTTTAGGAGTGAGGACTGGAATCTAATGCACCAACCCTCTCGGCCAACCGTGCCGGCAGGATGTTCAATGTGTGTGAAAGACTTGTGTCGCCCCGGGCTATTGCTATTCACACCTTCATGATACCGAATAGCTTTTGTGTCGGCACGAAACTTTACCCGACATCGTGTGAACATTGCTTAAGTCCCTAATTACCATCATTTTGTGTTACTTTTTTCACATGCTTTGCGTAATAAAGAACAACTACAGGTTTAGAATGGTTGACGTTGTGAAAGAGCGGGAGATCTGGTCATCGAAGATTGATTTCATTCTTGCATTAATGGGTTATTGCATCGGCTTGGGTAACATATGGAGATTTCCATACCTTTGTTTCAAAAATGGTGGAGGTAGGTAGGTTCTTTATTTAGCAATTGCTGCAATTAGAAGGCTACATTGTTCCTTGGGTAGAAGAACCATTTTTGGCGTGCGGTGGGATGTGTCGGCCAAAGGCAGAAGCTACGAGCGGCACAGTCATGGTAAAGACTTCATATAAAATTGCAAATTCTAAGGCTATGTTTCATTAGTAAAATCCAACCTGTGGTCTATTATCAGTGCTGCGTTCTGATTGGTTGAGTTACTACTAGGCTATATGTTATAGCCCACTAGTAGCGAAAAGCGCCGGCCTTGAAAACCAAACAATGGCGACTGAATCGCGTTTTGCCAGCTAAAGTCCTTTTTTCTCGATATTTATGACCAACTAGTTGGATTTTACTAACACAATTATTCCTCTCGCTCTCTTGGCCTCTGAGTCAATAGCCCATTCGGCCTTAGACCTCATGGCCTATTGACTCAGAGCCCATTCGGGCTCGAGGAATAATTGTTAAATATTCAGCTTTCACCCAGACCATGTTCACACTATACCGGATTACTTTCACTTTTGGACTAGTCAATCTTGTTTTCATTCATCAAACTTGTCTTTTGAGTGTGAGCATCCATGTATCCACACATACATGGTCATAACTGAGCTAGCCTGTGTACAAACGCCGCCTCCCCCCTCCCCAGGGGGGGAGGCGTCTGTAAACAGGCTAAACTGAGCCCTCTCTACCAAGCGCATGGCTGTTAGACCTTGGTTAGAATTTATACCCTAGCAATGCAGTGGCGGATCCAGACGATAAGGGGAGGATGGGGGGTGAAAAAAATATATGTTTTCCTCCTTTCGGGCCTCAGTTTGGTTTAAAGATGAAAGAGGGGGGGGGGGGGTCCGCCGGGGCCTCTCCTCTGGATCCGCCACTGCAAAGTTTCTACACGAAACGAGGTCTCCTTTTAAAACTCTATTAAACTAAGAGAACTAATTCTGAAATGGTTTCAAATTATTAGGTAGTTTTCTCATTCCTTACTTGATCTGCCTAATGGTGACTGCACTACCAGTGACGGTATTGGAGGTTGGCTTGGGCCAGTTTACCAGTCAAGGAGCAATCACTGCCTGGAACATCTGTCCACTTTTGCAAGGTAACCGAAATCCTAATGCAGTGAATACAGTAGTCACATGACATCACACTTGGGGCAAGGGTGATGCAGTGGTGAAGGCACAGTTATCTCGCGGCGAAAAATGAACAAAAACTCATCTGCTCCACTACTCTAACTCAAGACAAGAAGATACTCTTGTTTTTTGGTCATCTTAGCTTAAGAAGAAACAAAAAGCAAACTGCTGTGAATAAAAACAAAAATTTCAATGTAGAATAAGTAACTAAAAAAAAACATATTTGGATATAGAATACTGCGCTAAAATGTTTCTCATATTAAAACAAAAGTTAAAAACGACGACGTTTCAACGCTCAACTAACGTTATTATCAAGTCATATTTAATTGTAGGAAAATTTGCATATAATTAAAGCACGCAAACTATAAAAGGTGAACTGTTTCGGGGGACGCATTTTCAACATGGCGGCAAATTCGTACCCCCAAAACAGTCCCACAATGTACTTTGCCAACCTGACTCGACGCGGTCTCCCGCAACCTCAAAGTGGCTAATCTGATAAGTGCGTTTGCGCTGTCTTTGTTGTTTCACTAGGTATCGGCTATGCAAGTGTTCTTGTAGTGACCTGGATCATTATGTACTACCTTGTGGTTCTTGCGTGGTCGTTGTTTTACCTGTTTGCCTCGTTCCAATCGACACTTCCTTGGTCGCACTGCAATAACGAATGGAATACGCCAAACTGCGTGGATCACAATAGTGGACACAACCAAGACGGAGAGCATAATAAGACATTCCAAAATGTTACTTCTCTCTTTAACTTAACGGTAGCAAATGTATCCAAGCGAATGCCGGCAATCCAGGAATACTGGGAGTAGGTGTCTGTTTTTTTTAATGCTATTGGAATTGAATTTAGGAGAAGTTAAAAGGGGCGATGCTAGCCTAAGAGCGATCACAATACTATGGCTAAGTAAATATCGAAGAATTACTGTTACTAAACACCCTCGTTTTCCCAACAGATTCTTACATAAATAAATGGTAATTAGCTCAAATTTAGGCTATTTAGGTTCTTGATTAGGTTCTTATTTTCTGGAGGAAAAATACATGACATTAACTCGGCGAATGGTACACCAAGATCAACAAAAATTGAAAATTGTGTGAAAACAAGGCTTAATAGTCGTTGAACTACGCAAAATAGCGGGCAAAGAAAGCAGAAATATGAATATGGGCAAATTTAGCCCTACTTCGCAGAGTAGATTATCAAAACTGACCACAAATGTTATGGAGACGCAAACGGTATAAACCGAACTGAAAGACGACCAACAAGCAACATTTGTATGTTAACGAGTTAAAAACTATTTAGCCCGTTTACTCAGTTTCAACATAATCCAACAACACTGGACAAATCGTTTTAGGAAATCATCGGAAGTGACAACCGTCCAGTACATTGTTCTGGACAAGCTTTGTGGTTTGAAACTGATTTTCTTTGTACAATTTGCACAAAATATTTCTGTCTTTATCAGTTACAGGGTGTTACGTCTTTCTAATGGTCTGAACGAACCAGGACCAGTGAACTGGGACCTGGCCTTGTGCCTGTTGTTGGCGTGGATTATCTGTTACCTCTGTGTCAGTAGAGGGATTAAGACAAGTGGCAAGGTTAGTAAACACTTGTTTTGTGTTAGGCCAAGTTCATACGACGAGCTTCTGCCAATTTTATTTAATAAGAAAAGTGTGACGTCACAAAACTTGAAAATTGCGGAATTATGGGATTGGTTAACATATTCAGAAACAGTAAGATGGATAAAGGTCCCTTGCCAAAAATCAGCCTGTTAGTGCAAATTGGTGAAGAGATATAAGCACCGGTTTGCTCGTCGGTTTGCTCCGGCTTCGATCGTAACGTTAACGTCTCAGGCCTATTTTAGACGGATTCATCAGAAACATCCGCATATGACAATACTTATATCTCCTCACCAATTTGCACTACACTAACAGGCTGATTTTTGGCAAAGGGCCTCTACTCATCTTGTTCTATACCGTATTTATTGGATTAACCGCCCTGGGCGCTTATTAATTCTTGAACCTTGAGAGTGGGCGCTTATTCGAGGCTGGGCGCTTATCAAATATTCACCATTTTCAGCAAGTGTAGTATGCCACAAATAGTAATAACAAAACGCGAAAAGATGTAAGAAAGAAAGGTTTCTGTAAAATACTCTGAAAAAACTCCGTCTTCGGGGAAGTCTCTTATTAGTTATTATTCAATTTCAATTTCATTGCCACTCAAGTCAACAAATGAATTATCTGGTGCTGCCTCCTCGATGTCCGACATCGTAACGTGAGCAAATGGCCGGGTTAGTCGCCCGAGAAGCAGTTTTTGTGATGTCATCACTTCTTTTCTCTGTTAGGTTCAATAGACGCAGGGGCTTAGCGTGAGATTGGAAGAAAAACACACTGGGATGAAAGTTAGAGCACCATGCAACAAGGGGGTCTGTACTTTCCCAGAAAATTTTAAAATTTACGGTATCGGAAATGCCATTTTGGAACTAAATACGAAGGCAAATGCTGTGAAGGCGCAAGGAAGGGCACATTTTTTCGTTTTGAATATTTTCCAGCTTACAATCTCATGAAATCAATATGTTATTAAAGCTGTTACCCCCACAGATTAAGACTTGGAATTAAGATCTTTTTACGAATCTTCCCACTTGGCTTATTTTTCAGGTTGTCTACTTTACAGCCACTGCTCCGTATATTTTAATAACGGTTCTTTTGATCCGAGCCGTTACTTTGCCAGGAGCAGGGGAAGGAATCAAGTTTTATCTCAAGCCTGATTGGTCAAGACTTAAAGATGGCCAGGTGATTTTACTCTAAGCTCATTACAACTCACTTACAAGAAGTCTTAACAATGTGAAGTTCTAAAACTGTTTCCCACCAAAACTAAGTCGCTTACGAGAGATGGTCGTTTACAAGAGGTTCCAACTGACATAGTAATTTACCTCGGAAAATTTCGGTGTTTTTTATTTTCTCTTATGGGTGGTAGTCGCATATGAAGGTTGCAGTTTATAACATTTGTGGCTGTAGATAATTTAAGAAAACAGAAGACAAAATTTCCATAACATTTCGTTTTATCGACAAAGTTGATTAAGTCTATTCACTAGAGCAAAAAGATTGAAAGTCTGACGTTTTGAACGTCAGCTTTTTGCCAGCGCAAATCTGAAGGATGCCAGAGACAAACTGGTTACAATCATCTCTTTTTTAGACGGCCTTGATATCTGTGGGAAAAACAGAAAATGCCAAGGTGTTTGTCTTGTAGAGAGTCAAGGACAGCGACTGCAGAACGTTTGGGACCAACTCTAGGTGTCTGCTTAAGGGATGTGTCCGTTATGAGAGGGTTGGCTGTAGAACCATCAACTTTTCATCATCATCTGTCTAACATATTAAAAGCGACATAAAATAGCAGATCTATCAAAAATAGATTTTGGTATATTACCGAATAGCCTCCCACGCAGGCGTTTTTAGGGGATCTCGTTTTTCCCTGTGGGGAGGGATGAAAAACGAGCTCTCCTAAAAACACCTGCGTGGGAGGCTAATTACCGAAGCACCAAAATTAATAAAATTTGGTTATCTCTGCATGCAGGAAATTTTGGTTAGTAGTCGAAGGCATGCATATACAATGTGTGTTTAAATCGCTATGGTCAATATATTAACAGCCGTCAAAAAACGACATCAGCTGACCAGTGTCACATGACTGTATCGCAGGCTAGGGTGTACAACACATTGAGATCACAAGTTTATTTTGAGTTCTCCGCTAGCCAGTTATTGATTTTCAATTGATCGCAGGCTCAGGTCCAATTTTTTTCATGATATAGTTTGCTTGTTGTTTACGGCTAAATTTGAATAACTTAAAGACATTTCTTAAAAGATCTCACGAGAGCTTCCCTTTTGTCCATGGCTAAATCTATACTTTATCAACGCCTTTCTTTTCTCCCAGGCCGGCAACAATGACAACAACGAGCTTTATTTGTATGACCATACAAGCACATGCAGTATTGCAAAAGCTATGTTTAGGAATCAAAATTACAACACAGGGCAATTACGTTACTTTGATAATAATTTGTCTCGACTATCAAAACAAGCTGAAATATATTTTATGAATTGTATATTGATAACGTAATTAGAAGAGTTCATCAGTTCATTGATCAAACCGTTTATAGGTAACTGGGTAATATTTGGAATCAGAGTCTTGACTTTATAGTAAAATTTACTCATAATCATAGGGTATGTAGGGCATTGAAAAAGAAAGTGAACTTCGTCTTCTATTACATTGCATCCACAAAAAGGGCAATGCAGTGTGTGCAGTGTGTGCCCGGCACAGACCTAGCAACTGTAGATTCGTTAAACTCCCATTACTCAGATAAAAGTAATCTTTACTTTAAAGGTTTGGTTGGACGCTGGTACACAAGTTTTTTATTCATATTCCATTGGACTGGGCGGCTTGATTGCACTCGGAAGCTACAATAAGTACTACAACAATTTTTACAGGTACAAACAAACAAGTAAACAAACAGATGTGACTGAACAATTCATCCTTACCGGGTGATGAATTATACCCGATAGGCTTAGATTTTAGTAGTCTACGTTTCGCATGTCATATCTCCGTTCTTCCCCGCCGAGCTTATGCTTGTTTCATGTTTTACTTGATACGTATACGGCAAGTTTAATACCATTAACTGACGTGATGCAACTAACTTTGACTCTGAAGATGATTACCGCTCAGGTTGTCGAAACGTCAGTCACTATGCATGTCAACATTAAACAGTCCTATTCAGGACTACGTTCACCCGGACGATCATACTCAAACTACTTAGAATCTGTCCATGTAAGGACGAAATAGGTAAAATTATGTTCCAATTCTCGGCGGTCTTGGGAAACTCTTTTTAAACTTTGAAAAACGTTTGTCAACACTATTTCAGTATTTCGGTGACGATAAGCGGTGGGACCGGGAGGAGGGGGGGGGAATTAGTAACTCTATTGTTTTCCACCTAAGTTTGTTGAACCACTCCGCCTGCCAATATGACGTCACATAGTAACGGGCAAGAGCTTTGGGTCGCTTGTGCAAATTAGCAAGGGATTCGACAGTTATTTGGAAGAGCGAGGTCGAGGAAAAGCTAAGAAGCTAGCAAGTATCGCTATATATCGCTCAGTGATCGAATGTGTGTGAACTTTGGTGTTGCCATAATCTGCTTGTGTAAAAGGTTTTGATATTTTGTGTCCGTGATTGCATAATTTTGTTAATTTGTTTTACGGACCGTGTTGTGGGATCGCCATCTATTTCACGGGACCGGCAAGGTCATCAAAACTTGAATTTTTTTTCTTCTGTAAAATAGGCAAGCTCTAGTGTCCAGAATAGGAGGTTCCATTCACAGATGACACAGGTTTATATTTCATCTATTCTTTTGCCAATTAAACGGGCCTAACTTCGTATCATTCCTTTCCAGTGTGGGCCTCTGTTGATCTCCTAATTCTCCACCAAATTCAGTAAAGCAAGTTCGATCGTTTATCTACATCGAGTCGGCCCGTTGAACCCGATGCGAAATAGCTTTGAAATACGCGCGTTAGCTAATTTCCTCAAATGTATATTTGAATTCATGATAAATACAGCTCCACCAGCTTCAAATAGTGTCTATTGAAGAGAACAAATTTTTTGTTTTGACAAAATTAATTTTTCAAATCATGTGTGTCACTGTGGTGCAGTGGTCAAGGAGTTGCTTGAACGTGCAGATAAACCGGGTTCCACTCCCGGCGACGCTGTGTTCGGTTTTTTTGTACCGTTTTTTTTTCTGTTTGGTCTCCATAAGCTGTCAAGACATGTCCCTCCTCTGAAACAGCTGAATTTTTTCAATGTCATTTTAGTTGACATCATGACAAACAACGCAGAGTACACCAAAAACTGTACTAATTTACACCCAACACCCACCAGCGACCCACTGGCGAAAGTTAAACTTGCCCTTTGTACATCGTCTTAATCATCAATATTATTATCCTAAAATCTCCACTGGGTTCCCCCCCAAAAAATAATTAAACGAAACCTTTATTGCTTTTCGGGATTTAATTACAGAATTACAGGTGTATGCCCAATACAGTATTAAAATAATGCGGTTAAGCAACAAGATTCAGTGCTCACAGTCTCTCACAAATACCTGTCATTTAGCTTCCTCTTTCAACGCTACAGCTAAGCAAACTTCGAGAGGAATGATATGGGTCCCACTAGCTCGGAAGAGCTGAAAATACGCACAATGTAAAGCATAATACATCCTTTGATGAACTTCCTATTGCTGTGTCTAAACTCTTCAATCTTGCTGTGCACTGGCCCTCAAAAATGTGACCGGTCGGTATGATTGCCCGTAAAATTTGCTCGACGATAGAAAGGAATCTTTAAAATTCATTACACCACTGGACATTTCATTCCAAAAAAGTACTCACGTTTAGTTTTCTATGACAATAGAAACCTTAAAACCTCCAAATCCAAGAAATCGGAAAAGTATTTTCGTGATAAACTAAAAGTTTTTATCTGTCGCTTCCATGAACACTTTGCTCGCCATCTTGAAAGTTACCGACGCTAGACGTGACGTCATAATGGCAGGCGGACTGTACCACAGATTTCCTTGGAGACACCTCCCCCCCTGGGTGGGGCTATGGAAACACTGACATGAAAGCCCAACAATTCTCAAGGTCAAAACAAACAGACAAATTAAAACAATAAAAACGGAGGAGTGTTCATGAGGCGTTGAGGTAAGCGATCAGCTGAGAATTTGTGTATTTTTCTGAATGATTGTTTTCTTGCCTTTCAGGGACTGCATATGGAACGCATTCTGCAACAGCGGAACTAGTTTTTATGGCGGATTTCTGATTTTCTCTATTTTGGGTTTTATGGCGAAACATCAAGGTGTTGAGGTCAAGGATGTAGTTCAGGCAGGTTCGTTTGCTCACAACCTAAAAAAAATGGCTTGAGCTGCCTGGTTGAATTTATAAACGCAAAGATATATAATATCCCCGAAAAGGAGCGAGGTTGTTTCCACCTACGCTGTACGTTTGTTAGCGCTCAGTAGGCTGAAAAGTCTTCGTATTATTCTAGGCGCACATTTATTTGATGGACAGAGGTCACTAAACATGCATATGATCGACCATGCATATGATCGACCAAAAATGAACATAAAATCTGCAGAAGCCATAGAATGAAGGGCTTTCAACCTGAAACGTACAAGAGCGCTCTTTAAAGCTTTAACTCGAGCTTCCTTGGAGATCATTTAGATAAGAAACAAGGCGCACGAGTGCGTGAACCCGGCCTTCTTTTAGTTCATACAATGATAGAGTGCCGGGGAAAAGTGTGCACTACAGCCCATATGAACTTTTATGATGAATTGATTATGAATAACGGGAAAAAATACTAACGGCTATCAAATCAGTCTGGAAAGACTCGAACGTTCGAAAGGGGTGTACTTGAACATGACTGCATAACAATGTTATGCTTCAAAGATGTGTTGAAGCTAGTTTTCTTTTTCTTTAAATTAGCATGAGCTTCAGTCACAATCTTTGGTAGTAAACTAATATTATGAAGGAAAAACTTTGAAATAACACCCTGAAGAGGAAGAGAACTTAATGGTTGGAATAATTATGCTAGGATTTTAAATTTTTTTTGGTTGCTGAAGTGCTTATTGTACATGCTAAATTGCTACAAGGGAGTACAAAATCCAGATCTTCCCATGAGTAAGATCTGTATTCACTTTTTGTCACTCTGTTACAGGTACTTCAAAGGCAAACTACTAGCATCTTCTTTTAGCTAATTCATCGTCAGAAAACTTCGAAAAGTTTTGCTGCACTTATCGTTTGATTTGGGACCAAGTTCATCTTCTCTAAAAAAAAATTAAATAAATAAAGGATATGTCGATATTTCATTGCCTTGATATTGATTCAACAACAAGCACAGAGATAACCACAGAAAACCCAAACCTATACTGTGTACCTCGTTGACGATAATCCCGAAACCAATTAAAATACAGAATATTATAATCGATTTGTCGATCCTTTTAATTGCAAGTTTGAATGTACAGTAGCTGAACACAGCAAAGAGAAAATTTCTAGAATAGATCATTTTGAAATTTCTAATAATGTTGGATCGATCAAAATGGAGTTTTGCAAGATCGAAATTCGACCGTAAGCAATCGCCAATTTTTTAAAGAACTATAAGCTTACATGTAATTTTGACTTTCAAATTTATTCTAAATCTCATTGTTAAATTAAAATTTAACAATGAGATTTGATCGATCAAAATCATGTCGATTTTTAGCACCAAACAACTCTACGTGCTTTACAAACCTGCCGCTTCCGTGCGAGTTCGATGCAAGTTAATCCATATATGCCGAAAAAGTCATAGAATATTTCTTTCCTTCGATAAAGTTATGATTAGGATTAGGATTTTGCCTCTAAGCCAATGAATTTGCGGAAATCGATCCCGTGATATTTCGCCAGTACAGGCATGCGCTTTAAAGAGAAGAGGGCGATTTGACGACGAAGGAAAAACCCAGGCCATTTTATAATCCGTCTCTTCCTGAAAGGAAGGCCGGGTAATGAGGAGGCGTTTAATTCTACCCAAAACAGGATTTCCTCGCCAAAAGTTTTTCACGTCCTATTTTATCGACGGTCGATTGGTCTTCAGGATATTTACTTTTTATATCGTATTCGACGATTTGCTCCTGATTGGATTGAGAACATGTGTAATGAAAACATGAAAAACCAAGGGCCTCGATTCGAGAGAAATTACATCATTGCCAAAGAGCAAATACGTGATGAATATGGCGCGTCATATCAATCATCGCCTAAAATACATCGCATGCTCATCGCAAGACTTACAGTGAAAGTTTACCCCACTCCACCAGTTTGCCTCTCTATCGAAGTTATCGTCATAAAGTTAAATTTTTTTTCAACGCCTGAAGTATTCACTTGTTCCAAAGTAATCAACGCTTTTTGCATTAATCTTTCCAAAGCTTTATTAACAAAACATGAATGGCACTGTGGAAAATGTTTATATGTTCTCAGTCACGTCGTGGTTTTTATCCCCAGTTTCCACGGTCTACGCTAGGAACGCCTGGGACCATGAATCCCCTCTTAGCGCACACACATGAAAAAAAAAAAAAAAAAAGAGAAAAAAAAAGAAACGCTTGCCCTTTTAGAGTACTCGCTGCTAAAGCCAACTCGACCAACAGGAAACCTATGATTGGCTGGTCAGTCAAAGCTTGTTTATATAACGAAATGTGAAGTATTTGTAACTGTTGAACCGCCAAAAGCAACTTATTTGAAGAGACAACTGCTCACCTAGTATAAAATAAGAAACAAATAATTCTTACCAATTTGGAGTTGCTTAAAGTTTTCCAGTTTTTGTGATTGCACGTCCCAGGTAGCACTTTCTCTCTCCTCGATTTTATATTTCTCTTTATAGGACCGGGCCTTGTTTTCTTAGTTTATCCTGAAGCAGTTGCCCAGATGCCGTTGGCTCCTCTGTGGTCCGCGTTGTTTTTCTTCATGTTTCTTTTGCTTGGTCTGGACAGTGCGGTAAGGTGAAAAAAACCAAAGCCATTCAGACGTAAATACAACTTACTGTCATAACTCAGTTATTTACGTCTTTTTGTTCTGGTTCCCATGTGTTGTTTCCACCACCAAAAGTAAAACAAAGAATAGGATCACTGTGTCCCTGTACATGGAGAAATTAGCTAATCTTTAATAACACATACAAAAGTATAAAAATCCGCAGAAACGTTCTATCTTTCGAGTAGGCAGACCAAATCTTATTGTGTTAAAGTTCATAAGAATTTACTCAATATCAATGTCAGTATTTACTTTTTGTTATTCTTAAGTTTGAAGTAGTTTGTTCAGTGTTGACGTTGCCTACAAAAGCCTGAACTAAAGGCCCTTAAAGAATACGTTTGCATACATAAAAAGTCTCTATTTTGCTTTTGTACAGTTTGTGATGATCGAAAGCATTATAACTGCTATTGTCGATTTATTCTCGCAACATCTGAGACGAGGATACCGCAAAGAATTGTTTACAGCTCTGATGTGTAGTCTGTGGTTCCTTTGTGGATTGTCCATGGTTACTAAGGTAAAGCTTTATTGACGGAGCTTGGGGAGAGGCCTGGGAGGTCTGCTTCTCCTTATTTGAAGGCCAAACTGAAGCCCAAGGGGTTGTGAAAATGTTTTTCGAGGAAAGATCTGATTCTAGCGCTGAGGTTCTGTAAATGGCTCAGTGAGCGTGCTTTTTATAAACTAAATCCAAATCCGAATGTTATAACATAAGTTATTTCATAACTAAAAGGGCCTGTTTAAATTAGTAACCTCTGCTTTAATCAGCTGTTTCAAAATAGTATCATCAAATACGAAAAATTCAAGTGTTGATTAGCACGTATATTCCTTGTAGAAATTAAGGTTTTTCAGCTGCATCGCACACGACAAAGAAAGCCTGGGATGCAAGACTGAAATATTCAGGACTAATTAACCGTGTTACCTGCTTTCAACATTCAGTTATCGTTTTTACATCGTTTAGAAAACGAGAAGCGTCAACTTTTAATGAGGAAAAAGTGTAAAATGTAAATGTAAGATCTGCGTTTACGCGCCAGTTGGCGGTACATTGCGATAAGTCCTTGCCTTTGACTGTAAACTGTAAGAATCGATGGCACAACATTAATAAAACCGAAACACTTTTTTAGGGTGGTATGTACGTGTTTCAGTTGTTTGACGCATATTGTGGTGCCGGAACAGTCCTGTTGTTAGTTGTCTTGGGTGAATGTTTGGCCATCGGATGGCTTTATGGTGAGAGATCTGCTACTTCGACTTAGAAAAATTAGCTTCCTAAAGCGCAATTCCCAGTGCCCAAAGCACCCTTTATTGGATCAGCTATGTACATTGTTCCACTATGTGTTGTTTCTCTGACATGCCAGTTAATTCCCATTTTGTAATTGATCCAAAATTACTGCATATTGAAAGGCTACCTTGTTTTCTGCAGCTCACTTTTGGATTTCTAATGAAGAGAGGCATCAATCCAATACTGAACCGATGCTAACCCAACTAAATTTTGTTTTTACCCTGGGTTGAGTAGTGTGACAATATTTCAAGGAACCTGGGTACACGACGTGAAGGCTAAGAAAGATGTCAGGAAATAGTGCATATACGTTTTTCTGCACTCCTTAGCCCACCAACTCGCCACGGGAACCCTAATTCAAATCTTGATCAAAATGTATTAGTCGAAGATCGTCAGTGGTTATATAAAAGTTGTTTTGTCTTCACTTGAGTCTAGGCAGTTAAAGATTTGTTTGAAAATCTTTTGAGGAATGTTTTCAGAATCTGCGAACAAACAAACAACAAGCAAACACTGAAGTAAATGACAGGTTACTATTTCTTCTCTTAGAGATGCAACTATATCGATAAAAAATATTAATCGCTTAATTATCAGGTATTGATTTTGTGTTGGATTCCTTTTGTTTATTTGGACAGGTCGTGACCGTTTCTATAGCAACATAGAGGCTATGTTGGGATTTCCTATCAATCCCTGGTGTGGCTGGTGCTGGAAATATCTGTCACCAATATTTTGTTTGGTTAGTACATGATGGCTTTCTGAAAGAACTGTATTCAAGGCTCAGACTGCAAAATAACACAGACAAGTCGGTAGCCTCATTGGAAATAAACACGTGATCGGTTATATTTCTGCTACGTAGCTCTTTCACTCTACTGGCAAGACTATGGCAAGGCAACGTCGCATTTTATCTGTCGCCACGTCCAAAAACAATCCAATTAACCTACATCTTTTAAATAGGTTTGTTATCCATCACATAATGTCGATTAGAATCAATCACTCGGCAGCGTTCAACAAGAATAAAGAGCTCAACCCAACCCTTCAAAAAAGTAAAAAAAGGGCGTTCCTCTTAAAATGTGTCCTCTAAAGCACCAATTAGTCTCTGGAATAGTTTTCTCTAAAGGGACGGACCATTAGAAAATTTATGGGGGAGATGGAGGAATTTTTGAGCCAAATAATATTTTTTCGTTTACATTTCCCTTGTATGATTTAGTTGGGGCCAGGGCATGAATTTTTTTTTATGGTTACTTGACTTGTATGATTTTTTTCGGTTATTTTTCCCTTGTGCGAATTTTTTTTTGGTTTTTTGGCCCGCCCGCCTCCCCTCCATAAGTTTCCTAATGGTCCGTCCCTAACTAACGATTTAGTGTTTTGGGGCAAATTCTTTATCCCCTGACTTATTTTGCTTTTCTTTTCTAGGCTGTATTTGTTTTCTACCTTTGTACTTATCAGCCACTCAAGTATCGAGAATACGTTTATCCTGCCTGGGGACAGGCGATTGGCTGGCTGATGACCCTGTCGTCACTATCCTTGATTCCAGCTGTTATGATATACAAACTGATGAACACCACTGGATCAATCAAAAAGGTAATTATCTGTTGCTGTTATAATAATAGCAACTCAATTGGCTCAGTATGCATAATTCATCAGAGCTAAAATAGACAGACGGCTTCATGAATTAAAACTTTTTAAGCAATGGCACTGGACTATTCTTAGTCGCTTAGGGTCACTAGCCTCTAACTTCTCCCTTCAGTAATACTGCTCAACCTTTATTACTATTATTATTATCGATTTTATTATTTTCATTATTACATCCAATTCAATAGAGAATTTTCCATGTTTTGATGGCTAATGAAAGGAAAGGAAGAAATTGTTACATAAAATTATGTATTATAAGAAAAAGATGTCTAGGAGCTAAATAAACATACGTTTTCGTACGAGCGCCTGGCTATAAAATGATATTTTTTTACACAGTGGTGACAGATAAAATAGTAGCAAAAAACACAACAAAATAATGGTTGCCAAAAAACACAAAAATATCGAAGAAATCGGTCCATAACAGGAGCTCCGTTTGAGAGCTCCTTCATTCGTGCCGACCGCGTGGGCATCAAACAATGATATAGGATGTGAAAATATAGGAAATGGTCAACAAGTCTTAAACTAGGTCTTGATTGTTCAACAAATTCACCTCATTAGTGCCAGAGAGAGAGAGTATTGAGTAATGTGTGGAGAATATCCGTGCTGGTATCAGGGTTTAAAGGGTCAAAGACCTGTTCTTAACTACCCTCCAGTGACGTATTCTTGAGAAAGCTGTTACCTGTCCTCACATTTTCCACATAGTGTGATAGAGGATTTTAAAACCAGACGTGCGTTAGGACAAGAAGTTCCATTGATAAGGAGTATAGAATACAGCACCGGGAATTCAGAATTCAAGACTGTCTTTGATGAGCCGTAACTGAGCCCAAGTTGAGAAGAGGCCCTAGGTAGTTTCCGAGTAAACAAAGTCGTCAGTTTTATGAAAATCGCTTTGAGGTGTTCCTTATTTTTTGCTATTAATAGAGCTAACCCTTACAATGTGAGATTCAATCAAATGCTTATTACTACCAACAGGTTTTGTAATTTTGTTAAAATATCCCTCCATAAATTCACCTACCATTTTGTTTCAGTGATATCACAGTATCCTTCATTGATAACCTTGACTGTCTTTATCGCTAGTTTTTGCATCTCTTGTGTGGAGGCGTGTGTGGCCGAGCGGTTCATAACACCTCGAACTCTGGATCTGGAGGTCCGGGGCTCAAGCCTCGCCCGTCGCGGTGTTTTCTTTAGACAGGGCACTATACTCAACTTTGTCTCTCTTCACCCAGGTGTATGAATGGGTACCGGTGACATACACTGTAATGCACTTGCATCCTGTCCAGGGGAGAGTCGCAATACTTCTAATCATGCGCCATGCTAAGGAAATGGGTTTAAGCTCCGGCCGTTTGGGCCTTTGGCTCTTGTGCGCCTTTACCTTACCTTACCTTTTGCAACTCAAACCGTTATAGAACGGAATTTCATTTCCTTATTGAGAGCGATAAATCAACTCATATCATCATTATTTAGTGGTTGTTGATTTTTGTTGATTACAGCGGCTACGAGAATTGACGATACCCGTTTTGTTTCATCGCCAAGAAGACAACGAGACTGCACTACTTATTCCCAAGGAAAGCAGCAAGGCCTAATAGTCGTCGAAAGCAACATTTTGAATAGAATGCAGAGCGTATTCTCTGAAGAAGCAAATGAATACTAGAATAAACGCTAAGGCTTCTGTATCTAAAAAGAAAGAGGTAAATGAACTTAATAGGAAACATTGACAGAAATTTGCTTGAAGGGGATATTTCACATCGATATTGCTGTTTTAGGTCAAATCTGTGTAAAAGTCATTGCAAAAAATTGCTCCCCGGGCAGAGTTATGAATGTTTTGGTGATTTTTGCAGACATATTATTAAGCGTTGAAAAGCTTGGCCCAATTTTTCAAGTTTCGATCCATGTCCATCCATCGCTGTTGACACGACGTCAGCAACATCTTAAAGGGGCTGTGTTACGGCAGTCCAGTTCATTTTCTTATAGTTTTCCAATTACTTGCCCTCAATCGCTATGGAACTTAAAGTAGGCAAAGAAATTACATGTAAATGACAAAATCAGAGATTGGAGAGAAACAGATATGTCCCCTAAGCATTATTTTTGAAGCTGCAAACAGCAGAGATAAACTTTGAAAAAGTGTTAGGCTGAACAGTTTTCAAAAACTCTAATTTCAATCCGTTTCAAAGTTCTTCAGTTTTGCCCATTCGTGGCAGCTGTTGTATCTGTTGTGTTATTTTAACCTTCCTTTAATGTTTTAAGCGGTTATCTTTATGTTTCTTTTAATTTAACGGGCATTTTGCAAAAACCTGATGTGGCTGAATTTTGTGACACAGCTCCTTTAATCTATCTATGAGAGCCAACTTACTTTCTCAAGTCAGTTGATAAAACCAAAAGTTTGGGAATTGCTGGGGCTAATGCCAGCTTTAAATGGAGTCACAAAGTTTTCTCTCGACGTTTTCCTAAGGATTACCTATATAACACGTCATCAAAGCACCCGTAAGTAGTAGAAAAATTCCTTTAGTTACATAATAATCTTTTCAGTGCATTAAAACAAGGCGTTGTGAAGCATATACTTGGGCGTCGTTGAATTTGGCGAAAGTGAAGTTTGTATGGGTCAGAGATGGGTAATTGGTGCAATGGTGTTGTTTATTGTTAAGGGTTGGCTGAGATGTGTAAAGTAAAGTTGGACGTGGACCAAGCGTTGCTTCAAGGGGAGGACTCGAACTTTCCCTCGAATACGACCAAATACTAAGAAATGATATAGTCTACTTGCAAGCTCTCCTACTTGCAAGGTCTTTCTAAACACATGAGGCTTGTGGAAAAAGGACTGTCCCAGATATGGAAACCAATGAACCTTCCCCAGCTAGCGAAACGAGTCCAGCAGCCTTTGTGAAAACGGAAGAAGAGAATTCAAAAATCAAAGGCCGAAACTACTTGCGCTGAAGTGGTCGGGTGAGATCAACGCGCGGCCAAGCAATAGAGGCCTGGGAACTGTACAAATCAAATCCATCCAGAGTGACCTGGGGTGGCCTTTCTAGGGACCAGTACGTTTCTTGCCCAAAGTTAGCCTCCCCCCCTGGAAACATATTTCTGAACCACTCTCAAACTGTCTTTCCCACTCTCCAGACCCACACTTACAATCTTAGAAACTCTTACAACAAAGGAACATAATTCGCCAAACACCTTGTTACTTACCATTAATAAACAGGACCATCAGAGTGCCTGCCTTAACCTGTGGATCTAAATGAATTTCCACTCAGACAGACAGACCATGAACGAAATAATGTCAATAGAGCATATTACAACTTGCTTCCCAGTACGCCACGGGAGAAACTCGTGGGAAGTCACGCTTTGAGTGCTTTCTATTTTTCTCTGAAGATCAAATCTTTTTACGTAAAGAAAACGAGCTTCTGACCGCGCTAATCAAACTAGAAAGCTGGATTCTGTAGTGAAAGAAAACAAGGTATAGTAATTATCCTCGTGTTTCAGATGAGCTGAAGATGTAGGCGGGTCATCATTAGAGGCCACTGAGAAATGTGCTGATTAAGCAGTATAGACAGAAATTTCTAGAGGCAAAATAATATCAGTTTCAGTTCAGTTTCAGCCGTTGAATGTCCGTTGTTGGAAGTAGGCCTTCCCGATTGACCTTCAACAGCCAATAGAGGAAGCTCTCCATGCTTTATTCGAATCCCACATTAATATGCACTCTGTTTGCCTAAAAAAATTTGTATGTGTAATCAAATGGTGACGAGTGAAATTAGGGAATAATTTCACGCGCGTTTTGTCCAAATCCTAATAATATCCCTAGCCTTCAGACAAGGAAAATTATTAGGGTTTGGACAAAACGCAAGTGAAATTATTCCTAATTTCACGAGTATACCATTTGATTACCTATTAATATCATGGGTGACGAACTACGTCAGCAATCTTGGACTTTTGACATGTTTATCCTGGATCGTATCACTCTCTCAAATGTTTAGACGTTAAATTTGTCTTATAAAGTTCAGATTTTTTCAGACTTTTTCGGCAAAATACCTGTTAGAATCCTTCTTGATGTTCTCTTGTGTGTTCAGGTTTTCTAAAGCGTCTTTTTGTGCCCTGACATCTTCATTCAGGGCATTTTAAAACTTCGTCGCCATCTTGACACTGAGACGTACGGAAGGGTTGCCATGGCAATTTTGTATTTTCACATGCGAAATTACAAATTAACGCTGAAATTTCACGCCAAAATTAAGGAGTAATTCGTCACCTATGATATTGGCAAAGTTAATTGTTTTCAACTGTCTCGGAAGTATCCAATACCCTCAGGGCATTTGAAAACAACCATTTATGCAAAATCTGGGGGCAAACAGAGTTCATTATGGGTGATTCGAAAATAGATGAATTTCTGAACTTGTGAGAGTTTATATAAGGTCACGAATTTTGCTCGCGGATCAGGCATGATTTTCCCTTCCTATAATTTGTGCACCATCACTAGCCTAAAAAAATATATCACCCTAGATGATTTGTGGGAACAAAATCACCAGTACTTTGACAAGATAAATAATCACAGCATCTAGTTTCTATCGATAAATATACACGAATACGAATCAAGTTATCTTGAGTCATGTTAGAAATTTCTTTATACGTGGTTGTCATTTAAAAGAGGTCAACTAACGAACCGAGCGCGCTTCATCTAAAATTTGGTACATTGTTATGTTTTAATACATGTCACAAAATTTTCTCTGCTATTGACTTACTTGACTTTGAAAAACATGAAATACGTGTTAAGCGTTTAGAAAATGGAAGTAGGAGTGGTAGATTTCTCTGTTTAAAAAGGAAAAAAAAAAGGTCTGTAGTTTTCCACCCTGAACATCTTTGCAGAAGGCCAAAAACTGTAAAATGATTTTTAGACGAAAGGCTCCAGATTTGTTAAGCATATAGTTTTACTTTCTCTCCTGCTTATACAGCTCGTTTGGTTAAGGGAGGAATTTTGTAGAGCTAAGACGGGGAGTAAGCTGGACTGCCAGCCACATGATTCTATCACTCTACTGAATCTACTTTCAGAGAGACACGTGACATACATAAATGCATTCTAGGGTGAGAATAGAACAAAGTACAATTTAACCGGTTGCTGTTGTGCATAACGCTTGGCGATCTACCACTGTAAAAGTGGCTGAGCTTGGAGAAATACCGCTTAAGGATTGAGAGGTGAGCAAAGTAATTTTTTACCACCCTCCGTGTAAAACAGTGCCTTTCATCTTTTCTAAAAAAGTTAATCATAAACAACAAAAAGGTATACAAGGAATTCTGTTTTTCTAACCGCCTATCGACCTCTACGTGAGATCTTTATTGTCTATTTTATGAAAAAACAAAAAAATATCGATTGTGAAAAATTTCATAGCGAAAAACTACTACATGCGAATTTGTTTACAATGTTACAAGCAGTAGCTTGGTTGAGGCTCACAGATTTAACGTCAAATCCTTGGGCTCAAGAATTTGTATAAACATCGTACATTTTGTTAATAACGAAGAATTTTATAGTCATATCCTGCAAATATGTATTTTTTTGTATTTTTGCTGTTCACACCTTAACAGGAACGTGATTTTACTGATAATCATTAGGTATAAAGTAAGTTCCTTAGCTCTGTCTTGTTATACTTCCTGATGAAGTCTGTGTGATCAGAAGAAACCGGTCGGAGAAATAAATCAAGTTTTCAAGCTCACTAGTGTTCATTAAAAAAAAAATTGTTTAACGGCGCCCGTGGACGTTAGAGATGAGATGAAATCTACCCCTTTGTCGCATGAGTAAAAGTACGTAAGTCATGTGGGAAAGCGTCAAGTGTTTGAAGTAGTTTCACTGCATGTGGTTTTTAGTTTTCTACCATATTTCTCGATTTAACGCCGTGCCCTGAATAAACGCCACGTCTTGGAGAGGAAGTTGTAGATGCACGCCCCAGACGTTTATTTTTGGTATAATAAACTAACGGTATAAAGGCAAGATACACGGCTGTCAAGAAAAAGGCATAAAAACGTTTCTATAGTAACAGTAAATTGAATAAACTGCAAATTCAAACAAACACCAGTCCACAAGGTGAAGGTTGAATTAAACGCCGAGCGCGTTAAATTGAGAAAATACGGTAATTCTGATGTTAAGCGTTTACAATTTTTGAAATCGATTATACATTGCTAGCTAGTGGCTAGAGGTTATACTTCGCAATATGCAGGGGCTTGTGTCCCCCCCACCGGGGACTCCCATATAAAAGTGACGGGGATGCTCGTCGTTTCGCTTTGGGGCCGGTAAATTGCAGATTTTGGTCTCACTCGGTCTCACTTAGGGTGTTTGGGATGGAAAGATAATATATTTGCCCATTCAGGTATCGCTTCGTCGCTTCGTAATAACAAAATTTACAAAAATGCCCTGCCACTGACCACAGAGAAATCTCCCTTAGGGGTTATTTTAAGCTTGAGCCACATCCACATTGGTCTCCTTTAGGAGTTTCATTGTTAAAAATTTTCTGAGAAGCAACCCTGTCACTTTTATATGGTAGTCGCCCCCCCCGGGGTGCCACGGTGCCCAGTCCACAGTCGCGGCAGGGCAATTCCCTCTTATTCTTTTTCAGTTCTCTTTTTTTGCTCTTAATTTTGTCAATAACAAAATTTTCGAATCTGTTTGGTTCTCAACTGACCTTTATCTTTTGCTTAACTTGGCTGATGCAAGACCAGAACTGTCGAATTTGACGTGTCCGATTAGAATCTGCTTGTATAATCGAACAGGTCCGAATCGGACAGTTGAACAGCCAAATTGTTGATGGGCCAATGAAGTTTAACAAATTAAACCACAATAGCAAATAAAAACCAAGAAAAAATCTTCAGTGAGCAAGTTTTCCAGCTTCAGTTTGTATGTCCAAGAAATTACTTATTCCTCGTGCACCGTCAAAATTCTCACTAATGTTCTTCCTTTCTTTTTTTTCTCTTTCATTCAAAAAGACAAAACGCTATGATACCGATCTTCTCTAATACGGAAAACGTCGGACCCGAAATCTCGGCCCCCGAGAGCAATTTCATACGGAGTCTGTAGTCCATTACCGTGAACAGGAGATGCCGACAGTTTGGTTTCATATAGATGAGTTAAAACAACTGTGTTAAAAGACGTGTTTTAGGCAGTCTAAAAACTGAACTCTTAAACCTGTCAGTGATGTGACCTCTAAAAAACAGACGAACACCTTGCTCTGTCCCTTTGGTCACCGTATTTGAAAGGTTAAACTGTCATTGCTCGTTGAGGGAGGGCAGACTGCTTGACTGCTAGCCTCTCACGCAAAGGTTCTCCCACGCAGAAGTTCTTAGGGGTTCGTCACGCGTTCCTGCCCCACGTTTAAGAGGATTGCGTGACGAGCCAAAAGAACGTATGCATGGGCTAGCAAGACTGTAAGCAGTCCCTCTGGATTTTCGCGTGGGCGAGCGAACAACGTTTTGCGCTTTTGCCTCGCTCGCGCGCACGTAAGAAGCTCGCCCGTGCGACAATCCCGAGGAATTGCTTGCAGTCTACTGGGAAGTTAGGATCTCTTCTAACGATACTCTTACCTCCCCGTTCTTGCTTAACAGAATATAGTGAAACCTCTATTCAGGGGACACCCTCGGGTTCAACGAAAGTATCCCCTGAATAGAAGTCTCCCCTAAGTGGAGATGTCACTTGAAAAGAGATGTCCAATAGGAGAGGTTCCCCTGTATTTTTAGCGCAACAGAGAGTTACAATATTGGAACAATGTTGCAACCATTCGAAACAACATCGCAACAATGAAGCAGCGCTGTGTTGCGCTAAAAATCGTCGTCGTCTCGTATAACATCACCTTAAGAGAAACAAAGGCTTTGTTCACACTGTTCCGGATAGCTTTTTCGCTGCGACGAAAATCATACTGGATAGGGCTTCTTCTGTTCAAAAACAAGAACGGTCGAAAGTGGAGTGACACATATCGGATAGATTTTGTGCCATACTTTGGCGCAGTGTAATATTCGGCACGTCGCGGAAGTAAGTAAGTAGGAGAGAGGCCTGGAACCCACTGAGACGGGAGTAGATTTTTAGGAGTGAAGACTGGAATCTAATGCACCAACCCTCTCGGTCAACTGTGCCGGCACGATTTTCAATGTGTGTGAACGACTTGTGTCGTCCCGGGCTATTGCTATATTCACACTATACCGAATTGCTGGTTTTCAGTGTCACGACATTCAAAATAGATCATGAAATTAAAATCAAAACCGTTCAATAGATAAAGTCCGGAATCTGGGAAATGCCGGAAAGGAGGTAAATATACCAAGTTCCTTGCCAAGATTCAGGTCAGAGGAATATTCCGTATACGAGATATCCGAAGAAAGGTTTTACCCAAATTTATAGAGATTTGTATGGAGACGTCATGCTGGTGCCCAACTGGATGGGCACCAGCATGGCGGACGGAAACCAACAAAAACATCTGTTACCGAGTTTTGGTACAAAAGCGTGAATTTAATCGTTGAGGAACTCATAAACATTAAAGTAATCCTTTTTCTAATCGATGAACTGTTTAGATAGCAAAATTCTCCTAAATACATCACTTCTTTAACCTACATGTCAGCTCTCTCGGCCTTCACGTAAATGCCACGTCACGCAAAAGCTTAGAAATTCAAGCGTACTCTATCACAAAACCAAGTACCCTTTTGAAAGGAAAATTTGTATGAAAATTAGTTTTCAGCTGCTCTAATACATCATGAAAGTAAAAATCATGAAAGTAATCATGAAAGTAAAATCTGTGTTTTGAATTTTAGTGACGTCATGTGAAAACCAACAATAGCTTTGTGTGTCGGCACGAAAGGTTACCCGGCATCGTGTGAACATTGCTTAAGTGCCTAATTACGATCATTTTGTGTTACTTTTTTCACATAATCTGCGTAATAAAGAACAACTACAGATTTAGAATGGTTGACATTGTGAAAGAGCGAGAGATCTGGTCATCGAAGATTGATTTCCTTCTTGCATTAATGGGCTTTTGCATCGGCTTGGGTAACATATGGAGATTTCCATACCTTTGTTTCAAAAATGGTGGAGGTAGGTAGGTTCTTTATTTAGCAATTACTGCAATTAGAATGCCATATTGTTCCCTGGGTAGAAGAAGCATTTTAGGCGTGCGGTGGGATGTGTCAACCAAAGGCGGAAGCTACGAGGGGCACAGTCATGATAAAGACTTCATATAAAATTGCAATTCTAAGGCTATGTTCCATTATTCAGCTTCTACCCCAGACCATGTTCACGCTATACCGAATTGCTTTCACTTCTGGACTAGTCAATCTTGTTTTCTTTCATCAGACTTGTTTTTTGAGTGTGAGCATCTATTTATCCATACATAGATGATCATAACTGAGCTAGCCTGTGTGCAAACGCCCCTTCCCCTACAAAAAATTGATTTTTTCTAAGGGGAGGGAGACGTCTGTAAACGGGCTAAACTGAGCCCTCTCTACCAAGCACATGGCTCTTAGGCCTTGGTTGGAATCCATACCCTAGCAATGCACTGGCAGGTCCAGACCTTTAGATAAAGGAGGGGGGGGGGAGGAGGGGGGTGGTCTCAAAAAATTTTGTTTTCGTCCCTTCGGGCCTCAGTTTGTTCTAAAGATAAGGGGGGCCCCCGGGCCTTGCCCCTGGATCCGCCACTGCAATGTGTCATACACGAAAGGAGGACTCGATTAAACTAAAAGAACTAATTCTGAAATGGTTTCAAATTATTAGGTAGTTTTCTCATTCCTTACTTGATCTGCCTTATTGTGACTGCACTACCAGTGACGGTATTGGAGGTTGGCTTGGGGCAGTTTACGAGTCAAGGAGCAATCACTGCTTGGAACATCTGTCCACTTTTGCAAGGTAACCGAAATCCTAATGCAGTGAATACAGTAGTCACATGACATCACACTTGGGGCAAGGGTGACGCAGTGGTGAAAGCACAGTTATCTCGCGGCGAAAAATGAACAAAACTCATCTGCTCCACTACTCTAACTCAAGACAAGAAGACAAGAAGATTTTGGCCATCTCAGCTTAAGAAGAAACTAAAAGCAAACTGCTATGAATAAAAACAATTGGATAAAAAATACTGCGCTAAAATGTTTCTCATATTAAAAAAGTTAAAAACGACGACGTTTCAACGTTCAGCTAACGTTATTATCAAGTCATATTTAATTGTAGGAAAATTTGCATATAATTAAAGCATGCAAACTATAAAAGGTGAGGTTTTTCACTGCTGACATTTTAATTCAGAGAATGTTCTAAATCCATAATCAGCAGAGTTTCCTTTAGCCTGCGAAAACATCCGTGTCTCCTCGCTCTTCGCCGCTGGGGACGTTTCGCGCGGAGGAACGTCTGCGACTTAGCGACAGAAATTCCATACTGATGAAGTAAAATATGTCCAGAATCCGGTCAGAAGCCCTGATTGGTCGACGGAGCAGTTACATTGTTTTAGCTATCGTTTACGAATGACAGACAAAAGACAAAAGGCCACAAAGGTCAAATGTAAAGGCGATGAATCTCTAACAAAACGGTCAATATTTGTGGAATATAGTCTTCTCTAGAACAAGCATTTGAGTTTTGCTGGAGCTCGTTCGCAGATGAACGCAACACTTTACCAAAATCGATCAGAAGAAACCTAACATTGAATAAATTTACATTTGGAGCCCCATGACTACCGGATTTATTAAGTAAACATTGATTTGCGTCATTAGTATGGAATTTCTGTCGCTAAGTCGCAGACGATCCTCCGCACGAAACGTCCCCAGCGGCGAAGAGCGAGGAGAAACGGATGTTTTCGCAGGCTAAGTCTCCTTTATCTTGCAATGCGTGTCCTACTGTCCTCTTGCCAAAATTTCGAAATGGTCCCATCGATGTTGTGACCTGTTGACGTGATATGGTCGGCAACAGCAGATGAGTGATATTTTTTAAATCAATTTTTACAAGATTTCCGAACTTTCATAAAAACTACACTACAAAGCAGCGTATGAGGCAATCCCTACCAAAGGTTAAACTTAATTATGTGAGAAGGACCTTTCTGTTTACTGGCGCGAACATTTTCATTGAACTCCCGTTAAACATAGCAAACGCTGAGAGCATTTAGACTTTCTACCGCCGAGCAAGACGTTGTTTCTTGTGATAACTTTAAATGAAATTTCCTTGAAATTGTATAATATTTTAGGCTCATTGTATTTCCAGGCTTTTATAAAATGTAATTTGAAATTTTTAATGTAAAGTAAGTTTAAAGACACAGGGACTGATACCGGTCTTTAAGCTGAATGGGCCACCTTGTTGAAATATAGTTTACGCAATTAGCCACTTTGAGGCTGCGCGAGAGACCGGCTCGAGATGGTTTCAAAGTGCATTGTGGGACTGTTTTGGGGGACGCATTTTCAACATGGCGGCAAATTCGTCCCTTAAAACAGTCCCACAATGCACTTTGACAACCACTCGAGCCGGTCTCCCGCAACCTCAAAGTGGCTAATCTGATAAGTGCATTTGCGCTGTCTTTGTTGTTTCACTAGGTATCGGCTATGCAAGTATTCTTGTAGTGACCTGGCTCCTTATGTACTACCTTGTGGTTCTTGCGTGGTCGTTGTTTTACCTGTTTGCCTCGTTCCAATCGACACTTCCTTGGTCGCACTGCAATAACGAATGGAACACTCCCAACTGTGTGGATCACAATAGTGGACACAACCAAGACGGAGAGCATAATAACACATTCCAAAATGTTACCTCTCTCTTTAACTTAACGGTAGCAAATGTATCCAAGCGAGTGCCGGCAATCCAGGAATACTGGGAGTAGGTGTCTGTTTTTTTAAACGCTATTGGAATTGAATTTAGGGGAAGATAAAAGGGGCGATGCTAGCCTAAGAACGATCACAATGCCATGGTAAAGTAAATATCGAAGAATTACTCTTACTAAACATCTGCATTTTCCCAAGTTAGCTTTAATAAACAGGTTCTTACATAAATAAATGGTAATTAGCTCAAATTTAGGCTATTTAGGTTCTTGATAAGGTTCTTATTTTCTGGAGGAAAAAATACATGACATTAACTCGGCGAATGGTACACCAAGATCAACAAAAATTGAAAATTGTTTGAAAACGAGGCTTCATAGTCGTTGAACTGAGCAAAATGGCGGGCAAAGAAAGCAGAAATATAAATATGGGCAAATTTAATCCTACTTCGCAGAGCAGATTATCAAAACTGACCACAAATGTTATGGAGACGCAAACAGTATAAACCGAACTGAAAAACGACCTGATCGACGTGCTGTTAAGCCCATTCAATTTTTGACCAACAAGCAACATTTGTATGTTAGATCGGGTTAAAACGAGTTAAAAACTATTTAGCCCGCTCACTCAGATTCAACATAATCCAACAACACTGGACAAATTGTTTTAGAAAATCATTGGAAGTGACATCCGTCCGGTACATCGTTCCGGACCACGCTTTGTCGTTTGAAACTGATTTCTTTTTACAATTTGCACAAAATATTTCTGTCTTTATCAGTTACAGGGTGTTACGTCTTTCTAATGGTCTGAACGAACCAGGACCAGTGAACTGGGACCTGGCTTTGTGCCTGTTGTTGGCGTGGATTATCTGTTACCTCTGTGTTAGTAGAGGGATTAAGACAAGTGGCAAGGTTAGTGAACACTTGTTTTGTGTTAGGCCAAGTTCATACGACGAGCTTCTGCAAATTGGTGAAGAGATATAATCACCGGTTTGCTCGACCGTTTGGTCCGGCTTCGATCGTAACGTTAACGAGCCAGGCTTATTTTAGACGGATTCATCGGAAACATTCGAGCATAACAATACTTATATCTGCTCACCAATTTGCACTACACTTACAGGCTGATTTTTGGCAAAGGGCCTTTATTCATCTTGTTCTATACCGTATTTATCTGATTAACCGCCCCGGGCGCTTATTAAATTTTTGGACCTTGAGAGTGGGCGCTTATTCGAGGTGGGCGCTTAGTCGAGGCAGGGCGCCTCTTCGGGGAAGTCTCTTATTAGTAATTATTCAATTTCAAACTCAATCTCATTGTCACTCAAGTCAATGAATAAATGAATTGTCTAGTGCTGCCTCCTCAATGTCCGACATGGTAACGTCTGCAAATGGGTTAGTCGCCCGAGAAGCAGTTTTTAAGAGGTCATCACTACTCTTCTCTGTTGGGTTCAACAGACGAAGGGGTGTAGCGTGAGATTTTGAAGGTGTACGCTTTGGAAGAAAAGTTAGAGCACCAACAAGGGGGTCTGAACTCCCCCAGAAAATGTTAAAATTTAAGGTCTCGGAAACGCCATTTCGGAACTAAATACGAAGGAAAATGCTGTGAGGGGGCAAGGAAGAGTACATTTTTTCGTTTTGAATATTTTCCAGCTTACAATCTCATTAAATCAACATGTTATTAAAGCTGTTAACTCCCCTCTCTTTCATTGTATTGAAACCATTAAGATTAAGACTCGGAATTAAGATCTTTTTACGAACCTGATCACTTGGCTTATTTTTCAGGTTGTCTACTTTACAGCCACTGCTCCATATATTTTAATAACGGTTCTTTTGATCCGAGCCGTTACTTTGCCAGGAGCAGGAGAAGGAATCAAGTTTTATCTCAAACCTGATTGGTCAAGACTTAAAGATGGCCAGGTGATTTTATTCTAAGTTCATTACAACTTGCTTACAAGAGGTTTTAACAGTGTGAACTTTTAAAACTGTGTCCCCCCAAAACTAAGTCGCTTACGAGAGATGGTCGTTTACAAGAGGTTCCAACTGACATAGTAATTTACCTGGGAAAATTTTGGTGTTTTTTATTTTCTCTTATGGGTGGAGGTCGCATATTAAGGTTCGATTTTATAAAATTTGTGCCTGTAGATATTTTAAGAAAACAGAAGACAAAATTTCCATATTATTTCGTTTTATCGACAAAGTTGGAAAAGTCTATTCACTAAAGTAAAAGATTGAAAGCCTGACGTTTTGAACGTTAGCTTTTTGCCAGCGTAAATCTAAAGGTTGCCGGAGACGAAGGTTACAATCATCTCTTTTTTAGACTGAAATCTATAGGAAAAATAGGAAATGCCGAGGTGTTTGTCTTATAGAGAGTCAAGGACATGCACGGTGACTGCAGAACGTTTGGGACCAACTCTAGGTGTCTGCTTAAGGGATCTGTCCGTTATGAGAGGGTTGGCTGTAGAACCATCAACTTTTCATCATCATCTGTCTAACATATTAAAAGCGACATAAAAAAGCAGATCTATCAAAAATAGATTTTGGTATATTAGCACAGCACCAAAATTAATCATTTATAATATTTGGTCATCTATGCATCCAAGAAATTTTGGTTGTGACAAAATCATTCGCGCGGCCGTCCGTCTTTACGCACGTACGTCCTTCTTTCATGCTAGCGGAGTCCAAGGCATATACAATATGTGTTTAACTTGTTATGGTCAACATGTCATGGTCAATTGACAGCTGTGAAAAAACGGTATCTGCTTACCAGTGTCACATGACTGTGTCGCAGACTCGGGTGTACAACACATAGAGGTTACGTGTTTATTTTAAGTTCTCTGCTAACCAGTTATTAATTTTCAATTGATCGCAGGCTCAGGTCCATTTTTTGTTCATGATGAATTAGTTTGCTTTTTGCTTATGGCTAAAGTTGAATAATACAAAAACATTTCTTAAAAGATCCCATGAGAGCTTCGCTTCTGGCCTTGGCTAAATCTATATGTTATCAACGCCTTTCTTTTCTCCCGGCAATGTGCGCCGCCACAGACCTAGCAATTGTAGATTTGTTAAACTCCCATTACTCAGAAAAACGTCATTTTTGCTTGAAAGGTCTGGTTGGACGCTGGTACACAAGTTTTTTATTCATATGCCATTGGATTGGGCGGCTTGATTGCGCTCGGAAGCTACAACAAGTACCACAACAATTTTTACAGGTACAAACAAACAAGCAAACAAACAAATGTGACCTAAAAAATTCGCCTTTACCAGGAGCTGAAATATGCCCGATTGGGTTACATTTTAGTAGTCCACGTTTCGCATGTCATATCCCCCTGCTTTCCCCGGAGCTTTTGCTCGTTTCGTGTTTGACTTGCTACGTATACGGCAAGATATCATTAACTGACGTGATGCAACTCACTTTGACTCTGAAGATGACTACCGCACAGGTTGTTGAAACGTCAGTCACTGTCAACATTCAACAGTCCTATTCAGGACTACGCTCACCCGGACGATCATACTCAACCCACTTATAATCTGTCCAATGTAAGGACGAAATAGCTAAAATTAGGTTCCAATTCCCGGCGGTCTTGGGAAACTCTTTTTAGACTTTGAAAAAAGGTTGTAAACACTATTTCAGTATTTCGGTGACGATAAGCGGTGGGGCTATGGAAACATTGACATGACAGCCCAACAATTCTCAACGTCAAAACAAACAGACAAATTAAAACAGTAAAAGCGGAAGCAGTGTTCATAAGGTGTTGAGGTAAGCGATCAGCTGAGAATTTGTATATTTTTGTTGAATGATTGTTTTCTTGCCTTTCAGGGACTGCATATGGAACGCATTCTGCAACAGCGGAACTAGTTTTTATGGCGGATTTCTGATTTTCTCTATTTTGGGTTTTATGGCGAAACATCAAGGTGTTGAGGTCAAGGATGTAGTTCAGGCAGGTTCGTTTGCTCACGACCTAAAAAAAATGGCTTGAGCTGCCATGGTTGAATTTATAAACGCAAAGATATATAATATCCCCGAAAAGGAGCGAGGTTGTTTCCACCTACGCTGTACGTTTGTTACCGCTCAGTAGGCTGGAAAGTCTTCGTATTATTCTAGCCGCACATTCATTTGATGGACAGAGGTCACTAAACATGCATATGATCGACTTAACGTCAGCATTTTCCAGTTTCATTCATCCCAATTTTGAAAACAAAAAATGAACATAAAATCTGCAGAAGCCATAGAATGAAGGGATTTCAACCTAAAACGTACAGGAACGCTCTTTAAAGCGTTAACTCGAGCTTGCTTGGAGACTAGATAAGAAATGAGGAGGCGTTTAATCGTATACGAAACAGGATTTCCTCGCTAAAAGTTTTTCACGTCCTATTTTATCGACGGTCGATTGGTCTTCAAGATATTTACTTTTCATATCGTATTCGACAATTTGTTCCTGACTTGATTGGGTACACGTGTATGAAAACACGAAAACTAAGGGCCTCGATTCTAGAGAAATTACGTCATTGCCAAAGAGCAAATACGTGATGAATATGGCGCGTCATATAAATCATCGCCTAAAATACATCGCATGCTCATCACAAGACTTACAACGAAAGTTTACCCCACCCGACCAGTTTGCCTCTCTATCGAAGTTTTGCTTTCTTTTTTTTCAACGCCTGAAGTATTCACTTGTTCCAAAGTAAGCAACGCTTTCAAATCGGACAGAAATCATGGACCGACCCGTTCCGGAAGAGCTCGACATCTTTCGAATTAATCTTTCCAAAGCTTTCTTAACAAGACATGAATGACGCTAACGAAATTTTATATGTTCTCAATCACGACGCAATTCTTATCCCCAGCTTCCACGGTCTCCGCTGGGAACGCCTAGGACCATGAATCCCCTTTTAGCGCACAGAAACGAAAAAATAAAAAAAAAAAACGCTTGCCTTTTTAGAGTGCTCGCTGCTAAAGCAAGCTCGACTAACAAGAAGGCTACGACCGGCCGGTCAGTCAAGGCTTGTTTGGATAACGAAATGTGAAGTTTTTTTTAACTGATGAAACGCCAAAAGCAAGTTATTGGAAGAGACAACTGCTCACCTAGTACAAACTAAGTAACAAACAATTACCAATTTGGAGTTGCGTAAAGTTTTCCAGTTTTTGTGATTGCACGTCCCAG